TTATCCTACGTTTCCAATGGGACAAGGACGATACCAAGCTCGAGAGCTTCTTCCCCGGGACGGTCTCCTGCCAGACCCAGCGGTGTTGTGCCTAATCCGGGATTTGCCGAATCCCCAAGTAGTATTAGGAGCACCCTTACGGACTCGGGCAGCAAACTCCTGACTGCTCATACGTATCCTGCAATCCAGTCAGACGGTAGTGGTTCTGACAACAATGGGTCTCGCTTCCCTCCGATTGTTGGACCACTGAATACCGCAACCGCATCTCCTCCCAATTTCAGCGTACCGGTTTTCAGCAAAAGATTCTCAGCATCCTCCCATTCTGCAACCCATCTATCGTCTCGAAAATTTCAACATCAAGTCTCCCCTCCCCCTTCTCCTCATCTAATTAGACCTAACTCCCGAAATCACCTTTCTTGCTTGGACGACATTGTAGCAGCTCCGCAGTTAGCGAATGGGCATGCAGAATTAAATAAATCATGTAAGGAAACCGACATTTCCCAACATCCCGTTCCGTTTATATTTGATCCAAACGTCCCTTCGCGTACTGCTCCATCGCAAAAGTCCCGAGAAATCAGATCAAGGCGGTATTCATCCTTCGAGTCGTCGTCCCGCAGCACCTATAGCTTAGCCTCAGATTATCGCCCAAAACTTTCACCAGTAACCAACGAAAGTAGCGAAGACGGACACAAGAGCGACGCCTTACCACAACACAATGGCGCACAAGCATTCAGCAAGAATTTCAACCACATGTCTGCAGCCGCAAATACCGAGACCAAACAATTACGCCGGCCAACCAGCATGCAAATCGGCTCCGAAGCCCGTCGCCGATCATCATCTGTCAATGCTCCTCAAACTGGTACGCAGAAGGAATTCTCGTCCCCGGAGATAAGATTCTTCTCCTCTTCCTTCAACGATTCCTCCTATCGACAGGGTCGAGCGCAGCTAGCACACCCAGAAGTTATATGGGATACTAACCCACCAGCTAACCACAACCACAACCACAACCACATCCCGACCTCCTCTTTCCGAAATTCGTTGCACAGAAGCACGTCCCACCTCTCCCTAGGCCCACCCGTCGCTCCTCCACCAGACTGCCCCTTGCCAAAAGTGCCACTCAAAGTCCCATCTCAGTTCAGTCACGCATGGAAGAATGATCAATCCCCGTTGTTGGCACCAGGTCGTCGTGAAGTTGTCGGTTACAGAGACAGATCCAGGTCTAGATCTAGGTCTAGAACTAGAACTGGCCCAGATGAGAGCAAGAAGGCCCAAACAACGCCAATTTTACCGGTTGATTTGCGGGATGCGGAGAATTCTTCTCATCTGAGTGGAATGACGCCGAAAGAATATAGTATGGTCAATGCGTTTTAAACTGCTAATAGCTTTCACTCACACGATGAATCATGCCGCATAACCCCTGTTTAGTTTTGGATTTTTCCTATTATATGGGGCTTATTTCCTCACCACTGACAGCGTGGAATTCCTTCCATTTCTTTCCCCTCGTTTTTCGGCTTTCTGACCACTCCTTGAATACATTGCACACTGAACACTATTTTGGATTTTTTTTTTTTCGTTTTGTTCTTTTTTTGAATATGCACAACATTAAAAGCTATATATTTATCTGTAATGTATATGCACATATGATTATCTCTCCCCTGCTCCTCTCTAATACTTCCTTTCCTTTTGTCTTCTGGTTTCCTTTAAATATTCCGGCCGTTTTATGAAGTTCAATGTTACGCATGCAAACATACCCCAACCAACTTTTATATATATCCACATACTATTTTCTATGTGTTCTTCTCTTTTAGGGCTTTTTTGGTCTAAGATATCAATGTGACTTTTTTGATGTCAATGTTTTCACTGTTATTTTCTTAATTCTTTTCATCTAGACGATCTTACTCGTTGTATCTGATCACTGATGTCAAGGGAGAGTGATATACCTGTGTGCCTCTGTACTTATGTACTTCATTAAAAGGCTTCCACCAGCACCACTTGTCATATATCATGTTACAAAATCTTTGTTTATCAATAGTGGTATCTCCTTGTGTCATGATAAAATAAAAAGGAAAATCTTGGTATGTATTGTCCGTGAATTGTACTGCATTCTTGATGGCAGCTCAGGTCTGCAGTTTGGTTATGTTGCCTTTGCAAAACCCAGCTGATATACTCGCAATTTGAAGGTGCAATCTGAAATATAGAATGGAATCCTTGAAACGAAGTGGTCCTTTCGTGGTTCTTGAGAAAAGACTAGGTATGATGGATAGCGACACATTCCTCTGTGTGCCACTCCACACTTCATCCCAATGAAGGAGATAGAGGTGAGCTGAGATAAATGAAAGTTTAAAATAGAAATACCCCAGTTGTTCAGAAATGATCTGGATAATATATGAAGACGAAGCGAATTTTGCTTCTCAGCTCCTTGCATTGGCTCAGATTTATGTGTTCGATAACTTTCAATGAGTAGTCCGTAAATCCATGTCTGGAGTATGATCGTTGATTTTGGCTTGCTATCTACCCCCCTGAATATGCAGGAACAGAGTTTATGCAAGTCATTATGCATCGCATTCAACCCAACGACAAGCTGTTACCACACACACTCTCTCCCTTTGCTGAGAGCAACTCTCTTGACCGACATGATGCGGCGCATTGTTCTTTCGAGGAACCCACCAAATGGGACCCGTTTCGGACATCTGCTCTCTTACAACAGCGATAGCTAAGGGTGGATTATTTGAGGGCCTGTGGCTTCTTGGCTATGAAGATTGTGATGATATGAATAGCACACCAAATAGTACACCATGGAAAACAAATAAATATCTGAAAAGATGAAATGGACCACAGCTTTTGCGCGGGAATCATATATACCTTCCTTTTCGCGTGGCGTAGCGATATTGAATGAAGTAAAATAAACCACCGGCTTGGAAATAGAGCGCTCACGATAATTCTAATACAATGGTGGAGAATAGAAATTCCAATAAACGCATCCCATATTATTGTTATATACTTCAAAAACGCCATTCAGAAAGCAGACCTGTAAGAATCGTAATTGCTACTGGTCGAAGATAAATAATAGGACTCAAACCCATTTTCCTGGACATATGAAATAAGATAGAGAAGAAGCTAGCTAAATGCAAAAGGGTTCCTGTTAAAACAATAGAGGGTTAAACAATAGCTGTCGGAGTTATGATAGGAAAGCAGAATAAGGGAATATGAGTAACCAAGGTTAAGTAAACAAGAAGGCTTATTACAGTCATTCGTCATCCGCTTCTTCTACCTTGGGGGTAAGATCTCGTTTTATGGTCCCACCAACAGCTGCGGCTGAACCTGACGCTACCCCGGTCGACACATTCGTCCTGGATGGAGCTGATTGTTTATTTTTAGCTGGTTTGGCAGGGGAAGAAGAGGTGGTATTCTTGTCACCCTTTTTGGATTTCTTCGATTTCTTTTTCTTGGTCTGGATAAAGTTGGGTTAGGAAATATCTCCCATAGAGAATGTGATTGAATTGGTCAGGAAACTGTCCATCCCAGAAGAAATAGGTAATAATGCAAAAATAGGAACGTACCTCTTGCCAACCCCACACTGGTCTGAAACTGTCAAAAAATCCCACATCCTCAAACAGATTGGGGTACAACCAAAGACCTGGTGGAACTGCAAAGAAGGTAATGCAGAACAGGATCAGTCGGAAAATCGACATAGCAAAAAATAGACCTAGCAAGCCCATGATGCCAACACTCAGGTACCAAACCCCTCGTCTAAGCATAACAGGCCATAGCGGGAACATGACAACTGCCATAATTGCGACTAGGACACCCGCAGCCATCGCCTTTTGTTTCCACTGAGGACCTTCATATAACCAGACGTAATGCATCATTGGATCTATCTCTTGATGCTGCTCCACCCGGACTGTCCACAGCCCCTTTACGTGGCCTTTTGGTTTCCCATGGTTGTGTCCGGCATGAGGGTCGACTTTGGAAACTCGAAGCGCGAGAAGAGATAGGGGTAGGAGTTTGAATGCATTTTCGGCGGAAGCCTGATCTGTCACTGGAGGAAGAAGAGAATTGGGCTTTGATTGAGCTTTGGAGTATGCAGGGGACTGTAGAGCTCGTACAGCACGTTTGACTGATTTCCCCATTTTGATTAGCTTTCGACATAATCCAAGATCCAGGCCAATGGAAATATGGGATGTAACAGCAACCTTTAAATAGCTCTTTTCTTTGGCCATCCAAAATACAGGTTCTGGGCTTTAAATCTTGGGATTTGAGAAATTGAGCCACTGCAACAGCGCTGGGATCTGGTGGTGCATTGGAGTTCATGGGCACATGTTGCTCTGTTTGCTGTGGTCCCCCTTGCGCCTGCGCCTGTTTGGCCTGCTGTTGCTTTTGATGCTGTTGCAAAGCTTGGGCTTTGAGCTGATTTATATATTGCTCTGGAGTCAGGCCATGTTTCGCCGCCTCTGCAGCAAACTGTTGTCGTTGCATGTTGCTGAATTCCTCTGGTGTCATTCCACGCTTTGCCGCTTCAGTTGCGAGCTGTTGTTGCATAGCAGCAATTTGCTGGTGAGTTGGTTGGCCGGAAGCGGCCATTTGTTACCAGAGAAGAAAATTGACAATGGCGGAAGACTAAGAAAGGGCAAAAAAATCACCACACCTGTTGCGTTGCTGTGGTAGTTGTATTATGTTTGATGGACTTGTCAAAAGTTAATAATATTTGTGAACATTAAAAGTCGAAGTGGCCAGATCAGTCGCCATATCATGTGATACAAGCGACGATTCGCGTCTGGCGCTTAAACCAACTAGTTACATTAGTTAGTAACTTAATTAAGCGCTGTTATGTCGGATGCGCAATTACAATACAGATATACACAAGGAGGTAACATAAATACATTCCCAACTTAAACTAGGCACCACCGGGGCCATTCAGAAATCGATTCTCAATTCTTAACCATGCCGGTAATGCCGCTCCACTAGATCGATTGAGACAGACGAAATTGATTCCTCACGGCATGTCCATATCAGCCAATTATACGCCGGACGCCAGTGCTACTCTTGTATCTCTATGGAAGATTGTGCAGCTGGTAATATTTTATTCATATATACATTCAACAGAGAATTTCGTCCTACTAACATATACATCATAGTCCCAAAGGGATGTTTCGGCACAAATACCAATCAATCACGTCGCCCATCCGGGTGTTTCTCTGACATCTGCCTGCTTCAGCAATAAAGTGTATGAAGGGCAGGCCTTGGTGAGATGCATGTCAAACCTTTTGGCGGTTGATAATCGTCGATTTCATGTCGACTTATACTGGTCCGAAGCGCAACAACGCTGGATATTCTGTCCAGCTACAGTTGATTCCAATGCACCAATCAGGCAAGGGTCCCCGAATACCACTCTGATCGGATCTGTACCACAAGGAAATTTTTCGATTCCGAGGATGGACAGAGGTGTATTAATGCAAGCACGCGAAACCAAGACCCCTTCCAGCAACTCATTGCCGTCAATGGCCAACCATGCTGCTCGTGTAACGGAATCAACTACTCCGGAAAAGCCTTCTACTTCCGCCCCAGTACTATATAGTGTTGGACCGTACTCATGCTCCAAGTCTCTTGATCTCTCTATATTTCTCAGTTTACTAAAGAGTTATTTTTGGCTGACGAATGATACCCTCAATGCCCATATGTTACATATCTTGATCAACCTACATTCAGCTGCAGCAGCAGATTCACCTGACAAGTCTAGCAATGCTCCATCACCTGAAAAACTCCCTTCAGGCGCAAATCTTCTTGGATCACTGTTTGAAGAAGCATTACAAGAGTTCATGTACACCCCGAAGAAGCTTGAAGAAGAGAGAAGCAACCTGAACCGTTCATGGTATTCTGTTCCTTCATTTTCTCACCCCATTTCAGAATATTTTACGACCCACAGAGACTCCAAAGGTCACCATAGCACTCCCGACGGCTGGCCATGCGAGAGTTATGTGGAAAGGACTCGTTTGCACCGATTTTTGGTTGGTTGGGGCACAGTTGACCCTCAAATGGCGTCCTACGATTTCAATAGCGACAATGATCTTATTTTCCCCGAAGGCTCGCTTTCAACATTTAGAGAAATCAAAACTTCTAATGCCAATAATGAACCTGCAATCGAATTTGGTTGTTTATTCGACCCAGAAGCCACAGACGCCTCCAACCCAAATGCGTCATGGGCTGAATCAACCGCTGTTCAACAATATACTTATGACTCCACGCATGTATTAAGCAGTAAGCTTGTGGCATGTGGCATATCACCCACAATAAATTCCAGCCTCTCCAATATGACCGCTGATGTGGATTTCAAACCCTATCAAAACGCTTCTCGAGCTTCACAGTGGGCCTGGGTACCGGGTGAACCGATGTCAACAGACTTACGACCAGAGCCATCAACTAATCTCAGATGTGCCCGGGCTGATGTAACTTTCAAAGGACGATGGGTCCCCGCAAAATGCTCCAGCGAACTCTATGGGGCGTGTCGCATCGGAAACCAGCCGTTCCGCTGGACGCTAACGCCCCATCGTGTCCCATATGACAAGGTGTCACATAAATGTCCGAAGAACTCTACATTTTCCACTCCACGAACAAGCCTAGAAAACACCTATCTCTACCACCATCTCATGTCTATGCCCCAAAGTGTAATCAATGCATCCTCCGCTAATGTCTATGAACGCAGCGTCTGGATAGATCTCAATTCTCTTGACGTGGCCAATTGCTGGGTCTCTGGCGGTCCCCAGACGCAATGCCCATACGAGGTGGATGATGCTGCTGTTCAACTGCGGGCAGTGCTTGTACCCACAATAGCGGCTATCATTGTGTTGGTCATCGCGGCCTTGACCATATTTGTCAAGTGTAATTCCAATCGCAGGAATTCGAGACGGACAAGGGTCATTGAGGGATGGGAATATGAGGGTGTTCCATCCTAGTATATTTACTCCTTTCTAGAGTGTGACACCAGGATTTTGAAGAGCTGATGTCTGCCAATTTTGCCTTACATTTTTTGCACATACTTTTTGCATATTTACAGTTTTTGAACATATTTCTCCGTATATATTTATCATTATCTAAGTATTATATTTGAATCATGTATATAAAGTAATTTTCGAGCCGGATATTGATATCTGGAGAGGAAAAGCCTTGGAAGAACCTGCGACTGAGATCCAAGCTATGTCACGTTAAATAGTCTGAGTTACAACAAAATCTACATTGTACATTTTGGAAATCTATTATACAACCTCTAGCTTTGCACAAGATATTACAAAACCTATACCGCCCCTCTCCACAAGAATTCATGCTCCAATCCGTCAATATCTCACGACAAGACCTCCAACATATCTTCCACCCGTCCAAACTTCTCCCTCACTTTACCTGTAGCCTTTCCCCTCTCCACCTCCGCCCGGTCAATCTTTTCCCAATCCTCCCAACTCGTCGGGTGAAGGCCAAGCTGCTTTGTTTCCGGAAGCACACCCTCCCAACCAACACCCGTACTCCCGCCTTCAGATGAGTTGAGAAACGCATGTTCGTGGCTACCAGCAATATGCGACGCCCAATCTGCCGCAATCGCGTCAGCGGTAGCAAACGCGTCCGTCATCGTCGACGCAATGACACCAGTTGGGCCTCTCTTAACCCATCCTGCGCAGTAAATACCAGGTACTTGAGTCGGTTCGGACTCAGTAGATAATTCCGTGGTTCCATTTTCAGATGGAGGAGAACTGGTAATGACGCGCCCTTGACCATCATTGGGAATAATGCCAAGGGAATAGTTGAATTGGATATTGAGGTCCTCGAATCCGGGGAGTGGGAGGGACTGGTATCCAATGCTGCGGAAGCAGGTGCTGGCGGGGATATCTACATGAGCGACATGCCCATCGTCTTGTAAAATAGGGGTTATTTTGGCGGTTGGGGAGAAAGGGTCCGCTGGATCGAGTTGGTTTCGGGAAAATTTCATGTATGAGAGGGTGTCTGGATTTGAAGGAGAACTGTGAAAGGAATGTGGGGAGAGAAGGAAGTCGAGAGACCAAGACTTAGAGGCCTCTTGTGGATCCGTGGTCGAGCCTTTTGCAAGGAGCTGGGTTATGCGTTTCTGGACCCTAGGGAGTGATTTTATGGTTGATTCTGGGGGGAAGAGATATTTGGGAATAGGCTCGAAGGAGACTGAAGGGAGTTGGAGGATTTCTCGTACTTCTTTGATTGTAAACGCGGCCTAGGAAGTAGCAAGGTCAATGGTACGTGTTGTTGAAAATCAATATAGCCTGTGAGAGACAGAAAGCCTTACCTGCATTGGACCTCTTCGTCCAACCACTCTCACCCTTTTGATCTTACTCCTTGCCAAGTTCTCCAACGCATATTCCACCATATCCGTCTTTCTCAAGACATCTATGTCTGTTAACAACACCCTCGCCACATCCATAGCCACGTTTCCCTGTCCAATTATAACCGCGTCCTCTCCCAAAGTCAACGCTGGCGCCAGGTCTCTATATTCTGGAAGCCCGTTGTACCAGCCAACGAATGCTCTAGCCGAATATACACCACGTATAGATTTTTCACCAGGAATTCCAAGATCTTTATCCTTTGATGCCCCATACGCAAACAGTATAGCATCGTAATGGGGTTTGAGAGTACGCAGTGGAATATCTACGCCCAAGTCGATGTTTCCGATAAATTTGAATCGTGGGGACGTTGCGACTTCTGTAAATTTCTCCTGACAGTTCTGTTGCAATTGAGAAAAACTTAGTCTATTTACTCTATAATTATACAGCCTATCTCTATTTCAGCAATGACTATTTGCTTGAGCTCATACCTTCACCTCCGGATGGTCCGGGGCAACACCAAATCGGACCAGCCCAAATGGAACAGGGAGTTGCTCGTACATATCCACGCAAGCATCTTCAACCTTAGACATCAGTCTATACGCAGCGTAGAAACCAGCAGGGCCTGAGCCAACAATTGCGACCCGCAACGGATGACTCTGGGTGCTATATCGCTTTCGCTGCGAAAGCCATGGCGAGCTTGGTATGCTTATTTGTGAGGCGGCAAGTAGCCGATTGGCCTGGATGAGGCATCTAGCACATATGCTGGGAGTGCGTGACAAACTCATTGCCAACAAAATGAGTGGCATGGTCGTCAATTCACCCTCTGATGATGCGCAACATAATGTGTCGTCTTACAAATGAGGTCACCCCCAATTCGCGGCAAACGCCACTGACGCGGCTGCTTAGCGTTAATCGACGGATGTTGCCCCACCAACAATCGGCTAATGTTTACCCAATACATACACAACGCCACAATATGCGCGACATCCACACTGCGACAGCAGCAGCGCTTGTCAGGCAGGGAGCTCCATCCATATCCTCATTATTTCTCATAACCTGGTTTACATTCGTTTTTTCGACCTTTCAATCGTTGCTGAAATTCTCTCCTTAATTCCCCCATTTCAGATCCACTGGTTTGTTCTCCCATCGCGGACATGGGACGAACGGAGCCGCCGTTTCTCTATGACGGACCAACCTATAACCGTTTCTCTGGCATATCAGACAACTTTGATCCAAAGGCTGTGACGCAAACAAGCTGTACACCGCGCGAGCCTCGAATGGAAAGAAAGGGACCCCTTGTGAACTTCAATCGGCATCCGGATTCTGTATGGAACTTCTAGGGATATGAAATAACTATAAATATATGGAATTACAATTTGCTAATATTATACGCAGTACGCTGTGATTCCAAATGGAAATGATAACAAGAAAACGATGAACCCGAAGACCATTGACAGGGTAAAATACACAAGGATCTTTCAATTGATATTGAGGATTTTGGCTCTTGCTGGAGCGCTGGGTTTGCTGTTCTGTGTGATATGCATTAAAGATACGAAGGGAGAAGTGTCGTGGATGATCCGTGTTGCAGTATGTATTTGACCTCTACCATCGCGTGGATTATGTTTGTGACTCAATGTTTTAGCCCGCCGTTGCAATTCTTCATACCGTATACGGAGTCTACCATCTGTGTGGTTCCTTGACGGCTCGCAGTCCTGCCTCATCTGCTAGCTATATGTTGTTTGCGTGTGTTTTAGACGCTGGACTGATTCCGCTCTATCTCTTTATCGGCATCATAGCTAGAGTCGAGCACGATAGCAAGACATACGGCTGGGGTACCCTTTTCGATAAGGAAATGACAACATCCAAAATCATCTATGCAATCTTTGTTGGTTGTTGTGTTCTTGGAGCATTGCACCTTGTATCATTGGTTATATCTTTTTATTTGGCAGTTATTTTCCGCAAAATCTCTAAACTTCCGCCGGATATGAATCCATTGGAAAACCACCTTACCGCGCGTCCTCACAAACGCAGCAAATCCGAGATTGCAGATATCGCAGAGAAACACCTAAACACCACCACAGCTGACTCCCCTAACTCTAATCGCATGTCTCTTACTCAAGAACCACTGATTAATCCCCCTCGCACTGTTCCTTTTCTTCACATCCGTACTGGCTCCGTTGAAACTGGTGTCAACAATCCGAGGGAATCCGCCTATTCAGCCCAATTTCATCGACATTCGCGTTCGGATCTTCCCAGCGAACAGATGCGTCAGTATGGGCAATTCCAGCATACCCCGGTGGCCGCCGCACGCACTCCTGTGAGGGACGGTGGTGGCACCTCATCTCGACCTCAGTTTGCCGTCATCAACACTCCTCCCAAATCTGAGAACTCGCGCCCTGAATCCCCTAAAATTACCACCCATGATCCTAGTGGTATGCCATCTTTAGCGAATGATAACCGGTTCGCCTATCCCTCGTCGCCGTGTCCTCCATTGCATGCCGACCGAGTTTCTCCGCTGCCCGGCCGCCTCGGATCTCCCGGCATACATGGCGGTGATATTGGCGTAAAAAATTGGGAGACTATGGAAGACACATATGGCTTTAACCGGAGCGGCACAGTTGTGCGGCATCGCAGTAAGGACAACTATAGTCTTTCGAGTAGCTACTATAGTGGCGATGAAAACATATATGGCAAGGAGCATACAGAGAATCTGTGTGTGGATGATCAAGATGTGGACGATAATCTCCGGACCAACAATAACTACCAAGTCTCGGAAGATCAAACAGATGTACCATCACCTGTCCTTCATCCACTGGAAATGAACCCCCCCACACCACAGCCTGACGAACAACAACAACAACTCAACTCGTATAGTCAATCAAGCAGTATCCGCCGCGTTGCGTTGACTGACATGCCAAACTCATCACTCAACGTTCCAGGATATTCGACCCCGGTGAAATCTCGAGCATTGGGGGCCAGCGAGTCTAAATACGGAAAGTACTTTAACGACCTCAACGGGTCTGCCAACGGCGCAACCCAAAATAGCACGGGGAAAAACTCAACCCCAGGCAAAAATCGGTGGACACTTAGGAGTGGTAAGCCCTCCGCATACAAATCCCTACATGCCGACGACGATAGTGATGACGGCAAAGAACCCAGTCCAGCTCCCCGCGATCGCGATCGCAAGGGTCGCGTGGTCAGCAATTCTGGCATTGACTTGGGGTCGAATTTTGGGCATGGTTCACCTGGCTACGGCAGTTACATTGCTGGTCTAGGTATTGGGAGGAGAAGAGATGTTAGCGGGAAGGTCGCGGAAGAGGGACGGAATTGTGCTGGAGCTGTTGAAGAGAAAGAGAATGCGACGAAGCAGAAGGGATGGCTCCTTTCGAATTCTGGCGGTGGAGATATTAAGGCTGCTGGATGGGCTCGTTTTAAGGGGTTGTAAATGCGTTGTCACATTATCTTTTCCGACTTCCATTTTTAACCAATTGGCAGATATCGTCCTTGAATAATATTTCGATGATTGGGGCAAATCGAACGAGTGGAACGAAGTTTGTATTTGTTTCTTCCTTTTTATCATTTCAATCTCTGGCGTTTAATATTTCAGTTTCTTACTCCCCCGCCCTTTTCCTTTTCTCCCTTTCACTTCGTTACTGGACAACCAGAGGCGCTGCACAATATTCGCCTCTCCCTTCCCTGCTGTATACGAGACCTATTCTGATTTTTGATATCCCCTGTTCCCATTTGCTTGATGTTGCTGGGTTTTTGTTTTTTGATGATTTTTCTGTCTTCTTGGCTATTTTGGATGGGATTAATGATATTGATGTGCGTAATGTGATAATGTATCCATAAAACAGAAAGGTATAGTTATTGTGTCTGAATGAGATTTGCCGTAGTGTCTACTCCTATCTCGATACCCCTTTTTTACGGAACAACCCGTCATTAGTCAGCAAGAGTGGGATCTCTTAGAGGACCGTTATCAACCTTGTTGCATTGTGTGACTCTAAGCAAGCTAGCTAGCTACTAATAAATACATAGGTGCACGTGACCTCGGGTAGCCGGGGAATCCTCCAACAGGATCACCTTTTCTTTCGGTTCGTCGCTTGGATGTTCCAAGTTTACTTCACTCAGCTAATTTAGCTGTACCGTCGAAGAAACGATAGCTATGTCCAACCTCCAGTCTCCAGATTTATGGAAATCTCTCTTTGCTTCTTCCGCTTATTTGTCTCCAGGCATAAAAGAGAGGGAGTGCAATCCTACCCCTTCCTTCACTGTTTACTTTTTGCCAATGTAGGGGCAGGCCAAAATGGCTCGCCAGCGTGTTAATGGAATATGCCCTTCACCAAAACCATTGATCGGGAGCCTAAATGGAGTATTTGGCTTAGTTTAGAGTGTTTTTGATACTTGATATCCAAGAGATCAGGTTCAGCAAAAATTCAATGCACCTTGACGTTGTTTGTATCGCTTTCTCACACCAGTGCTGTTTGCATGAAAGATAGCTTGAGTTTCACTTCCTTGCCTTATGCTCTATATATTTTCGTTTTCAAAGAAAGATATTACACATAAATACTTTCTCTTGCCCTTGCTTTATTTCTGTTGCTGCTGAATTCCCCTCTCTCTTCGTTTCATTATAAGCTGCCTTTGATATCCTTCGCTGTCTCCTACCAGCAGATATTGACCGATAATTTCCGTTGGATACCAACTAGCTCTCAAGGATTTCCTTCTGTTGTCTTATAAATATTGGCATTCAGTATTCAAGCGAAAATGCCTCTCACTAGCATCCAAAAAAAGGCGATAACCTGCTACTACTGGAACGAGAGGACATGTAAATATAGTGACAATGTCTGCACGTACGCGCACCGTCATACTGGTCAGATTCCAAAAAGCCACAGTTGGCTAGATCCACTGGTGTGTGTCTACATGTTTCCTTGCTATTTTTTGACCATGAAGTCGATGGTTACTAGTTTACTTATTGATATCACAGCATCGAAATCAAGCCAACGAGATAACACAGGATCTAATCTCAATCATGGGGGGTGATGTAATAGATAATACTGTTACCATCCAGGCGGAAAGCTCTGAGTGTCTAACCTTGGCCGAAGCAGTTATCAAGGCTCTACAGACTAAGAGTGACTACCGTGGAATTAAACCATGCTCAGTTCCCATACCTCTGAATGCGTTCAAGAGGCGCTCAATCAGGGTATCGATGGATATTCTGCCATTTTCCAAGCCGTTAAGCGGAACGATGCTGATATTAGCAAGCTGCTCGTTGATAACGGAGCAAATCCCAATGCAACCGAGTATAATTCTGGCATCCCTCTCATTGCATTTGCCATTTTGCAGAATGCGGAAACCGTAGTTGTCCAAACTCTTCTGAGCCTTGGTGCGAATCCGCATTCTATTCCTCAAGACTTGTGGGATTCTACCGCGACCAAATTATCTATGAAGGGTGAGGACTTACTAGCAGGCAACAGTAACGCAACTCCCCAGACCCTCTGGTGCAGCAGTTTTCACCGCGTTTCGCTCCTACAGCGGCTGGACTTCGGTCTCAGTTATCATCTTCAAGTTACCAGTGGACCAGATGTACCCTCAAAAGAAGAACGACAAATTTTTGAAACACTAGGAATGAAATCTCTCCTCCAGGCACCATATTTTTTGATCGGACAGAGTTTCGCGGTTAAGTGCGTAGCGAAGTATGTCAAGTCGCCTCTTGTGCTTCCCAGAAGTGGTGCACTATTGTTAGCATTTGTTGGAAACCCCTGCCATGGCCAGGCTGAACTAGCTGCTTGTGTTGGCAAATTGATATCTGCCAACTCCATTATTGCTCGAGTCAAAAAGACAAACAAATTATTTACTAACGGGGGAGTATCGTCTGACAATCTGTCGATGAACCACTTGAACAAAGTGGAGGTGGTATACTTCGACGACCTGGACAAAACTGGCTGTTCGGACCTTATTACACTGCTAGATGGCCGCGCCCAAGGTGAGTATATCTCGATAAAACCCTACCCAATGCGATGCAATCGAACTCATCATTCCGGAGATATATCGAAACTGATACTTTTTTCTTTCACTCCCTTCAAGGCACCAAGCAAGACAAAGGTAATCCTAGCGTACTCACCAATGCGAGGACCATATGTATTCTCTCCGTAACGGATAGTGAGAAAACAATTCTGGGTTTCTATAAAAACTACCTATGATCCAATTCCAAGAACAACTGGCACTCAGCTCGTTGGGACCTTCTGGACAAAGCGCTGAGAAAAGACTTAATTAGAACTTATGGTGTATGTAAACTCTCCAGTGAAGACACTCACCTCATGACGAAAATTTCCAGGCCTCACTAACCAGCCACATCGATGCCATAATCCCATTTCTCCCTTACTCTAAGCTTGAAACAGCAGCTCCCGCACATAAACATATTAACGACCTGCGTTCTCGCCTGGCTTCTATCCATAAAACTCTTGGCGGTGCCCTTACAAGTAAAACCAGCTCCATATTCACACGCGCCGTCCGTCTCAAGCTCGAAGGCGATGACGAAGCGATCTACACGCATCTAGCGGAGAAGAACTATGACATGAATCTTGGCACACGGTCTATTCAGCAAGGAGTTGTTAACAAAATCCAGTTGCCGATTATTGAACTGTGGACTAAGAAATGTGCGTATGATCGTGAAGGGGCGGAGGAGGGCAAGGAAGGGTTGTCAGATGGGTTGGTTTGGTGAATAGGTTTGGTGACATTCCTGTCTCCACTTCTGCCTCTGTTGCTGGTAAGGATGTAGGGGGCGAGGAGGATAAGGGGACTATGACTGCTGTTGTCAAGTTGGTGAGTGGTGAGGGGTATGGGTCTCCTTCTATTGACATTTCTTTGGAATAGGCAGGGGGTAATTGAAGGAGGGAATCGGGTACCAGGATTATGGCTGTCCTTTTTGAAAGCAAGGTGCATTGCATTGAGCACTTGATACCCAGTAATGAGGTCATTGGTTGCTTACAAATTCTATTATTTTAATTTTTATCTAGGAGTTACGGGCGCGGGATACTCTTTCGAAATGTTACTACATAGTTTTGAAGGAGAATTAGGCAGTAATGAAGAAATTTATGAGTATGGCTATCTGCTTTGTCCTTTCTCTTGCCTAGGAAACGGGAGTGGGTTAACGGCTCGAGGATAGAGCCTGAGAAAGGGACAATGAGGTAGTTACTCTAGCAAAGATTTTAAGGGCGGTTTGCTACCTTTTAAGAAGCACTCCCCATAAATTTCCAACTCATTTCATTCTCACGAGAATATCTGCCGGTGTCCGTTGATGTACAAAGTAAATCCTTCTTGCATTGATTTAACTGCCCGTATGAATCCATAACAGCGTCTCCCAGAGAAGAAGCGAGACTAGAAACACAACTTCACAAATCATTTGACCGGAGGGCTAAAAAGAATCCGTACAACATAACTAAAGTTCCTGTTAATTATTTTCTCCTTGAAATCCCCAAATCACGAAAGTTCAACGTCTAAAGCTATTAATCGGGCAGTGGTAAACTGTCCTTCATGATGGAAGAGGCCACACCTCGCGTTTTGGGTTGGTCCAGATATGTACCTTTATGAAGCTCTCGAACTACGGACTCCTTTTGGAAATTTCCGCAATCAGTTGAGATAATAGAACAAAGGCGTAAAAATGCGAAGGGTTGCCTCAAGATATAAATAAGGAGGGATCAGTGGAGAAAGAGGTATGGGTGGCGGAAGACAGAAACTGTCCACGGGATAAAAATGTTTTGACGAAATGACAAGTGTTACCAAAAAAAATAAAAAAGAAAAGAAAAGAAAAAGAGCAAGACAAAAATTACAGAACGTCAATGCCATTTCATGAGAAATCCTCCCCAGGTTCCTCGATATTGTTCTTGACGCGAAGTAATATCGCCGTCTTCCATTTATCCAGTTTGCTTAACTGATCATATTGAAATAGCCTATCGCCAAACGCTTCTGCGTCACCCTGCTCAACAGCTTGCGCCAGATCGACAAGGAGCATATGTTCGCGTGTCGTTGCAAAGGAGTTATCTAGTTCTCTATAGGTCTGTAGAGCGCGGTTGGTGGCGACAAGGTCCTGTGGGAAAGTGTGTCTTGTTAGCAGTCGTTCCTTTACTTTGAGAGATGACTAGGGAAATGGACGCTCTTTGTCGTATTAACCTTTGAGGCAAGGTGGCAGATGCCAGCTTTCAAGAAGTAATCTTTTACCGAATACTTCATCAGACTATTGTTAATGGATGATCTGGCCACACGCTCGAAGTTCTCGACGGCTTTGTAGTAGTCTCCTTTGAGGGCGGCGAGGTCTGCGACTTTGAGAAAATGCTTGTTGGCTAGTCTGTGAACGACCAAACATTTAGCATTCCGTTTCCTTTTCTTCATTTCTCCTCTCATTTAAATCCACGCCCACCAAGAGGCACAAAAGGAGTTTGGGAAGAGGTAGCGGGAAAGTGACTTACGCTTCCGCGTTGTCTCCCTCGAACCATTCCGCAGCTTTTTCATATGCTTCCAACGCCCTTGATTCATCCCCAATTTCCACCTCATAGATTTCAGCCAAGTTTTGTTGATGGGTCGCAGCCCGTCTGAAGTTCCCCTTGGAAATATAGTGTTGGATTGCAACCTGGAGCACTCTAGCGGCATCTTCAGGGTCTGTCTTTCGGTATACTTTGAATGCCTCCGTCAAGACATTGGCCGCATCATCTGGCTCGTTAAGATTCTTGGTGAAAACTGCTGCTGCTTTTTCAAACGCCATTCCCGCCTCCTTGTCTGTATTCCGCATGTGTTAAACTACGTATCATGACGGCTATCGGGAACGATTCGAGGTGGGAAAAGAGTCTGGGTGAGACCAACTCATCTTCTGTGCCCGGAACGCATTTGCGGCTTGTGAGTACAGGTCTGCGGCATTTTCATATTTTTCTGTCCGTCCGCCAAACAGACTGAATCCGCCTGAAGCACTTTGGAGCGCTTTGTCGGCCTGTCATAATTGCCATCGGTTAGATACGTCTATCAGACTGCGGGGAGTCGATACCAGTGCACACCTTCTGTAGGAGGACTCGTGGATCCTGTGCCATGGTCTGGATTGCCCTTTGGAAATAAAAGAACTGGAAAAAAAAAAAAAAAAAATTAGCTCATAGGGTTAGGAGAATCGTTATAGAACTGGTGTAGATGGCTGCAGTACTTAAGTAATGGTCCATGGATGCGATGATGGGGGGTGGTGATATAATTATGGGTTGGATTCTCTTGGCAGGGCTGATGATGTCTGGTTGGTTATAGCCACGACGCCTGGTTTTATAGCCACGGCGCTTGCAGCAATAAAAAGTTCTCGCAATGTTCCGTTTTTGCTTGTGGATTATACTACTACGGAGTGCGAACACAGCAGCAGAGATATCTGTCAACTTATTCGACAATTGACCCAGTATTGTACAAAAGGCAGTAGTTCCTGGGTGCTGGTTGGCCTATATACATCATCCTATCCTGACTCAATGGCACCCTACTGCATTCGGTCTCTGCGACCAGTCCTACAAGGTATTGGCAATAATACCTGCCAGAGAGGATCCAGACGTACTCGACGCTCGTCGTCATCAGCAGTTGTTCCCATAGAAGATCCCGCTTTCATTCCCTCAAAGCCCAGCTGGTCGGTAAAGTCCCTTTTACCGCAAAACACGCCTCTTCCACAGTCAGGTACTGTGTCGTTGAAACAGCTCCACCATCTCTTGAAACTTTCTGCGCTCCCACCACCCTCGAGCGTTGAGGAGGAAGAGGAAATGCTCAAAACTCTTGAATCACAGATTCATTTTGTGAGGGAGGTTCAGCGCATCGACACCTCTGGCATTACCCCGTTGCGGACTATTCGCGATGAGACCGTTGAGGCCCAAGAGGAGAATACAATCGGAATAAAGGACCTTGAGGAATCTCTTAAACAAGAGCAATACGTTGGATGGAGCAGAAGGATTCAGCGCACAAAGGCAGAGAAACAAACTCATCCAGACGGGGAGGTTTGGGATGGCGATGCGTTGAAACCCGCGTCGAAGGCGATAGGGAGATATTTCGTGGTTCAGTCAAGCTGAGGAACTGGGGTATTTATGCGTGTCCTCCATACAGTTATCCATCCCTGGATATGCATATCCAATGCGCTCTCCAACGCTTCCTTTCCTAATCGTCAGCCTCGTTCTCATACCGAAATGGCCCGAAAATGTTCCTGCCCGGGGACCCTTTTCAAGCTGGCGGCTGACTCATCAATCCGAGTTCAACGTCCGCTCTCTACCTTCTTCTTCGATTGCTCGATGCTCTTTTGTTTACAACATCTCTACTCCAGTTCGACTACAGCTTTCATCCAGATGTGCCAGTCTTTTGTATATTTTATTCAATTTTATTATTTTGCCTCAAGCTTCTGTCCAGACATCCTATGCATTTGATATAAATCATATGCGCGCAGCTTGCGCGGCATTCTACGGACAGTAAAATGGCATCACCAATGCCCGGGAGTGAACCATGCAGCGGCTTGGACTTGGGGCACGGCCAATACCAAGAAGATAAAATGGGAGGCGACATTGCAACAGTTCTCAGCTTAGGCGACCGACAGTCTCTAGCTTTGCTCATGGTCGACATTGTGGATGAGATGCAGCAAACAATATTCACTTATTTTAACACGGTGGATTCGAGAAGGCGTCGCAGTGTTCATAATCCAGCTCCAGACGACAGCGATTCTATCCCATCTAGATCTCAAAAGGCCAAACTGGGTCCTCCAACCCGAAAGCCATCTACGCTACTAGTAAAAGTTGAGGCGGAGTCACTGAGATATTTTAGTATCTGGAAAGATTCAGTTACCTTCCGTATTGGGGAGATCATAAATACACCAGACGCAATTGAATCTCTAGCAAATGAACCACCTGAAGGGAGCCAGGAGGTCGAAGACGTAGAAAGCACCGCCGAACCAGACTTTACAAGGTTGAGACCAAATCGTACAAGCTTTGCGAGCCGCTACCCGCCGGTAGAGACACCCCTGATCCAACTACCACATGACACGAAATTGGTCCTACTTCATTCGGTTCTCCTTTTACTTCTTAGCCTTGAGCACTACAGTGCTCATTCACGAGTCTTGATGCTCAGAATGGCGTCCAGTCTTGGACTGACTGTGGATGACCTGGTTAATGACGAGATCAAAGTAGCTGAAGGCCTATTGCAAACCGCCAGAGCAATGACGGCAGAACAGGAAGCTAAGACAAAAGTTGAGGAGAAAAAAACATCCAGGAAGTGGAAGATTAGGCTAGCATCTGCTGCGGGAGGTGTTCTCATCGGCTTGACTGGAGGATTCGCTGCTCCTGTTGTCGCCGCTGGCATCAGTGCTGTGATGGGCGGCCTTGGCCTGGGGGCCACTGCTGCAGCTGGATACCTTGGTGTAGTTGCCAGCAGTAGCACTATTATTGGCGGAATTTTCGGTGCCTTTGGTGCCAGAATGACCGGAAAGATGATGGAGCGGTATGCAAAGGAGGTTGAGGACTTTGCATTCCTCCCCCTCTATACGCCCGCGCCTTTAGAGGGGAGTCCTATAACTACGGTTCCAACGGATCAACGTCTTAGGGTTACTATCGCAATCAGTGGTTGGCTTTCTGAGGAAGAAGACATCGTTAACCCCTGGCGAGTTCTTGGACGCGATTCCGAAGTATTCGCGCTGCGATGGGAGTTTAAGGCCTTGATGAGACTTGGCAATGCAATGACGACAGTAGTCAGACATACTGCATGGGCTGTCGCAACAAGGCAGGCTATCACAGGGACTGTTTTCGCACCCATTCTTGGCTCTATAATGTGGCCTGTTGCCCTGCTTAAACTTGCTCACGTAATCGATAATCCTTTCAGTATCGCCAAAGTTCGGGCTGACAAGGCGGGTCATGTTCTTGCTGATGCTTTGATCAACAAAGCTCAAGGTGAACGTCCGGTAACCCTGATCGGCTATTCCTTGGGTGCTCGTGTAATTTTCTGCTGTCTTTTAAGCCTCGCAAAAAGGCGTGCATTTGGTTTGGTTGAATCTGCGATTCTCATTGGGTCGCCCACCCCGTCAACTGCAAGCCATTGGCAACTGATGCGCACTGTTGTCAGTGGCCGGCTGGTCAATGTCTACTCCCTGAACGACGCAGTGCTTGGATTTCTATACCGCGCAAATAGTGCTCAATATGGAATTGCTGGTCTTCAGGCTATTACTGGTGTCCCCGGTGTGGAGAACTTTGACATGAGTGATTCAGTCACTGGTCACCTTCGGTACCAATACATGGTTGGGCATATTCTCAGGAGGATCGGATATGACCATCTGGACCAGGAAGAATTGCAGCGGCAAATCGATATGTTGAAGGCTAGAGATGAGGGAGATAAGAAGCAGCTCCAGCTTGAAAAGGAGAAGAAACTGGGTCAACCGAGCTCGGAACAGCAGCCACAGCAACCCCCGGCGAATAATACGGTTCCTCAACCTTCGCCTGCTGAGGTTGGGAGGGTAGAACGGGAGGTAGAAGGGCGGGTGATGGAGGCTATGTATCATATCCGGTTTGGGAGACTTGAGGTGGGGGGTGAGATCACATGAAGGAGTATATCACCCATGGAATTGTTGATGGACGACTGCTAATGACCCTTTACTATTTGCTATTGTGTCGGGTTTATTATCGGGATCAACTGTCACATTTCCTTAGCTGTTACGCTTTTATATTATTAGTGTCGAATTTTCACTTTCCAGAATGTTTTGCGGTCACACGTCCGTATGGTATTATTGTTTCAGTGTAACTTATCTAGCAAATGGTAAAATTTTCGGCTGCTAGACGGCTCCATGTACGAGATAAACGTTCTATAAACGAGTAAACCAATATAGATATGGAGAATAGATACTAGATGGAATCATTAAATCAAATGTTTTTCATATATAAATGTAACGCAATGCGTATGTCCTTTCTTCGTGGTTCGTGGAAATTTATCCATCATCCCCTGACTCTAAACACGCCACACTTGTCATTAATCTTGGAATTTCCCATTTGTCACACAAAGGGAAACAGAAATTAACGGGGAAGAAAAGGTATTGGCATCATACTGAATGGGAAAGTGTTCCAAAACAACCCATTTTTTTCTGCTATTCCCTGCTTTAGCATACCAATTAATTCGCGGTTTCTTCCCCCCAGGCAATTGCCTTGCGGGGGAAAACACGCTTATACAAACTAATCCCAATAGCATCCTGCGGATTAATTTTAGCATCAAACGTTGCTTTGAAATACCCATGCGTGCCCAGACTCTCCTTGATATACCCGCTCCGACCCCTCTTCGTCCACAGTTGCAGGGCTTTGAACCAATTAACGTCCTCCGCGTTGAAGAACATGTAGCGCACCGTGACGACCCTCTTGTGAATCTTGTAGGGGTGGCCAGTCAGGATGACCCGCTTGGCAATAACACGCGAATGGTCCGGTGCCATCGTCGTCCCTGTGCCGATTAGTTCCCAGGTATCCAACTCACTGGCATGGGAGCTGCCATTGCCGGTGGCTGAATGCATTGCCTCAGCGTCTGTGGTGGGTGGCGAGTTTCTGAACACCAAGACTGGCAAAGATCCCCATGATACGGGGCCGATGAAGGTGGCTACAGCGCTGCGGCCAGGATGTAGGTATCTGTCGAATTTGTGGACGTTGTTGGGAGTGTTTCCGGCGGAGGAGAAGAGGGGTTTGATGACCAGGCGGCGCGGACCGCATTGGATGATTAATTCTTCTTTGGATTTCAGGGGCTTTTCGACGCTGGAGTTTAGAGTTATGTTGATGTTGACGACGGTGTTTTTGTGTTCGTGGCGGAGGAGGGAGAAAAGGGAGATTGGTTGTGTGGGGCGAGATTTTAGGCTGAGGTCTACATCACGGAGATGGACATTGACGCGGGTTCCAGGCCTGACGCCACCTGCGAGCGCTTCCCTAACACATTGGTTTTTGGAGCTTTTGTAGTCTGGGACTTGCAGTAGACGCCGCCAGTCCTCAGGCTCATGGGCCCTGTCCTCTTCCATTTCCCAATGGCTGGTTTTCAGATTTTTGAGGCCGCGGTACCTAGCCAGTCTTTCTCTTGCGATGGTGTTTGGGTGAAGTTCTATTTCGTCGGGGAATTCCAAGTCATCCTTTTCTTCATTCTTGCGGCTCGCGCGATATTCTTCTATTTGTTCAGCTTCATCTTCAGGGGATGGATCCAGGAGCATTTCTGATTGTGGGTATTCTGAAGGGCCGCCAGCCTCAGTCATAGCGTCTCTATTGTCTACATTGAAAACACCGTCCTCTGGACCGGCTGGGCCGTCCAAGTCCATATCATCGTCGACATCATCCATTTCATCAACTAGGTCAGAGCCAGAGTCGGAGAAATCGTCAAGATACCATGCTGCCTGGTAATCTGACGTGCCCTTCGGTAATCGCCTTGGTCGTGTGGTTCCCTTCTCATCGTCGTCCGAGAAATAGTGATAATCATCGAGAAGCACACCTTTCTTTTCAGCATCACCCATAGAGACTGCATCATCCACCATAACGACTTCATCAGGAGCCACGGTAGCTAAATCATCACAATCAGCACTTGGTTGGTCCAAAACCTGGGGCAGAGCTGTGTAGTCGATATTCATTCGATCATCACCCATCTTCTGTTGTTTCGATGAGAGCAATGGCGCAGCAGTGATAGATGAGATCATATAGTCGCCCCAAGAAGGTATGTGAACTAAGCGGTCCGCTTTTAAGCCTTTGCCCCGTACTACACCAGTAACCACAACTTCGCCGGATGCTTTAGATGACAATTCGGGCCATTGGATGGTTTCAATAAGCATCCAGCTTCTGTCATCCCGCCAGCGAATGCCTTTCGGAGTTGCTGTGCATATACCCCTTACTATGTTGGAACATTCTTGTCTTGAGTCTAGAGAATGCACCTTCTCTAATATAGGGAAGAAGTGTGTGATGTAAGACTTGAGTGAAGCTGTGATTTGTGGACATCTCTTGGGTGGGGTGATTTTGTCAAGACCCTATGAATAACTGTTAACCACTAGAGTATAACAAAGTCGGTGGAGCAAACTTTTCATACCTGTACAACTGCAAGAACATTCGATATACCTTGCCCTTCAATAGCTCGCAACAGCAACTCAGCCCCCTCGTCCAGTGTATCATCTGCGGGAAGTATGAAAATGACGAAATCCGATAGGCGACAACTGTCCAGAGCTGCAATCAAGTCTCGTCTCGTGGGGATATATAGGATATTCTGTTTAAATCTCTCTATGCGCACACGGCACGTACTGCCCTGGACATCTGTATCAGGTATATCGAGGCTTTCGTTCAGTTTCTTGATAGCGGCATGGGGATCGGCGGCATCCGAAAGAGGTATAACGGCAACATGTCTCGCAGCACCATTTTGGCCGGAGAATATGCTCAAGGACTCAGACTTGTTTTGGTGTTTCAATCTTTGCTTCTGGCGTGCTTGGTTTCGGCGATCAAGTTTCGACATAAGTTGCTGGTGGGGGGTTTTGCGGCCACCCCGGCCTTCTAGTTTGCCTACCAGTAGAGTGTGTTAGGCCGTGCGCAAGAGTAATTCAAAAAACAGCCGCATATCGTTTATTTCAAAAATGAATTACCTTTGGATAAATCTTTAAGAGCGCCTTTGGACATATGTTTTGACTTAAACGACTTGTGCGTACTCTTCGTCGTACTCCGATGGTGGTGTGGAGTAGCCACAGCGGGAGCCATGCTGTGAGAGCTGGACCCTTTGAATCTGTATGGAAGAGAGGCCAGATTCACAGCGATATATAATGAGAGCCAACAAGGCTATGTAGAAAAGCAATCCGGAACCCTACCTTCTAACGCTGTAATCGTCTCTCCCTTTTAGTCTGGATATTTATTTTCAATATCGGAGTTTATTTTCGTGTCGTTTGATAAGTTTAATGCAAGGCTAGTCACATGACATGTGTTTGTGCCTTTTGCATCATTCCCCGTATCGCAAAGCCACAGAAAATAAATCCCCAGACGAGAGATTCTGTGTCGGCGATGCGCTTCCTCTGCGACATTCTGCAGGATTTTGCAGCGTGAGCCTTTGATACGGTGTATGTAATCCCTCGTCTCAGCTATGGAGGTTGAATCCGCCTCCCAAAAAGAGGACGTTGTCCGCCAATCACACGAGAAAAATGGCACCGAGTCGCGGGAGGACAAGCAGCGAGTGGCAGAAGCGCGACAAAAATATGGGAGAGGGAAGCAGATTAATGCGAAGAGTGCCAAGGACAAGAAACTCCGCAGCAACCTGAAAAATCTGGAGGCGAAATATAAAGATGCAGCGCTGAAAGCGAAAGATGCGGAAATTCTTCTGGAAGCCGAAGGTGGTTATTTGGAACCTGAAGGGGAACTCGAGAAAACATATAAAGTGCGACAAAGGGATATTAAGGAAAGTGTGGGAATAGAAACTGCACAGAAAGGCTTTGAACTCAAGCTGGAAGACTTGGGACCGTACACCGCTGATTATACGAGAAACGGACGCAAACTTTTATTGGGAGGCAGGAAGGGACATGTTGCTACGATGGACTGGCGGGATGGGAAGCTGGGCTGTGAATTACAGCTTGGAGAAACTATAAGAGATGCCAAATGGCTGCATAACGACCAGTTCTTTGCCGTGGCGCAGAAAAAATATGTCTACATTTACGATCATGCTGGTGTTGAGATACACTGTTTGCAAAAACATGTTGAAGCCACACACTTGGAATTTCTTCCGTACCATTTCCTTCTTGCTAGTGTTGTGAGTATAAGAAAAATACCCTTACATGCAGACTACGTCCATTAACGTGTTCTCTCTCCTCTAGGCTACCAGCGGATACCTTAAATATACAGACACCTCCACAGGCCAATTGGTAGTAGAACTGGCTACCCGTCAAGGCTCCCCAACATCCCTTTGTCAAAACCCCTATAACGCCATTCTACACGTCGGACACCAAAACGGCACCGTCTCCCTCTGGTCTCCCAACTCTTCAACTGCCCTCGTCAAAACCCTCACCCACCGTGGACCCGTCCGATCAGTGGCAGTCGACCGACAGGGACGATACATGGTATCAACAGGTCAAGATATGCGCATGGCAATATGGGATATCCGCATGTTCAAGGAGGTACACAACTATTCCGTTCCCCAACCCGGCTCAAGCGTCGCCATCAGTGACCGCGAACTAACCGCTGTCGGCTGGGGTACACAAGTCAGTGTATGGAAAGGGCTATTCACGGCTGCAGCTGCAGACCAAGAAAAGGTGCAAAGTCCATACATGGCCTGGGGCGGCGATGGGAAGCGCATAGAGCGCGTCCGCTGGTGTCCATATGACGACATTCTCGGAGTGTCCCATGAAAAGGGATTCTCCAGCTTAATCGTTCCGGGCAGTGGAGAGCCCAACTTCGACGCCTCCGAAGTCAATCCATACGAAACCACCAAGCAGAGACAGGAGGCCGAAGTACGAGGACTACTTACAAAACTGCAGCCGGAGATGATCTCGCTCAATCCGCACTTTGTGGGAAATATTGATATTGTGAGCGATGCTGTGCGTAGGAAGGAGCGCGATCTCGATAGGAAACCCGATGATATTATTGAGAGGTTGAAGAACAGGGGTCGTGGGAGGAATAGTGCGTTGCGCAAGTATTTGCGCAAGAGGGGAAACAAGAATGTTATTGATGAGAAGCGGCTTAAGGCTGAGGAGCTCCGGAAAGAACGCTCGTCTTGGGCGAAGAAAAATTTGCAGCGCCAAAAGGCTGCTTTGGGACCTGCCCTTGGGCGCTTTGCGAGAGCGAAATCTTTGTGACCTCGTTTTGACATATTATGGCATATTTTCTTCGGGTCTAGGGCGAAAATAGCGTCTAGGAGCTATGGCATGAACTCTCCCGAGATTCGTCGCTTCAGATACTCCTTTCCACAGAACACCTGGTTTATTTTTTCATTATGCCTTAATGACATTACATTAGTGTACATCTTTGATTACAGCATCGCATTGCGCAGGAGTACTAGGTCAGAATGGATAGGGAACTGTATGTGTGTAGTAGAAAAGGTTTCGAAAAGGCAGCATAGAAATATAATTCGTTTCGATTTAAAAGGTCGTCACTTAGATATGAACCATCGCTACATGACCAAGTTCCTCACGGTATGATAGGCCACTCTGTATATGTTAAGCTCCTATATGTATTACCCCTTTTTTTAAAAAATATATGCACCTATTAAGAACTATAATCAGACAAAAGATGCAATAGCATCAACTGCTGCTCCCCTCATTCAAACTTCCCCAGACCCCCTAACCGCCCCATTTTTCCACCTCTGCAAACTAACCTCATACGCCCCACTAGCCTTCCACGCACTCAAAACCAGCCCCACAATATGTTCAACTCCTTTGCCATTCTTCACCTCTGCAAACACCGTCGGGCCCCCCTCCCTCATTTTCGCCGCATCCCTCTCCATAACGCTCAAATCAGCCCCAACTGCATCCGCAAGATCAATCTTATTCACAACCAGCAAGTCACTACCCGTTATCCCCGGTCCCCCTTTTCTAGGGATCTTGTCTCCGCCCGCCACATCGATGACGTAGATTATGAAATCGGCCAGTTCGCGCGAGTAGTTGGCGGCCAGATTGTCACCCCCGGATTCTATTAATAGGAGATCGGTTTGGAATTGGCGCTGGAGGGATTGGAGGGCGAGTAGGTTGGCGCTTATGTCTTCGCGGACGGCGGCGTGGGGGCAGCCGCCGGTTTCGATGGCGCGGATGCGATGGGGGGAGAGGGCTTTGTTGCGGGTGAGGAATTCAGCGTCTTCTCTGTTGGTATTTTTGTAAGCTTGGTTGGAAAAGCAGAGTGATTGTCAGTGGAGAATATGTGCAATTTACTTACTTTGTGAATATGTCATTTGTTACGGCTGCAATGTTATATTCGTCTCGCAGAGCGAGACACAATGCAAGCATCAAGGCGGTCTTTCCCGAGCCCACTGGACTGTATGTAGACAGATGGTCAGCACATATAAGCCCCTATAACGCAGTCAAGGAGCATTTTATTGCTTCTTGGCTTCATCCCCGAATAATTGCAAATCAAAATCGGAAATGTAAAATTGTATGCACCGGGGCGGGACGGAATCCTACCCGCCAATACCAATGGTAAATGCTCTATCATTCCAGTCACGTCCTTCGATCAAGGGCATTTCCCGGTTCAGATATGAGCCAGGGCCATCGAGAATCTCATGCGAATGGCCATGCGCAGCACCATCGTGGGAATGGGTATGTGTATGATGTTGTGGGTGGTTGTGGGGGCCGGTTGACATGTCGCAAAGCAGTCGAATATAAAGGGTAGTTATGGATATATCGGTTCAGCTGCTTGGAATTACCACGCAAGGGAGCGTGATAGCAAAGATATCGATTTCAATGGCCTAGCTCAATCGTTTGTTTTCCGATGTTTGCTGTTCCTGTTCCTGGTGAGAAAAATAGGGATAAAGAGGGGGTTGTGAGATAACAGTACTGACGTCAAGATGCTAACCCATATCCGGAAATATACTTACCGTATTGGGAAATTATATTACTGCATATAGTTTAGCGCAGAAAAGCTAGGCCTGAAACTTCTTGTCGCCCACGGAGCTCCAAGAACTCCTTGATGCAGTTACAATAGATGATGCAGGTATCAAGCAACAGGAACCAAAAGAGTTCGCAGAGCTAATAATGAATGCAATTTCGTCAGGTGTCTTAGAATACATATATGACCCAGCAAAAAACATGACCACCCCGTAGCAAAAGACTAGGAAACGGACATAAAATATGAGCGGTTCGTTTTACATTAGTTATAGAATACGCCACCGAACCTTGGTCAGATTTCCCTACTCCAAATTGTTCATAGAGCTCAAGGTGAGAATAAAGTTGACGCAAAGAATTGTGGTATCACTAATTTCACATTATCAAGTGAAATGCTGCTGGGGTCTGGATGCCGGGAAACCTAAGGCTTGCAGCTAGCAACACACAGAAGACCGCACAGGTACATCAAACCATGTAGGTAGAAGTTAAGGTATAATTCTCATTCGACGAGCCAGTGAACAATGACCCAAAAAGAGAGCTGGAAAATTGGTGGGACTTGTGTGCCGGGAGATTATTGCGAGATTTGGGCTCGTGCGCGATAGGATGTAGTTTTATCATGACACCATCAAGTGTAGGGCTTAAAGACCTCCCCATGCTACACCGCGGAGGAAGAATAATCGGGGGCAAAAGGGGAGAGGGGCGAACTGGAAATCACACGGTACCGCGGTTGGAAGGGGACACATAAACAGGTAACAGAGTGGAAGGATGTAAAAGAAACCGCCAATTATCATGATATTAAGCGCTGGGGATAACAATGTAAAATAACAGAACCGAATATGATCATTTGTCACGGAGAGCTGCTTGTATGCGGGTATGGTGATAACCATGCCCCTTCGTTCACAGTGAATGGTCAAGAAAATCCCTACCAAGAGCCCGCGTCACTTATATAAAAAGTAGAAAGCCAAGGTGAGAGTGGTTGAGATAGAGTATCTTCCCGTTTATTCCGTCAGAACACCGAACAAAAGGGGGGGGGGGAGGAAATACTTTGAAATAAAGCAAAGAGACGCAAGCTGCAAGTTCAAAAATGCAGCAAATGTAAAATAGCACAGGGAGATCTCGCAAAAAACATCACAAATACAAATTAAAAGTGAAAATAAAAATGAGAGCAACACACACGTAAACTAAACAAGATATCCAAGTGAAATTCCGAAGTTTATAAACAACAAAGGCGCCACGCCTGAACCGAGAGAGAAAAGGTCAAGTAAAAGCAACCCCCGCCAATGGTAGTCCAAAGTAAAGTATACTATAACAACAGACGCCCGATTACTTCAAAGCAGCTACACTAACGCCAAGTCCATCTCCAAGGGGGAGTCACGAACACAAAAAAAAATGAAGAAATGAAGAAAAGTATGGGAAACGATGAAGGTAATCTCTCAGGGGGACACATTATTTCCTAATTTAAACCCTCATTAAAGGTGTCCCATCTTAACTTCAGCTTGTGCCCTTTTGCCTTTTGCCGCCAACCCTTGGACTGGCCTTCGGTGCTTTTGATGCATTTGGACCGGTGCCATTCACGTCTGGGATTACACTAGTATCATCCCCTTCACTCTTGATGGCGCTTCGCCGGCGTTTGTTGCTCACATTGGGACTGGTATTGGCACTCGTTCCTTGACTGCCACTTGTATTCGTACCCTGCTGGCTTTGCTGCGCAACCATTGCAATGGGCCCTACCATGCTGTTCTGCGCCGGACTGGGGGTATGAGTCGGTCCTGCGAGATGGGGAGAGCCTTGGCTTCCTGGTAGGCCTAGATGAGCTGCGGCAGGTGAAGAGAATTGTGTTGGTCCGTTAAGGCTAGGTGTTCGTTGTCCAGGGGTCTGTTGAGGTCCCATGTGCCCCTGGCTAAATGCAATAACTTGAGGATGAGAATTGAAAGAAGCAACTAATTGTCGGAGCGCGTCTGGAGGGGACAGGTGTGGACATTGTATTGAATATTGAAACAACGTTTGCATTTGAGAGATTGTCTCCGCGACCTGCAAATGAATTGAAATCGGTTAGAATATTCGATCTTATTAAGAAATAATGGAATCTCGCCCATACCTCTAAAAATTTAATTACTGCAGATGGGACACCGTGTTCCGTGACTATGGACTCAGGAAGGGTAACTGATGGTCCGATTGGCTGCTTTTGCTGTACTCTCTTGGCAAGACCCTTGCCAACTTTCGGGCTTTGCTTCTGCTCTGGAGAAACTGGTTGCAACGCAGTGCGCGGGATATACTCCGTGTGATTCTTAGTGGTAAGATCGAGAATATCAATTTTTCCATTTATGTCGTAATGCGCTCTTAGTGTGCCATGGGCAACGACCTGCCATAGTCAGTGGAAATCCCGAAAGAGAAACGACAAGTAGTTAGTCACGTACTTGGCACTCATTAGCTAGAAAGTAGATGAAACATGTCTTGTGACTCTCGACAATTTGACTACCAGTTGGAAGTTCCTTTTCCTGCGCATTTTCGACAATCATCTGTATATGTCTTATGCCACTGGTAAACTGAGTGTAGTAATATCGGGCGAGAGCAGGCGTAGATATCTCGAACTGTTTAGCGCCCTGCTCTGCACACCAAAGTCCTTGTCGCAAGACTCCGCTTGGAGAAAAGAATTGGTCGACAAAGCGACTCCAATACTCTATACCAGGTTGGGGTGACTGAGCCTGAAAACCAAATTTGGGTCAGTCACGTTATATAAATAAAAAGTCTAAGGAAAAATCTCAGCGCAACTTACGGAGAATGCGCTCAGGTGTTCCGCAAATGTCAATAATCGGAGAACCGCAGATCTTTTTATGGGGTTGGACATTCTCTGTGGCATCATCATTGCAGAGCCGGCACCTTGCTGTTGAGCTCGGAGTTGCGCTTCATGGGCTGTCATCTGATGGGGTTGGGGATGTTGCTGTGGGGGTTGGTTTTGCGAATTTGCTACTTGTTGGAGTTGTGGTTGGTTTTGTGATTGCGACTGAGGCTGTTGACCTTGCTGAGGAGGTGCTTGAGATGACGGAGTAGGTTGCTGTTGGTTTGTCTGTTGAGACTGTTGTGGAGTATTAACTTGGCTAGGGGGGCCAGGTTGCGGATGAGGAGGGGTGCTCTGGGCATCATGCATAGATTGAGGTTGCGGACCAGCTCGTTGTTGGGCATTTTGTTGGTTCTGCTGATTTTGTTGGGCTGCTAGTTGCAGCGCAAGGTATTGCTGCTGTTGATGTTGCATGGTATGTGCTTGTCCTTGATGCCCTTGGGCTTGAAGATGTTGTAAGTGAAGAGGAAAGGGTCGCATATTGGGATTAGCCTGAATAGCAAGCTGCGCAGCATTTAAGCCTTGGGTTCCATTCGGCAAAGATACGGGAATTCCTCCATGTTGCTGTTGCTGCTGCTGCGCTTGCTGCTGCTGATTAAGTTGCTGCGCCTGCTGGTGTTGCTGGTTATGCTGCTGCTGCTGCTGCTGCTGCTGATGTTGATGCTGCTGCTGCTGCTGCTGATTATGTTGTTGTTGCTGTTGTTGATTATGCTGTTGCTGCTGCTGCAAAATCATTTGTCGTTGTCTCAGCATTTGTTGATGTTGTAGTAATTGTGGGTTGTTGGGATCTAAAATGGTATCCATGAATTAGCAATAAGACATGTATCGATAAATGGAAATACAAATAATACAAAATTCATAAAATATAAGAAAGTAGGTACAACATCGTTCTCAGATATGCTCACAGAAGTGAAATAAGTGACATAAGATAGCTGAATGGTCGTGGATCCACCACAAGAAGCAAAGGAGTCACAAGGGAGTGGTTTAGAAGGTTGGATTTAACGAAAAAGAGGTCTGAAGTAAAACCTACAGTTTTGCCCCATCTGCTGAGGGTGATATATTTGATGTCCGTGGGTAGGGCCAAGATGCGATAATGCGTGAGCGCTGGGGCCAGGTCCGCCTGGACCGGTGGTGCCCGGCGGCATGCCGCCCATCACTGGACCCCCTTGCGTCGCCTGGGGTCCCCCTGGACCAGAGACACCAGGATGCAGCTGCTGTACAATACCGGCTCCTGGAGCTTGTCCAGCGAGATGTGCCGCGTTTGGGTGTTGGGCCCCAGCCATAGGATGACCAGGAGGCATCACGGGGTGGTGAGCCATGCCAACTTGGTGGGCAGGATATGGCTGCGCCATCATCATCGCCGTGGAACGAAGTCACCGAATTCGGGACTCCAAATGGCAGTTCTGGGATCTTGGGGAATCGGCTTGGCTTAACTGGTTTCCAATATATCGACCAAATTGAGAGCTGTAGTTGGCTAGGTTCCGACTCAGGACGCGACTGGCACACCGCGGTTGGTCGGTCGAGAAGTCGAGAAGTCGCGCAATTTCGATCATGAGAGAACGTTTGTCACAGCCTCCGCGTCCAGAGCAAGAATCAGATCTGAAAAAGGCGTCAGCAGCGGGATAACGATGACGGGTACAGTGAGCAAAGAGGATAGAGAGGTCGGAGGTGGAGGGGCAGGGCAAGCGATCGAAATATGGCCCACCTTGTACAGTTCCGTCACCAGCATGAGGTGACCACCCAGCGGCACAACGAATCCAACCTAATCGTGTCCACAGAAGGCGTTTGAGACAAACTGGGAGGGCGATGTCCAAAGCGATGGGATGGGCGCATGTTGGGAACTTCAACTTCACCCAGAGGATATGGACGAGCGTCGTTACAGTCTACGCTAGTCCCCCTTGGGATAGGCGCATCACGTGGGTACCAATCATGCGGCTCTGTTGTAGTTAGTCAGCCGAAGTCGCTTAATTTCGGGAATTGGAGATTTTCCGATCCGGTATTTAAGGCTGCGGCTGCTCTACGTTTTTCCGTTTGTCGTTTTTTTCCCCTTCACTTCACACAACAGCAGTAAAGAACGCGGGCGTCTCCCTTTGACAGCCAGCAGCAGCAGCAGCAGCAGCAGCAACAGCATTGCTGTAGGAACTGATTGATGATTGCCATAGGTGTTCTAATTTTTGATTCCTCATTCATCCTCTATATTCTGTTTTGAAACAGCTGATTGAAGGTCAATGAAGATTTTTTTTTCCCCCCTCCCTGGAGCATAGTTTTCCAATTCATCTGCAAGATGACAACCCTTCTCATACTTCTTTCACTTCCTGAGTCGACCTTGAAGAAACATGTCGGGCCTTCCCTCTCCGGTTGGTCTGCTACTTGCCAGTACTTTTTGTCTGATTACATTTATTTCTCTGAACCGAGCTTTTTTTATATCAAATGTGTGTTGAATGATACTAACATTGTTGGCACCCAATAGGACTCGAGGCGTTCAGTGCTCAATTTCAGTTAACTAATCTCAACATCTGCAACTAAATTGCGGCCCCTCCTTAAAGAGAACTGCTTAACGTAAGTTTCTCTACTGTTATCTCGTCTTCCTCCCTCCCCTTCTTCCCTCCATCTCTCATGATGAAATTTTTTTTCCTACATTCGCAGTTTCCACGCTAGCCGTCGCATGAACCTAATAAGTCGACGTGTCGTTGAGCGGACAAATATTGCCTAACCTTGGATGTCTGATTTTTTGCCTACTTGATACAATTGATGTGTCCCCAGCTATATCCTTAAGGCAAATTGGCTAATCACCTCAATTGTTTTTAGTTATTCGTATAGTTCAAACTGCTAGCCCATATTGGCACCCTACTCTTCCCCGTTTAAAAGCACTTACCAGATATGTAATTGATGGGTATTTAGTTCTCCCATCGTAAAGAATGTTTCGTAGATAGTATTTACTATCCTTTCAGGTACTCAAGCAGCCATATATAAAGTATCATGCCTTGCATTTCCTACTTAATTTTTGGATAATTTCTTAATCTTTGCTCTTGCTTTTTAAATTATCAGAATCATGCTATCTCGTATAAATTCACGTACCCACAGAGTATTCATAGCATCTCAAAATTCAAAATAATAAAATGAACAGGGGTCGTTCTGCTGTTTATCTAGATTGTTAAGATGAATGATAATTTTGCTGCTGTACTTCGGTTATCAATAATCCGAAAACGCCGAAGTCGCTCCGGGTATTAGTCATCCAATCTCTAGCGTCGTGAAAACCATTGCAACGAAACGCGCAAACCACCCAGGCGCCATCAATTTTCTGTGTCGTGCCATTCGAACACGAGCTCGTATGTTATTATACGTTCATTTTCTCCTACATTACCGCTATAACCGGTGGCAGTGGCTCAAATACAGCCCTGCATGAATTCTTCTATCTCTTGCCGGCTGCTGTCAGTCCATCAAGCATATCTGAGAGCGCCATGCCGAATCATTGGCCGTCGTCGACTTCCATATGCGGCCCGCAAGTTTCATGCCTCCTCTCCTTACCAATCTAACCCACATGATCCGCCTCCATCCATTGACTCCACCCTCAGTAACACCAATTCCAGTACCCAAAAAGACGCGGAGGGCCATAACGCCTCAAAAGAGAATGCGGAAGTTGTAAAGCCCGATGCAGCACTAAAACCATCCCGGAGACCACAGGGACCCTATGGCTCAGCTGTTCGCCGCGCGGCAAGGAACAGGAAACCTCGAGAACAAACACGCATCGTCGCCGGTGTTCCGGAATGGTTCCGCGAACGGAACGTGGTAGCTCAAGATATATCTGTTCAGGTTGCTGAACCAACAAATCACAATGTGGAGTTGGAGCCATTATCTCGTGACGCGGAAGAAGCGGTAAACAAACTTGCACAGGGTGGAGAGGATGGTGATAATGGTGGTTCCGGGCGTCCATCAACGCCGGGCAGTCGTTACCGTCTTGCTCGAGCCATTTGGGACGAACTATGCGCCTCCGCTAAAGCGGGACTGAATCTACCCCCGTCCCGACATATCGATGAACCATCGGTGACCAAGTCACATTTGGTTCTACAGTATCCTGGAGAAGGAGGGATTTTGTTTTTGGATGCAGTGGTTAAGAAGCTGACGGTGAAGCTCAAGACAAATCTAATAACTCTGAATGCACTAGATATTGCTGAGCTCTATGCAGAACAGAACCTCGTTGAGTCTAACGCACCTAGTTCCATTACAGCAATGGGATATGAAGTTTACCAGGCGAGAAAGCCTCACACCTCCAGAGAACCCGACGAAGAAATTGAGGAGGGAGAAGACGAGGAAAGTTTCTCAGCAGATGATGGTGATCCTGACATGATCCCTAGCCGCAGACAGGATCACAAATTCGTATTTAGAAGTAATTCGAATATTTTGCAAAATATGCTTAATACAGGCCGTGTGGCATCGATTGGGATGGCTAAGGTGTTTATTCCACGCCCTCACCGAGATAACCCAGAACCGAATGAAGATACGATATGTTTTCGTGTTGTGGCCCAACTCCTTTCTATTTCGCATAATCATCAGAATAAAATACCCATAGCTGGTGCGGAGGATATCACCGAGCCAACTGCTGAACCAGTCCCTGAACCAACCCAGACCACCTCCCGACCAGACCTTATTATTCAAATTCAAGATTACAAGGATATAGAGAGCACCCAAAGTGGATCGAAATTCCTCTCGATTCTCCAGCGAGAGGTTCAGAACAAGAGGCGGGAGGGTCAGAGAGTTATGGTCATCGGCACGGTATCCGCGAAGAATCAAGAATATGCTCTGGGAAAAATGTATCCGAAACTTGTGAAGAGAGACTACAACGACGAATTCGCCAGGACAATAGTTGTCACACCCTCCATGAATGCACAGGCAGTCGAAAAGATATTCTTAGAAGATTTGAAGCGAAGAACTCTTGAGATCAATGTGCGCCATTTACAAAATATGCTGAGGGTTCGGATAAACGATCCACACCTAGCAGACACAAGTTTTCTACGCGGTCCAACATGGCCCTTAGATACTGCTGTCATCGAAAGCTCCGGTCTGGACGATGGATATTGGTCATTTGACCGTGTTCATCGGGTTGTTTCACTTGCGCTTGGTGGCATAGAAGGCGCTGGCAAACTCGATATTCAGCAGATACAACGCAGCATCGACCTAATGGAAAAGAGCGATCGCGCTAAGAGCGACTGGATGGTCGAGAGGTATCCCAAGGTGAAGTCAACTCAAGCGGAGTCGGACTGGGAAAGCCGTTTGAAGCAGCTGCGGAAGACATGTAACAGCCACGAAAAGAAACTCCTTAATGGCGTCGTCGATGCTGAAAGTATTCGCACAACCTTCGAGGATGTCCATGCGCCTGCAGATACTATTGAGGCTCTCAAAACGCTCACCTCTCTGTCGCTCATTAGGCCTGATGCATTTACCTATGGTGTCCTTTCTACCGACAAAATCCCAGGTTTACTACTTTACGGGCCGCCAGGAACAGGGAAAACGATGTTAGCCAAGGCCGTCGCCCGCCAGAGTGGTGCTACCGTTCTTGAAGTGAGCGGCTCTGAAGTCTACGACATGTATGTCGGAGAGGGGGAGAAAAACGTAAAAGCCATTTTTACGCTAGCAAAGAAGCTCAGTCCCTGTGTAGTTTTTATCGATGAGGCAGACGCCATCTTCTGTTCGCGGGTTGCAGCCAGCAACCGAACAACGCATCGAGAGCTAATAAACCAGTTCCTACGCGAGTGGGATGGTATGAACGAGCTCTCCGCCTTCATCATGGTAGCCACTAACCGTCCTTTTGACCTTGACGACGCCGTCCTGCGACGACTCCCCCGACGACTCCTAGTAGACCTCCCCACCGAACAAGACCGCCTATCAATCCTAAAAATCCATCTGAGGGAAGAGCAAGTGGAAGCATCATTGGATCTGGCCGAATTAGCCAGCCGCACACCCCTCTATTCAGGCTCGGACCTGAAAAACATGTGCATTGCCGCAGCCCTCGCATGTGTGAATGAGGAAAACGAGCAAGCTGCTCACCATACCGGTGATGAGCCGTACAAGTATCCAGAGCGAAGAATACTTAGAAAAGCCCATTTCGAACGCGCCATGGAGGAGATCAGTGCGTCTATCAGTGAGGATATGTCTACTCTCTCTGCTATTAAGAAATTCGACGAGAAGTATGGAGCCTGCAAGGGAAGGCGAAAGAAGAGCGTTGGATGGGGGTTTAAAGCTCCCCATGAGCTGGAGACAAATACAGGCACTGGGCGGGTGAGGAATTGATGTTTTGGGCCCAAGGAGGAACATAAGGAGGGCCGAGGGATATATTCTACAACTCTACATATATACCCACGGGTCTAGGTTAAAGGATTCCTTTATTATTATTATTATTATTATTATTTATTTTTTATTTTTTATTTTTACTTCTCATTCTTTTGTTTTTGGTTGGTTTTCGCTACAATTGGTTTGTTTTCATTCCTCAAAGGCATGCATGTAGACTAGACACCCATTTTGTGAAATTAATGATGTCCTTCTAGGTTTCGTCATGTCATTATTTCCGATGCTTTTGAAGAAAAGAAAATTATAGAGATATAGCTTTTAACACAGCATCTTCGAATTTCATTTCTTATTTCTATAATATTTAATCAACGTAATCCATCCCCGAGCGGACAGACAAAAATCCCAGAGTATAATTAACTAATTAAAATTCAACTTTAAATATCTATGCCCCAACAACTCATTAAATTACACTAGAGTTAGGACATCTTTTTCTTATATTCTCAAGTATATTGCAATTGCTGCACCTTGATGGAGTTCATGAGTGTGATAAAGACTCTGAGGTCAGAGATATGAGGAATTGAATAATCAGCTGTCCAACAAACTCAGCAGATGAAATAGTAAGCTTCTAAGAAGCTTCTTTTGTTAGACCCTCTTCACGTTGAATTCTGCAACTAGATTTCTTGTATTCTTACTTTTTTTTTTCCCCCCCACATTTACAATAAATATATTCTATTATTATTGACTCATCATTGACAATTCAACTGGCTGAATAAGTATCATTCTCATATCATAACAGCAAGAATGTTATATTGAATCACTACATTTTTTCGTCGACCACAATGAACGTCCTCCGTAAAAGTGCAGACAAATACGGTTTGACCAGATCTCTGAACAAGGAGAAGAAATGAAGTTCACACTTTTCTCTCAGACAATTCAGGCTGAGGTTACAGGCGTGAATCAACATCAGCAGAATGGCATTGCTGAAAGAGCTCACAAGACAATATATGATTGAGTTACGCTCACATTCGCGCAGTCAAAACTTTTATGCGAAATTCTGGCCAGAGATCACACATACTGCAGCCATTCTCTCCCACTAGTAACTGTCATCAACGCTTAACATGACACTGAATCAAGCATGGTACGGCGAGAAACCCGATCTCTCGTGATCAGATCCAGGGGGAAGTGCTTGATTCCACCCAAGAAAAAGAAGAAGCTCACGGAGCCAAGAACAAGGCCATGCATCCTGCTAGGCTACGAAGGAAACACCAACTACCACATCTTGCTCGAGGACAGAAGAATCATTGAGGCTTCAAATGCTGAATTCAACGGAAATTCTTACAAACCCCTTCATGCAATGCACCCCGACGTCATACTACCAACTTCCAGGTCTTTGAAATATGCAGAGCAAAATGCTAGTTTTCAAAACCAATTCACTATCCCTGACTCAGCATACCTTGCGGCACAGCACTCAAGATAAAGGATAATTTTATCTCCCAGCAATTGAAGAGAGAGATAGATGCTGTTTCCGGGAGATCGGATGTGGTCGCAGATAGATAGTATCAATGATTGGATATGTCCTTCAGCCACCGTCCTAACAGTGCGGTACAACCACGGAATGCCAGGGAACCGGGAAGATGGAGGTATTGCCACGTCAGAGGAAGGGCGCCGCATGAGAGAGGACGTGGCATGAGGGGTAATAAAACTAACAGTCAAAGAGCGAGAGGGAGAACGAAAATCAAGAAGAATAGACACATCTATGCTCGGTCTGACAGGCGCATATGTTCGATCTAACATCAACGCAAAAGCAGAGGAGAAGGCAGGATAAAGTATTTCAAGAAATCAAGGTAACAAGAATTGACTACAGAACATCTCACACCGACGAAAACATTCCAGTGACTAGCTGTGAGAACAAAAGAATCGCAAGCCAACGGCCATGTCTACCTTCAACGAAACCGACCTTACGTCCGGCAATTTGCAAGCGAGCAGCACGCAGCACAGTTCATCTTCAGATCAAACAGCAGCTGCCAGCCAGCCCACGTATCAAGAGATCAGTCGCTGGAGCCCTGATACCGACAGTGACACCTCAGAACATCAATCTAGTTCTCAGCGTTCTGCTGAAGGCATTCCGGCAACACATCGTTCTTCCACGAGTACTGAACCCAACAGTGAAACTATTGAGGAGGAAAGGGCACGGACAGCATTTGCCTTGGAACATGGGGGACCGCCTGCATCACCGGAAAAAAGGACTGGAGAGGCGTATACTGCTCGAATAACTAAAAACCCTAAGGCAAATCAGCACGAAAACAGCAGAGACCATGGGGCCAGGCGTGCTAGAAGGCGGCAATAGAGATACTGAGAGATATCTCAAGGTCTCTTGTCATTTTAGGCATCGTGTAATTGCAATTTGGGTCTTGAGTCTGTTGAAATCTTGCTTCTCTAATCCTTCTGCCAGTTCAATGACTAGAGATGTCATTAAAGATATCGCGGACCTCTTCCAGGTATTGAGCATATTCATCCAACTTTGAATTCAACAAATGAAGTCATTCCAGGCTTCCGAAATGGGGACACTCCTTCTAGAATGACCGCCTTAGGCATTTTGTCAAACATTGGCTCAAGATGCATTCTGAAGAGATTGAACAAGACCTTTGGGGTATGCAATGTGCTCAAATACCAGAATCGACAGTCACCTAGCGCTGTCTTCATAAGTGTACTCCAAGAATAGAGATTCCCATGGTGACAATGGCGTGTTCGTATTCGTCTCCACTTGTTCGAATATATCCACATATTGGTTTTTAGCAAGTCTCGAACCGCAAATCCCCTAAGGGCAGGGAGCGCGTTTATTCAGGATCAATAACATGCTTGATATTCCAATTCTCATCAACAAAAACATTGCTGGCATGCATATCTGTGAACTGCACAATGAAAAGACCAGTACGAAGATGTCGGTAAGTGAATTATGGTAGAAATGCTCTCATCAGCACTAGATCTTTGGCTTGGGAACGTCCGTCAATCTCATCAAAGACAGCATTCTTCTGATGCTGCAAGCGATTATCATGGCCAGTAAGAAAGTCAAAATAGAGACTATCAGCACTTGTACAGGTTATATTTTGAGGAAAATCAGTTGGAATAGACCAATTCTCTAACTGATGAAGATGGTAGAATATAGGACGGTTGGTTAAGCCGATTTGACCGTCATTGTTTATAGTCCAAGAGCCAATTCGACGCTGTAGAATTCTCGCAGGAGAAATCATGATTTTTGAAAGACTTCGATAAAGATTTTCAGTCTGCACATCTGTATGCGGCGTGGAGAGCACGTCGGAGAGCATTTGCACATTAGCATCTTCTTCATCTTCAATCCAGCCATCAAAATATAGCTATGACCGAGGAGCGCTCTCCTTTTCCGGGGGAACATATTCGCTGTCATAGGATTATCTGCTTCCACACCGATAGCAAGCACAACAGCAAATACAGAACTTGATTCTTTCCCAAAGAGAAACAATTCCAGGTTCGCAGAACTGTGCCCTCACCAAACATCAGCAAACGACACCTCGATATCTGTGGTGGAGCATTTGCAGACGCACACTCAGGCCGCCAGTCACTCCAAACCCCCGCAGTTTGGGTATCGGAATATCCGAGCGTTCTTATCAATCCAGATATATGCTGCAGTCTCTGATCGCAATTCTCCTCTACATTGTCAGGAAAAGCTTTCTCGCCAAACTCATATGGTGAAGGGGCCCGGAATCACAGTTTCGATGGCAGTGAGTTTCTAGCATTGTGGGGACCAGCACGGTCAATGCATATAGGGATACACACATGTTAAAGCTGCCATGCCGCCACACATGCTCACCATCCTTCCCAAACATTGCTGGCACTTGTACCAAGCTGGGGTTTGCCAGGCCGCAATGGAAAGCTACCAACTGTTGAATTTCTTGATGACAGCCTGCAAACTCATTATAAAACTTCGGTCTTTTGGCGGCATATTCTAGCTCCACTGTCATGTCCTCTTCCTCCTCCTCCTCCTCCTCCTCCTCCTCTTCAGCCTGTGCACCTGAAAGAGTAATAAAACAATCAAGAAGGGTTTCACGTGCTTTGGCGGTGCTGGTGTTGCCGGGTGTGATAGGTTCAGCAATGTCCATTGTGGATCGTAGGATGACTTTGAGCAGACAAGCACCAGAACAAGTACGTAGAACTCTGGCACAGCGCGAGCAGAAAAGTCCAGCTGCAGCGGTTACAAGGGTTCTCAGAATATTCTGACCAATCAGACTTTACTGTTGACCCAGTGATTCAGCCACGGTCTTGGGCATACAGGCCCAATCGCCAGCCAGTAGTCGATACTAGACAAAGAACAGTGCAATCCCATATAGGGATCAACCTGGTCCCTAGCAGTCTTGCTGTCGATTAGCGTTATTACTGAAATGGGAAGATCGTCCTTTCACAGCTTGCACATGGAGTAAATCAGATATACTCGTGCTGGATCTTCCGGGACGTAAAATGTGGATTATAACGTCCTCTTGTGAAGACCATGGAAGCCCTCCTGCATATTTACGCCTATTCCCCTGGCTTCAAAACATTTTTGCGAAATGCAAATCTACAATAGACTTCAAAACCTCCAGGGAGAATGCATTCCGGTCTGTCTTGGTGTTGTTCGCCTGGCATCGAACTATCCCTATTACTACGATGAAGGAATCACATTCCACATGTTATTTCTGAGTTGGACTGGGAACCGGTTGGGAAAACTGGGGCGTCCGGCCATGTCCCAGATGCCCATGTCTCTTCCATGGCATCCCATGCCCTGTGAGCAGTTAGTTCACTCACAAAGAGTGCTCCGTGTTGACACGGACCTGCGAAATCTACTATGGAACCAGATTTGCCAACGCCGAAAGAGAGTCGCCCGTGTACTGACATCCACGGGTTTCCAGGCTGGTTGCATTCAACGGTTTCACGGAGGAAGAAACATCGCTTATATAGAAAAAAAGTTCCTGCACTCGCCTGATGAGGCCGCCTCTACGCGTCCCATGAAGCGAGCTGAGTTGAGGAGCAAGATCCTCCTCACCGGCAGCATATGAACCGATTACAAACAAACGCAACGCCACCTCTCCCCCATCTTCTTTCACACAACGAATCGACCAAGTAATGCTGGGATGTAACCCAGACAAGAGCAGGCAGCGATATTGAAATCAGGATCCATTGGAAGACTATGAACCAAGTTGTACCATGCTTGGCTGCAAACGTTCCCTGATCTTGAACTGTGCATAACTGAACCTTGTGTGAGAAACAGGAACTGGCTTACTGATGCATTGATCAGCTACACTTCAATACAATGAAGAGGGCCTTCCACAGTATCACAGGAATAAGGCATTTTTGCCATTGACTCAAGACATGGAATGTTCTTCATCTCAGTATCCTCCTCATCCCCCTCCTGGAACCAAAAACAAGAGGTCAAAATGGAAAGATGCATCTCTCAGTGGAACAGTAGTTATGAATGTATAAAGTGCAGAGTGAAAATCCGGACCTGAATGACCAGTACACATAAGTGAAGAGAAGAACAGCAATGAAGAAGAAGCATGTTCAAGACCCTGATCATTTTTAGAACTGTAAAAACTAAAACCAGGTCACACAGCAGCTGGATCAACAGCAGTGGCAGTGGACATGGATTCACAAACCGGAGAAAAGTGGGTTGAATATGAAGGCCAGAGCGCAGGAGAACAGAAGGGAAGAGTGTGGACTGAGAGGGAAAAAGAACAACAAAGTGCGTGCCATGGCAGAGGAAAGGAGAAGCATCTTATACAGTCACCATGATGACACCAATGTGGATGCTACGGCAGATGCAGATCGAAATTCTCCTGCCTGCTGTGCCTGTTGAACAACCAGCTCCTCAAGCCCCTGAGCCCTGAGCCCTGAGCCCTGAGCCGCTGAGCCGCTGAGCAGCAACCTCCTACGCCCGCACCACACTCACGAGCTCCGCCACAGTGCAGCAACTGCAGTACACCCGGATATAAAAGAACTCACTGCCCTAATCCTGTGATTAGTTTAATTTAATTTGAGTTAGATGTTGTTGGGTGTCGGTAATTAGAATCTAGTTAGTCGAGCTTCTTTGATCTTTGGGAACTCGCTCAGTGGTGGATTACGTTAATTGGTTGCGCTGAGCTGAGGCGCTGGGTCATCCATGTGTGTTTGGAGTCGCAGCTCCGGTAACTAAACTATGAATTATTATTTATTTGGTGGGGAACATGCGATGAAAACTGAGCAAAGAACTCAAAAGGGTACAAACCCTCGAAATCACAAGTATATCACGAATCAACCAGAGCCACCCGAAGCGCTCTTATGAACAGATCGTAATTTACGAAGTAACGGCAAAGTAACGAGGCCTACCCGCGAGCATGAACACGGAAACCTCCGCGATCTGTCTTTCATCCCCGCTCTAACTGGCCACTCGATCTTCACCCACCAAAAACCCGCATTCATGTCTCAGCGAAACGCCCACAGGTGGACACCTCAACGCCCGTGATCACAGAGAGGACAAAGCAAAATGGACCTCACGCAACCTGAAGAACCCGCGTCCCCCACGCACCCCACCTCCGTCTTTGCATCACTACACCGCAAACCACGCCAGGCTCCGAATCGAGCTTCCGACCTTAACGACTCTCGCGAAACAGCCGTAAAATCTGCAAAGCGTTACCTTCTCGAACGCATTCGCGATGACTGGACATACGAACACCAATCCGACACCCCCAGCTCCCCTGCCTCATTACACATCCACACGGAAGAGCAATCGTCACAAGTGTCGCCAGCTACACGCGTGACCACCGCGAGCAAGGAGCTTCAGGCTGATGCCCGCGAGGTGCGGGAATGGCGGGAACGTGAACAGGATAGTTCTTGTTCAGAGGCTGGGGTAGGGGTTGCGTTGGGGGCTGGCCAACGTGGGGATCTACCATCTACATTTACGACCAGTGACCCGTACCGGTTTGAGTCACCTGATGCGGTGGAGCTGAGTATGTTGGAAAGAAAGAGGAAGCGGAGGAGGGTTGTTGAGGAGGAGATGGCGTGGAATGAAGGTTTGAGGATATGGATGGAGAGACGGAATGCATGGACGGGGGCCAGGATGCCGTCCACAACTCCAAAAGGGGGAAATGAGTCCGTTATGGGGAATGCGGAAAGCAGTGGTGCGAGCATCGCTCATGAAGAAAGCGATGATGCGGAGATGGTTTCGCCAGCTTTTACGGGAGATGGTAAGACTTCATCATCTGCCAACAGTCTGCAGACACCAGATGCTTCGCGGCCGTCTTCTGAGCGTCCTACGTCCCGTGGTGAACCGCTTGGTGCTGCGATAGAAGAAGCATCCTCACTGATCACCAGCAATGACAACGCCAGCAAATTACACCTGGACTCAGAGGAGCCTCTTGTCCCCATCGTCGAACCCCTCCTCCCACTCACAAACCCCATTCGCGCGTCCATAAAACCATCCATCTACCCATCCATCTACAGCAAAGTTGTCATCCAATCCCTCACCCCAGCAATACCCATAAACCTTTCAGATGTGATCAAAGCCCTAGTCCAAGGTTGGAAAGCTGACGGCGAATGGCCACCCAAGCCAACCACCACTCATGACGTTCCTGTGGTGAAGAAGCGATCGGCCAAAAATGCCCCAGCTGAAGGCGCGGGGATCTCGAGACGCTTAAGCGGCTCTAGTGTTACAGGGGCCATGAAGAAGGTCCTGGGGCTGTCGGGTATCCATCCTGCCCGCCGTTTTCATATTCGTGGTGGAAGCCAGGGAGGCTCAGGTGCTGGCGAGCCGCCTGCATCAGGTGTTGCGTTTGGTGCGGTTACAGAAGCCCGCCAACTTCCACAAGACAAGTGACAGGTGTTGTTTGGGTTTCCACGTTCGTCATAACTAGGCTGTTACTCTTTTTTTTTTTTTTGGGGGGGGGGTCTGGTTTTGTATATTCATTCATGTTAAATGATATAAGTGGTGATTGTGGTGATGGTAACGATGACGATGACTACGACGATGAGCTCATAGCGTTTGTGGCATTTTAGACATTCCATATTGCATAGCGTGTCGGAGTGCTGGATAGGAGGGCATATATTTTCGGATGGTGTCAATTTCTGTCTCTTCAGTGTCTCCATCGTCCCAGGTTTGGCATGTCTTATTACCCAACTCTCTCCAGGGTGGTTGTTGCAGGCGTTTATAAATGGTTGACTGTATTCCGCAATATCTACTTTCCTTCGATTTGAATATGTAAATCCCAGGAATTCACAACCACTCATTTACGTGTCAATCAATATCCATTCCAGGTCTGCTAGGTTTGGAAAATTTACCCAAGGACGATAAGAAGCGAGTATATATACACAACCAGGATGACCACAGCCAAAGCATTCAAAAACACATTCACAATATGTCTTAAGTCAAAAAAAGGCATCGTCATTTGTTATCAATGCGGCTAAAGGAGACAAGCTCGACAAGGAAAACATCAAACCTATATCTACACTCTAAAACGCCGCCCTTTCCCCATGATCTAACATGAAAGTGTCATTTCAACATATGTAGCCAGCCGTAAAACCATAACGAGCTAGAAGGATGAGGAAGAAAACGTCTGCAGCCCATCCATTGTACCAAAAAATATCTCGACAGTTTTTATAAAGGCCTCTTTAGCAAAAGCTGCAGATGTACATGCCGGATCATTAACAACGATTTCCTTCACTTGCTGGCTATGTTCCGGACGGACAAAATATTTCCCATTACGAAAAAACCAGCCATCTCGGAACCTGGATTGAAGACCACGCGCGGCAAAGCCGCGAGCATCGGCAAAAAATTGTGACGGTGGATGGTAGTTATTTTCTTGGGATATGTGAGTAAGCGCCATGTCAAGAGTTTGTGGAGCAAGGGCATTCTCTGGGTTTAGGAGAGTGGATGCTGCGAAGAGCACAAACTGCTTGAAAATATCTACATAAGCGACGAGAGTTGCCGCTTGGCTGGAACTTCGGTCCAAGTAGTCTATGGCGGGGAGCGACGTAGTAATGGTTTCTAAGAGGGAGGTGACGGTAAGTAGAATATGTGGCTCATCAAGTAAACCAGGGTAGTCCACCAAAAGGCGTACAGCACTGTCAACTGCTTCAAAGTAACAGGTCAGAGCGCCCACGAGGACTGAAACGCAGTTGCCGTCGTATGCATTAATGAATAGGATTGATTCCATCAATATCCGCGTTAGGGACTGTAATAGAGGCCGCACTAGGATCCACGCCCCGGGAGCGACTAGACAGACTTCTATGTAGGCTGGGAGGATGCAGCGAAGGAAGAAAATCCGGATTGTGGATTGGTGGTTTTCGCCCGGTTCAGCGGATTCCGTCATGGCAGCATAGAGCTGGTCTACTAGGTCCATCTGCTGACCGTCGACTGCTGCTCGTTCAGACACATGATGGAGGAAGGTAAAGAGTTCGTTGGCGACTTTGCTGGATGTAAGACGGACTGAATAGCCTTTCAACTTGCCGACAATATAATTTGGATCATCTGCGGGAAGAGGAAATCTACTTGGATTTGTGAAGAAGGGATCAATCGGGCATATCTTTTGCGAGTGTTGCTGGAGAAATGCAACTATGCGATGTACAAAACCCACGTATGAGGACTGTACCGAGTCGTCGATTTTGCCCAATTCACTATAATTAGATTTCATTGCTCCCATTAGAGTTTCAACGAGCTCGCGATACTGACTCCTGCTGTTTTGCACAATATGAGCACCAAGATCTTCAGCATCGGAGAGATGTTCTCGCATATTGGAAAGAATGCATGAGATAAGCGATAATCTCCTCTGAGAAAACTCTTGCAGGGTGATTTCGTATCGCTGGGAGATCGGATTTCTCGAGAATGGGAGGTTGCTCAGCATCGCATCTGAACCATCCACGTTCATGATGGCATTGGTCAAAACGTGCTGATACTTGAGCAATGAACCCCTTGCAACAATGCATTCCATCCAGTGATGTAGTACTTGTCGTTTGCATTCAGTATAAAATATTTTGTCCTTTTCAATCAAACAGGAGAGAAAATAAGGCAAAAACTTCCGCGTTTGGTCTGTGGCTCTCAATGAAGCCCACGAATCTTCGCCATATTGACCGAGATAGCTGCCCCACTCTCTCAATCCGTAGCTCACGAGAGTATAAGCAACCGAGGCCCAGGAATTAACAACTTTAAGAAGTACAACATCGTCTGGAGCTTGGTCTTCACCAAAGCAAGAGGAAAGAAATCGAGCTAAGGCAGGGCGAATGGTGTCATCCAAATGCTCAACAGGTGGGTTTGCTTTGGGTCGTCCCTCTTCCTGCTCGCATAATTCCGCAAATACCGCCCACCCTTCAAACTCCTGACTATCATCGCCGGTGTCAACAAGCCCAGTTGGTGCACGGGATTTCGTGTTAGAATTCGTGTAAGCAAGCACGATATCTAGCGTGTTACAAATAAGAGGTTGTAAGCGGGGAATCTTGGTGTTCAAAAGCTCGAGTAATCTGGCGAGAGGAAATCTATCTACTAAAACTTTGGCTTCGACGGGAGCTTTTGCAGAATCAATTGCAATCTTCAAGTTGACAAGTGCAACGCTTAGTAGGGACTCTATTGGTTTCTGATAGTCAATAACAGCCTTCTCGATAGTTTGCCGAGAAAAGAGAGAGTTTGACGCTGCTTGAGCTTCTATATCCGTCCGAGCGTGGGAGTGCTGTTGCAACATGTCAAGAACGAATGATGCATGCCATTCGGCAAAAGGGATTAGTCCTGCACTGTTCTCATCAGTCGATAATTTAAACCTAACCAATCTCAACCAGGAATGGATATTAATGCTGCAGACTTCCGTGTGAGATCGGGCGGGATGCACCAGGTTGCGAATAATTTCAACTCGTGGTCGACAGGTGTCAGGGGTAGCCCAGTACAGCGTACACAGAAGATCGTGGTGATTTCTTAGGGCGTCAAGATCTTCAACGCGAAGCGGTTGGTCCTTCGGATAGTCCCGGCCGTGGTTTGGTAACAAGCGCCATGCGAAATTCCGGATCTTTTTCTTGTCGTATAAATCACCCATTTTTCGTAAGCCCAGCCCGATGGTTTTCAACAGAATGTGAAAACAGCTATCCCTAGGCTCCATTTCTAGCATAGGCTGCCGATCGAGTTCGTCAAGAAAACCCGGCGAGCCAAAAGATTGTTCCTGGTTAAGATTATGAAGCATGTTTTTCGCGAAAAAATCAAAGAGGGTATCCAGTATAACTTTGCTATGCCGCCATTCCCAACCATCAATCAAGTAAAAACAGCGGTGAAACAACGTGCGACAGTAATTATTGAATGGCGCAGAAGACATTTTCGAAGGAAGCGTATACGTATCGAAAACAGGTGATAGCAAACGCCTGATCGTCTGCCACTGATCGAAATTCTCTTTAAATCGTTTCCCTGGTCGAAAAATTCCCATCTCATCAAACTCATACAGTGGAAGGGTGGTAAACACTCCGTTCCACAGTTTCTCCAATTCGCGAGCATCATTCGGCAAATGCGAAGTGAATGGAGCCAGAATTGCTTGGGATAAAAGATCTTCGTTCATGCCACAGAGCATCGGATCTGTATAGAATATTTTTTGGACAATCACAAAAGCATCCAAGAACGGATGTTCGTCTTTAATTCCCGATTCTCGCTGCTGTCGCCATTTAACTTCCTCGAGAAACTGTCTGATGTCTGTTAAGCCCCTATCACTTAAAACAGCTTGTAAGATTCGATTTTGAGCCGCATTCATCTTGCCAACAATCTCGGAGTATTTGATGGATTGAACCAGTTCATGCGATGCAATTTGACGTATTTGATTAGTAAAAACGTAATTTAGCACTTCCAGTTTCATTCGGAAATGTATAGATGTTGTAGGCGTAGCAGAATCCGAGGAAGGCCCATCCGTGGCCAAGAGTTGCAGGGTATCAAAGGTTTTTGTTAACAGGACTAAGCACCTGTCCACAAACATCAATCTATCGACTGGGTCCATGAAAAATAGCTTGTCATTCACGTAAGTGATAATAGACCGGAAGGCTTCCACCGGGTGGCCCATTTTTGTGGAGGGATCACGAGTTATTCCATTACTAGGGGGTTCATATGTGCTGACCGTTTCTAAAATTGTATCTAGCAAAGTACCAAGCTCTGAAGAAACCGATTCACTCCATGCACTCCATTGATACGTATTATTAGCGTATTGTATAACGGCATTCCCGTTATCATGGTCCATATTGCGAGATGAGAGTTGCATAGAGCGCGAAAAATCTCCACTTCCGATGAACGTCGACGAATGGAAAAAGGTACCGATTTGGAGCGGGACAATGTCAAAATTGATTGTATATACTGCTTCCGATGGTTTGAGACCTATAAGAGAAGGATGTTGAGTGGCTTCGACCGATTTTACAGAATTGGTCTCAATGACGTCCATATCGACGCTTGGAGGTTGTTGGTGCTCAACAGTTTGCACATTGACTTGCCGGGGAGCCCGTTTTCTTGGTTGACGAGGCTGTCTTGTCTGGCCTTGTTCGGGAAGTAGCGATAAATTACCATGGCTATTGGTTTTTTCATGCGACCCCGATGTATGAGCATCATGACCAGAAGGGGATTCAGCCAAAAACCTTGCCATTGGCAAGCCGGTGTTTCTAACGAGAGATGAAGCCTGAGTCCTGTACAGTGAGTTGAGTGCAGACAATGAACGTTGAAAGTTCGATGCACGATTGAGCGCACGGGTACTCGCCCTGGAGAAGTCCAACTGCGCAGGTCTTGGTGCATTTCGCCTGAGTGATGAAATCGCAAAACCTCGCCTCCTTACCGCCCACTGCTGGCCAACCCTCCCGCTGGTGTTGGACAGTCGTGCTGATTTTACACTTCCCTCCTGTACCGAAAGACGATATTCCGAAGGAGCCTTGGTTTGATCACTTATAGCACTCCTAACGTCAACATCCATTCGTAGCACAGATTGCCGAGCATCCATCCAAGCCTGGTGTGCAGTACTTTGATTAGATTCATCGTGGGTATTCCCCACCGCATTGTTTCCGTATGACTGTCGCCGCCTCTTACTTGAGTTATTGTCTGTAATTTTACTTTGACGAAGCGAACCCGCCCTCCACTCTCTTAACGACTTGTTGGCATCCTCCGTGTCCAGTTTTGTTCCAAGTTTTAAATATGTTCTGGTCGGGCTCTTCCGGCCAAAGCCTCTGCGCGATCGCGCCTGTCGCGCAGCGACACGTAGAAATTGTGGTTGCTTCAGAACTGGTTGGTCTTTTACATCTGATGAATCTAATATCCCCAATCTTGGGAGACGGGGTTTCGATGGTGGACTAGTGACTCGTGACCGTTTCAGGGTATCTGTAATTTTTGCTTGATGTTTAGGCCGTTGTTTCCGTCGTGAAGCAAAACTTGAGCGCGGTCTCTTCTCCTGGTTTGATTGTAGCCCGCGATGGAGTTGTAGACTGCGTTGTTTTTGTCTCCGAGGCACTGGAGGGAGCATATAGTCAATACGGTTATCTTCGGGAATGTCATCAGCGTCTTGACTTAGGTCATCCGTGTCCATCAGTTGTGGGAGTGGTTCGCGCGAGTTTTGAGCAGTGAGAGTCAGTTCACTATCCGAACTAGATTCATCAGCTATAAAGATAGGAGTCGGGGGAGGTCTTCGGGTATAGCTATTACTCCTATTTCTGGAAATTCTCTGGGCTACACCTTTTCCGCTCTGACGTCGATTCCGTAGGTAATCTAGCCTTGATTTCTCTGCTGCTGCCTTCTCCATTTCTAGTTGCTTTTGGAGATCAAGTCGCGGCCATGAAGCAGGCAGTACCCCCTTAATCTTTCGCATCAGCCGTTTGACCTCCATGTATTCATGTTCTTCCGATCCCTCTGTGTCTTGCATTTCCTCCCCTCGGCCTAGTTCTTCACCCTCGTCGGTTGACCCCTCTGTTGCCAGCTGTAATGGTGATTGCGGGTGCAAATACCCAGCAGGTTTTGGACTAGTCCGTAGATCATAGTCAAGTGAGTCATCTACTGAGATCACTTCCAAATTTCGAGATGTTTCATCATTTTCCAAAACAGTGATGCCAAGAGGAGAAGGGCTAGCTCCACGAGGAAACCGGAATTCAGGTGGTCCTTGAAGTATGTTGTTGGATGACTTTGGGTCAGGGGTAGGTGAAGAGGATGGAACATCGAATATAGCGTTACGTTCTCGAGGGGGAGTTTGTGGCAATCTATTATCAATCACAATCTGTATCTCGTTTGATCTGTTTTCCCGCAATTCGTTTCCAAGTGCTCCATGTGCATGAGATATTTTCCGAAGTTTCCCAAAAGCATTTGCGTAATGTGTCGGCTGTGACGCCAACTTTACAGAGCTTGTAGGTCTAAAACCATTGCTGGTGTTGGCAGTGTGAGGAAAGCCTCCAAATTTGCGTGCACGTTGTGTCAACCTTTTGCGCTTAGATCCAGCAGCAGGAGACCCCGATGGGAATTGAATCGATGTAGCCGGGCTGCTTGAAGGAGGCACGTTCTCATGCACAAATTCCTGTTCTTGCGACTCCTCCTGTCGAATAGAATAACGCTCCGTAGTTGGAACCCGCACAGGGCGTATATTATTGCTAGCACACCATCTTTGATACTCTGCTCGATCTACCAAGTAGGGGTGGAGGTTAATGAATTTCCGGTTTCTAAGAGCTCTCCTTGGGCCTGAAGTCCGAAAAGATGGTGGGGTCGGCGGGTTAGACTGCGCTGGTGATAGAGACGAATCTTCGCTACCACTCTCTTGTTCTCCTTTCTCATCATTCAACTGGCATGCGCTTTTGATTGGGGTTCGTGATGGGAAATGCTGTTCGAATTGCAGGTCATCAGGGGAGGAGCTACGGCCCGTGCTGCTTGACTGTGGGTGTCGAATCGCATTTGACGATGCCGTATCATTCCCCGTAGTGCTAGACCGTCCAGCCCTCGAAATCCAGGTACTCAAGGTGTAATCATATTGCAGCGGGTCGTCCTCTAGGTCATCGGCCTCCGGAGGTGCATTATCCAATACCAGGGAAACAACTTGAGATTCAGGACCATCCTGAGCTGGATCTTGATCTCCTCGAAGTTCATCGGAATCAACGTGCCCCGTAATATATTCACCTTCATGCGTAGCTTCACCCGTGGCTCCTCCAGCTTCTTCACTCAACTTATCGGAGGAGCGGCCCCCAGAATATAAACCAGCCGATGCTTGCGGATCAAGCTGTGATTCGGGCGGATCATCTTTCCAGTCTTCTAGGCTTTCATGAATATTCGAGGCATCCGGTATATCTTCATCATCATCACGAATGGTGGACTCTATCACCCTTCCGGATCCTTCATTCAACTTATCGGAGAGCTGACTCTCAGAAGGTAAACCCACCAAATCTTGAGAAGCAAGCTGTGATTCAGGCCAATCGTATTTCCAGTCTCCCTGGTTTTCATGGGTATTCGAGTCCTCAGGAATATGTGCTTCAACTTCACATATGACAGGCTCTGTGGTTTCTCCATTCCTTTCACTCGGTTTATCGTTTTGCTGGCTCTCAAAGTCCTCGTCTTCATCGGAGTCTGGAACGAAGCCACGCTCTCGCCATAGTTCCATTTGCAAGCCAACGGTGATAACCCATCGCCTTATACTGTCATATCAATATCTGGGACCAACAAGTAAATTTAGGAGCAATTACGGGAGTATTCAAAGTGTCTACTCCCTAGAATTGTTTTATGTGAATGATTGTGAATATTTTTCCCGTCGCGTCGGAAGACGCGTTCCCGTTAGGGGTGAAGTGTTTTCACGTGATATCGACGTTTAACCCAAAGTCACTCAAATATTAACAAGGGGATAACAAATTAACTATTAACATAACTAGTCCAATTTATTCAACACGTAAATTGAATGACAAACATCATTTACGATGGGCCGACTGCACGGATTTGTTCCAGTCGCCTTAGCTGTGGGATTTGGCGTGCTTAATGGTATGCTATGAACCGCTATCCCATTGCTGTTGAATTCTCTTCCGACTATTTGGCTAAGCCTCCGGCATTTTGATGGACAGGATATGTAACATTTGCGCCCTCATTCATGAGTCCGGAGGCTGATCAAAAGAATAAAAAGGCAAAGTAGGTTATATTCTATTGGTCCTGTGTTGATATGGTAAATACATACATACCATTGCTGACATCCATACTGCAAAATTTCAGCGAGAAAGATTCATCACTATCACCGTCACTACGACCCACGAGACACGCTGTGATCAACTCAACCGCTTCACCAGACACGGATAGAAATATTGAAACCACACCGGAATCGTCCAAATTATAGCCCTGAAGCTATCTTTTCCAAAATCTCCGTGGGAAGGCAAAAAGGGACTGTGCCCTGTTCATGTATGTACCGTTGTTGATGGAAACCAGACGCTATGAAGGGACTTCATCGCAGTGGTTCGCAATAAATTCTGTGGAAGAGAGGCAATCGCTAGGACAGGACGATTGCAATGAAATACATATATGAATAACTCTACCATCTAAAGGGCTTCATGGGGAGTATTTTTTGTTCTTGGAATCAAAAGTTGCACTGCCATGTATACCAAGACACAGACGTGGCACAATGTCCATTTTATCCCATATTGGTCAAGTCGGTGAAGCAGCCTCTAGTGGGGCCTGTCAATCCCCATTATGTCTCGATTTTGCAAAATTTCGCACTTCGGGGGATCTACTCATGGTGCCAGTCAGTGTTAGAGACGACTGTATTCCCCATCAGGGGAGAAGTTATGGAAGAACCGGCAAAGTACGGATGCCGGCTACGCCTGAACTTGTGCAAAAATTGGCAATACGGCCCGACATTCTTTTGGAGGAAGGTCACTTGGAAGAAAAGGTTTGTTGGTGGCTGGGAAGTGAAAAACATACAAAGAAGGCGAGATAGTAGACAGCCAGAGGTCTCGAAGCTGTTAGATTGTATTTTTATTTGAGAACAAAGTCTAGTATGGTTTCGTCAGTTGGCGACAAGGTCTATGAACCGAACGGTTTTGAAGGCATAATGTTTCATAACAGTAGCAATATTCAACTGGAAAAGTAATCTGCGCAATAACACTATCCAGTACTATACATTCCATGTTCCCCACCCCTTTTTATCCTCCTACAAATCTGCAGAACACCTCTGGGAGATAAAAGCTACTCAACGCCTCACTGAATCAAAACAACCCAAGATACCTTAGTTATGCAAAATATAACATTAGAGGAAAGAAATTCCACTTTTCACACCTCCTCTACAAGCCGTCGATGGCCCTGCCCTGATCCTATGCTTCGTGTCGTCGACCCATTTTCAAAAATGCGTCCAGCAGGAGTACCAAACAATTCCTCCGGAACACCAACTCTACACCCTTCCCGGTTCGAGACATAGCGTATCATTGTCGGCTCAGGCTTTTCTGGCTCCTGTGGCTCCTGGGCTCTAGGTGTTGTTTCGCCACCAGCTGCCGTCTCGGCTGCAGAGATCTTGCCCCGTCGTTTGGGTGCTTGTTTCTTGAGAAGTTTGTTAATTGTATCCATCTAGTGTTTTTTAAACGCGTTAGTAATGTTAGAAAATAGACGGTGAGAGGGCGGGTGTTGTATGGAGAAGGCGGTGTTACCTTTTCTTCTTCGTTTCGCTTTTCGCTGAGGTTTTTCCTTCTTCGTGCCATTTCAGCGCGTCGCATGGCATGTTCCTCTGCAGTTAGGTGCTTCTTTACTTGCGGTTCTAAATGTGCGGATTAAATGCGTCAGTCATCATTGCACTCATACAAGATTTAAAAGTTTAAAAGGGTCTTATCCAGAGAGAATTCTTACCCATTGGCAACTGCAAAAAATCGCCTCCAAGCTCCATCCGGCCTCGCTGCCGTTTAGTCAATTTACTTACGTCAGGGGTACTTGATCTGCTGCCAGTGATTGGAGTGCCGCTATCACTCTCTAACTCTACTTCTCCTTCTTCTTCTTCTTCTTCTTCTTCTTCTTCTTCTTCTTCTTCTTCTTCTTCTTCCTCCTCTTCTTCTTCCATATCCTCGTCCTCAACAATCTCCTCTGGCTCCTCTGGATCCTCTGGCATAACTGTTTCATCTGGCTCTCCATCAGCATCGGCCTCGGAATCCAGTTCGGAAAGCTCCTCATCATCGTCGTCGTCAAGGTTCATGGTGGAGTCCGCGTGGTTCAATCTACTCTCCCCAGCGGCCGTAACAGAAACTGTTGGTCGAGAAACAGCCTGCTTGACGTTTGGTGGGATTGGCAGTACATCATCCATATCAACATCATCATCGCCGTCAGCATCAGCATCAGCATCAGCATCCTCGCTATCGTTTCCAATTTCTTCACCATCACTCCCATCGGCATCAGATGTTTGCGATTGTTCCCCATCCTCTTCGCCCATCGATTCCTCAACCTCCTCATCTTCATCTGTGTCCACCTCAACCAATGTTTTCTTCGATCGACTATTTCTCGGTCCCGTGACGATCACTGGTTCCGTGAAGATATTGTGATGGTGTTTTTCTGCTCCACTAGTTACCTCCCTAAGCTTGCTCGACGGCATCTTAACTTTCAGACGAATAGACCTGTGTGCGTCTTTAGGCGGGCTGAGGGGCAAACGAGACACAGTAACCGATGGAGGGGACACAGCTTCGTCTGTGGTTCTGCGATATCTTGATATAGAGTTAGAAAGAGGAGAAGACACATGGGTTAAGCCGGTATGAGATCGGAGCGAACGCTGAGTAGACATGATCGGGAGTGCGTGTATGTTATAAAAATTGTAGGCTCAGGAAAGGAAAAATCTCTCATGGTAGTAAATGTGGGACGAGAGTCAAACGTTATGATCAAGGGATGCGAAAGGGGAGGTGAATGTGCCAGATCATCGTAGAGCAAGGGCGGTTAGAAAAATCCATGTGTTTCTTCAACATAGCACCTAAAGGTGCGAGACGAATGTGGTTTTATATAGCACAGCAATCAGCAGGGTTATGCAAGCGAGAGAGGTCGGTAGTCAGCGAAAGGCCACATATGCAAAGCACCGCTGCCAGTCTCAGCCTGTATGTGTACAAAGAGCGGGAGCGCTCTTACGCTGATACTACCTTCCAAACACCATACGCCCGAAGCTGTCGCCGTGCAGCAGTACCATTGCTAACCTTTCTGGTTACTCAAGGACTACCTAGTTATTTAACAAAGCAGCTGCCCGAGAGGTTGGTGTTTATTAAATAAATAGCTGGCGTCATAATCGTCCCAAGCTTTCAACCGACAAATGGGGAGAAGTAACCTTGGAAGGGAAAACCGCTGGATGTTTGGGAGGTCGAGGAAGAAACAGGCAGACATCCAATCCAAACACCAAACAGAGATGAACAATACACTCAACTTCAAAGGGTAAAATCTTACCTGGTGGACTTGGATTGAATTGGGGTCTGGGACCGCCAATCGTCGCTGCTTTCGTCTGTGCTGCTGGTAGCCTCCGTATTTTGGTAGTACGACGATTCACGGTCAGATTGTTGGCAAACTCGTGTTAGAGGCCTGTCTGCCATGGAATTTCGGTCTGCTAGGCCGTGGGTCGACTGGACGTGAGGAGAACGCCTTGTCGCAGCCGCTATGGTAGCAAGGTCGAGTAATTAGATGATAGTTAAACGCCAGCCCCCCTGCTGGCTACTGGGTGGGGAACAGTCTAGCAGCTGAGGAAACTCAAAGTATGGCGTGCAAGGGCTAGTCGTAGTGGATTCCAATACCTTTCGCATCGCAAAGAAATGGGGAAACCTAAGACAATTTGTGGGAAAAGCTCCTCATGAAGCAGCCAATATCAAAAGTGATGGGACGTCGAGATGTTGAGCAGGAGAAGGAAGACTCAAGTTTGGGGGTGCATTGCAGCTGGGTACTGGGGTACTTAATAAACATATCATATTTACTTGGTGAGGGAGGTACCTTATTGCTAGTAAGCAGCCCATTTGGTGTAGTTACTCCGTACTCGTATCCTGATTACCACCATATTTACCACAATTAACGTTATTTAAAGTTACCGTAGTTATTTAGTTAACTAGTCGTAGTTACCATAATGGATGATTAAGCAAGCCGAGGTCCAACTGCGACTCCTACCTACCGCATTCCAAAGTTATTCTCAACATCTTCAGCATTAATATTGTTGTCCAGATAAGAGAGAACAACGTTTACATTTTTATTTTTCATAGCATCCAGTGATCTTTGCCTCCTGTCTTCTATGTTTTACGTGTGTTTTAAATTGATTCAATTTGTTGTCCAACTACCATGAGTGACGATTCAAAGCCGAAAGCCCCGGTTATCCCAGGCTGGCAACTCCCTGCGCCAGACAAGACGGTATCAGATTCCACCACTGCTCCCACAGCAGATGGAAACAAGACAGAGACATCCTCCAGAAACACTCTCATAGAAGAAGCTTTAAGATTTCTAAAAGATGAGTCAATACGAGACGCACCAACGGATAAAAAGATCTCGTTCCTCGAGACCAAGGGCCTTCGCAACGACGAGATCCAAAAGCTGCTCGGCATATCAAGAAACCCAGAGGCTACGAGCGCTGACACGACATCACCAACAAAGGATTTTACGAAATCAATATCATACAGTGCTCAGGCTCCTCCTCAGACGGTCACATCTGGCACGGCCCCTCCACCCTCGCCCGAAATCCCAAGCTCTCAAAGTCCAGCCTCTGGCTCCAGTTCCCCTCCTATTATAACATATCCCGAATTCATCCTCCAAGCACGGAAGCCGCCACCTCTAGTCACATTCCAAGGCGTTATGAACACTCTATATGGTGCTGCTGGGCTTGCGTCTACCATATACGGCGCCAGCCACTTCCTACTGAAGCCAATGCTGGAAGAGCTCACGCTTGCCCGCCATGAATTGGCCGAAACAGCACGGCGGAACATCACCGCTTTGAATGAAAAGCTGGAGAAAAATGTGTCTTCGATCCCACCTCTCCTCCCGAGCACCTCACAAGACGACCAAAAGTTACATCATGATGATGATGATGATGCGGATTCTATAACATCAGATCCCACAGAACTTTTCCACAGAGACATTGCAACACAAACATCACCAATTCTCTCACAGGCTTCATCTACCCTGTCCACGCCAATTGAAGGCCTGGACACGGGTGATCTATCCTCCTCTCAAAAGACAGTAAATATGCACACCAAGCGGCTCAAATCAATATCATCACAATTAACTGATTATCTATCCGACGAAGATACCACGGGCACTATACAAAATGCAACTAACGATTCTCTGTGGGAATTGAAAAGCTATCTAGATGGCTTGATCTACAACAATAGCCCTTACCCGTATATGGTATACAATGATTCTTCCAAGCCAGTGGGCGGGAACGGAAAATCTGGGGCCAAAAACAACGAAGATGCTATTGCTGCTTTTAAGACAGAGATTCGAAGCGTAAAGGGGACTTTGCTCAGTGCGAGAAATTTCCCTACTGGCACTGGTATTAGATCCACTATTCCAACAACCGGTACTCGGTAGAGAGAGCATCTGTCACTATTTTGTCATACAAATTTTCCTCCCATTTCCCGATCCTGCTTTCATTATCCTCAATTATTGTTCTTTTTGATTCAACGCATACGGAAGAAGAAATTCTTTGTTTCAATTCCCATTCCATGTATTCTACTACACTTTGGGTTTATGATAATAGTAGAAAGCTAAGATTAGCCGACAGCGAACAATTGAGATTGCGACAGCCTCCCTGTGATAGCCCAACGAATCGCAATATATTTTCCATTGCTTATTTCTTTGAATCTTTTCTACTTTCTCTATATCCTAACATGATATCATAACTCTCTTACCCCCGTCCTACGAAGTCTTATTCTGCGTCAAGTTAAGACATCTTATCCAGTTTGCTGATAATGATACCCTTGGCACCTGGTAATCCGCTGGTGCGAGTATGAAGTTGGGACACCGACAAACCTTCCACCCCGCTGTTCTGCTTCGGGGGTTGTGTTTTCCGGAGTTGTTGAATAGGTCCGTATGCTCTGGATTCCTGCCGTACATATGATCTGCTCATGGTTGCCAGGGTCGACTGAGGTGAAACAGTGCGTTTCTAGCTTCGCCAGTTCGAATATACGCTACTTCCAGCTAAGTGCGTATTTAGTGTTAGATCTGCTCCAATGATGGCTGTTGCTGCTCATTGACAGCTGCAATTCGTCCCGTACTCTTTGGCCAATGACCACTGCGGCCCGCTCGGCGGGGAAAACGTAAGCATTTAATTAAATAACTAACTAATCTAAAGACAGGGCCCAAAGACGTCAGTACGATGATGATTGAATCTGGAGTGCCAATATCCTCTGTCATTCCCGGCCTCCAACTCTCCGAATGACACCATGCCTCTCTGGCCTGGAATCTTCATGCTCGCGTCGCTGTTAGCAGTTTGCCAAATTTTGGAGTCTCAGCTTCAAGACTGCGGAAACTATATAACCCGTGAGACTGGATCCGTAAGAGTATGACTCTGAGCAAAAGCTTCACTTTCCGCTCAGCTGAGACCCGGTGGGGTTTCCCAGGAGATCTCCACCCTAAAACTCCAACAGCCAATATGTTAGAAGTCACCCTGTTGAATAACATATCGACTTTCCTCCCCGTTCTCTGTTTCGTCACTCATATCCCAGGAAAAATGCATTCTTAATCAATTACACCCACAAGGGGCTCTCCGCTCCGCATCATTGGGATCTTCTTCCTTGCTGCCGCTGGATACCTCCAATACATCACCTGCCTAGACTTGAGCAAAAGTGTCACCTGCAATGGTAGCATGGCAACAGTGCCAGTCACACTGCTAAGTCCATGACATAAATCTGCTCTTTTTTAACCTCATCAGGCCTCATCAGGCCCCTTCGATGAGCATAGACATGAACGTACGCGGCATCGGCAACTCGTGGCTAGGAAAAAAGGTCACCAAACCTCCATCCTTTTACGGTAACCAGTGTACCCGGCAATTCGATTTCATCGTGCGCCAGATGGCAATCGTGATCTGGTAGTATCTGGCCTCTGATATGTTTTCAACAGCCGGCGCACTACAGCTCCATGCTCTTCTTTCCCTCATCTACCATTGAGTTCATGATTGAGGATACGGCACAATGGCTCTGGAGAAAATACAGGTGTGGAGGATGACGGGAAGGAGATGGGGAAGCCTAGCACCGGCACGGTGAATTTTAAAAGATCTATTAGATGGGTGTGGGTTAATACGTTAATGAGCTTGACTGCGCCGTTTTTGTGTATCCCGTCAGTCATTTTCCTCTGGAGAGAAGGGTACAGATGGTGCCGTATAAGCATCGTGAGAGTAGTCAGGATACAGCCGATTTTGGGGACAGTTGCCGTTGGGGCGCTTTTGTTGAATTTTTTTTTTTTTTTTTTTTTTTTTTTTTGGGGGGCGGGCTCGTAATTGTTCATTTTCTATTCGGTTGTTGTCTCATTAGTGGGGTTTCCTCATGATATGTTTCACTCGCTTTCCTTCTCACTATGGGAGGTCTGGCAGATGATAATACATTAACCCGCGGTGAGAACTTAGGTAAACAAAGAAATAAAGAAAATTCGGTGGATATTTCCATAATTATGGGGCAGTTTTCCTTTATTTTATGTACCCTTCTACATGGAGTTGTTTCTAAACATGAAATTTTCATATCTCCAGCGTCGCCCCATAACCCCTGAAATACGGAGTGGGAAAAATGTGGGCGGGAAAAATCAATACTCCATCGCCATTAATATAAAAGTAACAATAAGGTAAAATAAAGTATAAAAACCTAGTAAGTTTAAGTTGATATTAAAGATATCTAAAGACAGCGAGAATATAATAGCAGTAAGAAAAATATTCGCAAAAACAATAAAAAGGAAAATAAAAATGATAGAAAACGAAAAATACAATCGTCACATCCTCAACTCGCTCAATTTCATGATCCTATTTCTTTCGTGTCTTCGGTTTTCATTACTTTTGTCTCTCTCTTCTCCTGTGTCGATCGCCCGTAGAAAAGTCGACTCATTCATCCTTCGCCTTCCCTTAGCCCCCCCTCCTACTTGCTATTTAGGGAAATGAAAGTGAGGAGATACATCTAGCTCCCAAGCAATGGAATGTATAAAAACTAAAAACCCGCGAAAAAAAAACCATTTATATAACCGCTATATTCAGGGAGTGGCCCTGCTCATGCCAATCAAACGCTTCACACCTACCTATATTTCACAAACAAAATCATTAGCACACTTCATTGATACGAAACGAGATAACGAGAATCAAAAACTCCAAACAACTTACCATCCAATTCCCGCACTCCTCATTCCGATTAGTGAAAATATCCAAATGAATCGAGTGTGCCGTATCATAGTCGCGCGCCTGCAATGCCCGCGCAAGCTCAACCATACTCTCCACCGTGCCCGGCCTGAGCAGATCCTCGTTGTTCAAATGGTCAAAGAGAATATTCAGCCGGCGCTCAGCGTCGTTGACTTGCGCTTTGAAAGAGGATGGGGCACGTGATTTAACACGCTGCATGTCGGCGGAGAGGATTTCGAAGATTGGCTGTGCGTTTGCGGGAATGTGGCTGCGGTTGCCAGGAGCTGTATTGAATTAAATTGGTAAGTCGATTTTATAATTTATTTGTTTGTATACATGCAGGGGCAGGGCACTTACGGTATTTAGGGGGGACAGCTGTCTTCTTCTGCGACTGCGCTGTACCTGGTTGCGAACCCGGTGCCGGCCCTGCGGGTGGTGGTTGGTGCTGGGGCTCTGGTCTTCCACCTGGCGCGCTAGGGGGTGCATACGGGCCCTGTAGAGGTGGAGGTTGGTGTTGCGCGTATGGCGACGGGCCTGGTGAAGGCGCGGGGGGGTTAGTGGGGTATGGAGCGGCCGCAGGTCGAGGATGTTGGGGCCCAGATGGCTGCGCAGCGGAATTTGGAGCGTAACGGTTCGACAGTGGTGGGCCAGACGGCGGGGTATTGTAAGGGGACGGCCCGCGGGGAATTTGAGGGATGTTCATACCCGGTCCGGCTGGTGGTTGAGTTGTGGTCGGGGCATATGGGTTTGACGTAGTCGATGGAGGTCTCTCGGGTGGCTGGAAGCCATAGGGAGGATGGTGTCCCACGGAGGGAGGGGAGGTCATGCGCTGGGGAGGAGCGGGTCCCTTTGGTGGGGGTAGGGCTGCCATTGATGTCCGCTGCCTGGGCGGGGCTGGCGGGTGGGGAGACATTGCTCGTGGAGATTGGGACGGGTTTGGTGATTGGTTTGGGAAGGGGGAGCTGATTACACCAGCACCTGCACTGGGGGTTCCGCGTCGTGGAGTTGGAGCCTTGGCGAACCCTTCGGGCAAATCGTTCCAGGCAGGGAGATTCGTAGCCTGCGTATATGAAGTGACTGTGGATGGGGATTGATTTGTGGCCCGTGGCGGTGGGCCGATGTTTGAATGTCCAGCTACCCCAAAGGTTTGCGTTGGAGGAGCAACAGGTCCTGCGCCTGGCCGTGGTTGAGACGGTTGATAACCTGCTGGGGAGTAGGTTGTTGTAGCTCCTGTTGGCGGGTAAGGATTGCTGGCTGGCATAGGAGCTGGTGGGGAATATGGGTTACTTGTCTGCGTCATGGGCGCGTTTGGCGCAAACATTCCGTGAGACGCAGGGGATTGCTGTGGCAGGGGCTTCGAGGTCAGACGGGACGCGGTAGCTTGGTTGGAGGGAGCTGCCTTTGCAGCTGTCTTGCGCGTAGCTAGTTTGATCCTGTTTCTTGTGGTCTCAGCAGCAGAATGAGCCTGGGGCAGCAAATCAAGATATTTTTCAGCGATGCCCAGTTGTCCGTGTGTTGCAACAACGTCAGCATACTCAAGATACTTGTCATAGAGGCTGCTAAGCTTCCAATCGGACGTCTTGTCTTTCTCAGTATCCTGGAACTTGGTGACCTGGCGGAAGACTGTAACTTTTTCGATAAGGCTCTGGAGAGCACGAATGTGAATCGAAAAACTTGTATCGTCAGAGGCCTCCTGAATACTCTTACTCTCGTTTTCTTGAAGCTCATCAATCCAGATAGCCACCACCTTCTCCAACTTTGAACTGATCAAGAAGCAGAAGGCAGCATTTTTACGACTCTCCTTGTCGTCTTTAGCTTTGGCTTGTTCTTCCAGCCTATCCCCGAGAGCTTCGCACAGGTCAGGGAATTCCTCATTCGTCGCAAATGTACAGATCGTAGCGATGGATTCCTTCCAGTTCGCAAGGTCTGCATTGTGCACAACATCCCAAAGGTTTTTACCAACAATGGAAGCCAGCAGTCTGAGATAGTTCGGCCCCTGAGCCTGCTTCTGGAAGTAGGCTTCCTGGGCCTTGTCAACGCACTTTTGTCCCCCGCACACAGCAATCATAAAAGCATCAGAAATCCGGTCCTCCTGAAGACATATATCAAGCGCCTTTTCAAAGTCTCCTAGGAGAAGCGCTCGCGTTATTCCCCTATCTGCCTCAGATTCGGAACCAGTATAGATCTGGAACGGATCATTCGTCCTAGCCCCCTTAGAAGCAGATAAATCTGTAAGAAAGGTATCGCTATCCGCATGCGTATCAAAAATCGAAGACAACCGCTTATGTCTTTTTGCACCCCCGGGACTGGGAGAGTCAGATGCACCAGATATCCCGTTAACCTCGCCCTCGCTCTTCCCCAGTCCAAGTTGTGATAGGCTATCAGCAGCCTCATCAACCTCGTTCGAAAATCCCAAATAAGTAATAACCTGTTTTCTCGGGTTCTCCGATATCAATGTTTCAATAACCTTCCAATCAGCCTTGTCCGAGTCACTCCTGGAATTTTGAATTCTAGATTCACATATGCTCCGCAGGTCGCCGGCCTTTAGCGCCTCTTCGAATTTCTCAGTAGCACTGCTGATGTTTGAATCCACTTCGAAAGGAGTAACTTTCACTCTCGAAGTGCGACAGCCCGGTTTACCAGGTTCCGTAAGGTCGACAGATATCACTCTACCGCCAAACCCAAACGAAACGCTGACAGGCCTTTCCAACCATCTGGGAGGCTTTGGCAGAGAAAACGAGGAAACTTGCGGTTGCGACTGAGCTTTGGCGAAGAAGTCTTCATCGTCGACAGGCTGGCCATGACTTGCTCCAGCTTGCGCTGCGGCATCAGCTCTAGTGCTCTGGATGGTTTGAATAGAAATTCTGCCATCGAAGGAGGCCGTAGCAAACATGTTCGGGTTATGGGGGTTCCATCGTGTTTGGAAGGTCCAGTTGGTGACGACGGGGAATTCGCCATACTGAACTCCGGTCTGAGGATTCCAGCAGATGGTCCGGTTGTCCTTGCCGCTGGACAGGAGTAGGTCTGGATCCTGGGCACACCATGAAAGTGATAACACTCCGGATTCATGACCTCTCAATACCTGTTTCAAATTAGTTAATGTATTGCTTGTAGGAAGGGTTAACTTAGAGCATACTCTTTCAGGTGCATTAGTATTGCGCAAATCCCAAACTAGAATCAGAGGATCTGTCTCTAGGGGAATGGACGTGACGAGTTTTGTTGGCTAGTTACACGATTCAAGTCAGTAAACCTCATCCTATAAAAAGAATCATGAAATAATAACAAATACCTTCTCCGGATCCCACGCAACAGCGCTAACAGCCTTCCTCCCCAGATTGTTCAACGTCAAACTCTCCTTCTTAGTCTTAACATCCCACACAGTGACGAACCCCGCGCTGCTTCCCGTGACCAAGATATGGGGCACTTTTTTGTTCCAGTCGAGGCACTCGATATCGTCCAGTCGTGCTGCAACATTTCCCAGTCGGAACGGCTGGTCAAGATTGTTCAAGTCCGAGATGAAAAGCTGTAGCCATTAGAAAATGGACATATGCAAAAGGAAATCTATTTGCCTTGCGCTAGCATGAGATGTACGTACTTCTCCTTTGCTTCCACCGGTTGCCAGAAGGTTCGAGTGTCGCGGATTGAATTGTAGCGTTTTGACGGGGCCAGAATGCTGAGAGGCTCTCAAGACGAGCGAATCACTGCGTGTATAGTTGTATATGTTAGCGGGAAAATGCTATCCAAAACCTGTGTTTGCGCGGAGGAAAAAAATGGGACACCAACCTTGCCCCGCTCAACAGCTTATCTGCACTCCAAAGATCTAACGACCCATTCTCCAAGGCGCCAGCAATGATGCCCCGAGAACTATCATCCGACTCCGTCCATGCAAGGTCATGAAACCTGTTTTATGATCAGAATTCAATATCAAATTAGCCACCTCATCTTCCATAATTGATACTACAATTTTCAACCATCCCCGAAGAAAAAAAGTTCCAAAAATAAATAAAAATAAAATAAAATAAAATAATCATTACGGAAAGAAAGCCATACCCAGACTCCGAACTAATTTTTGCTGCGGGTTGTAACTCGACGGCACCTCCTTCGGTGTCCAGGGCAAGATCCCAAAGTTCCAAGTCCGTCTCATTAGAGAAGTTTGCATCGACTGCACCAGCCCGTGTCCCCGTGGCAATGAGGGGGAACGCAGAGCCGGGAGACCAGGCAAAGGCGGCTGTTCGGGGGATTTCCCGTAGACGCACCATTGTGGGAATAGGAAAGGGGGGCCTACCCACTACACAGATGGTAAATGGGGATCAAGGGGCCAGAGGGTTGCGTTTTCTATGCGTAAATGGAATATGTACAAAGGAGAGTAATGTTTGATTCCCAATTCCAGGGTTTGGGTTGTAGTTGTTCGCGATCCCTGGACTTGATATTGACTGGGGAACTTGCCCCAGGGTCAACTATTTGATCCAGGTGGCCTTCTGCTTCTGAGAAACACTAGCCACAGCGAACAGCAGCCACAGAACACCCACACATCACGTGATATATTGCCCCTCCCAACGTCAAAACCTCAAGAGGTCGTGATTAGATCAAACAACGTCAGGTCTTCCTAGTTGAGGGAGCTTCAAGAGCGCAATTTGACAGATACTACAGTTTGTACGTTTGTTGAACGACAAGATACCCCCTTAAAAATAAACGATTTCCTATATGTGTACTTAATACTACAACCCAATTCTTTCCGTACAAAAGCAACAACAAACCAGGATCACAACCAAACCAAACATCAAACATGTCTGACGCCTCCCGCCTTAAGAACACAATCTACGTCGGAGGGCTCGATCAATGCGTCACAATCCGCACCCTAACAGAAGCCTTTCTTCCCTTCGGTGAAATTGTCGATATCACCCTGCCCAAACCCGAAGCGCCCTCCTCAAACGATCTGCACCGCGGCTTCGGCTATGTCGAGTTCGAAGACGCGCAGGATGCCAAAGATGCCATTGACAATATGGACCAGAGCGAACTGTATGGACGGATAATTAAGGTTGCTGCTGCGAAGCCGCAGAAGGATAGTAATGAGGGCTTGGGGAGTAGGACGGCGATTTGGGAACAGGTATTGGTTCTTTCTTTCTTTGTTTGGGTGGTTGATGATTTAACTACTGGTTTTCTAACGGCGGTTACTTGTTCAGGAGGGCTATTTGGCTCAGCATGCCGTTAGCAAAGAGGATAGAATCGCTGAACGGGGCGGGGCGGGATCGAATAGCCATCCTGAAGATCCCATGCAAGGCTTGGAAGGTCTAGATATTGCTGGGCCGAAACCCGAATGAATCTGGTATTATATATGATACGCGCTATGAATTGATCGACTACGAAAACTAACGGGACAAAGAGGGAAACACAGAAGTAATATCGAATGCTGTTATTGATTTATTCTCGACTCTGCCTTTTTGCAAAGCACACAATGCGTGAACGAAATGAAAAAAATATATACATGTACAAGCCATCCAATTTGCTCCCACACATACACCCACTAGATGAGAGCACACGGGCCTAACAATACAAATTGGAGATTTGGGGAGATGCGCTACACAGATATACACACAACCCCTCCTTTGCCAACGACCAACAACTTATTCTTGACATCCTATCTCTCGGAGATATTTCTGTGCCGCTATACGGACTATATCTTAATGGCTGACATCTTCAGGCTTAGGTCGCGACAGACGGAGAGTCTTGTCCGTTCTCAATTTTTTGATGAGGGAATATGTGGCAGCACCGACGGCAACGCTTGAATTGGAGAGAACGCTTGTTAGTTATTGGGTCTCGCTCCCCGGGTTGGATGGGTAATGGGGGTTTAGCCTTTAACGAAATGACTTACGAAAGAACAAAACCTGGATGAGAAAAGAATGGATTGTAATTAGCATGTTAGTTTAAAGGTATGAAACACAATGACAAATTTTGGATGAGGCTCTTAATCTTGGTCTTGATAACGTACCCAGAGGGAACAATTCTGGGGGGATCTTCTTGAGGGTTCGGAGGCGCTGGGATACTGTGTGAGCTGAACGTGGGAGATGGTTGTTTAGCATATGGAACAGTCAGAGAATCAAACTTTCCCTCTCTTGACGTTCGTCGCAATTTGATGTTGTAGTCTTGGGAGGAGGGGTGATTAAATACCGCTTTGGGTTTCTTTCTAGAAGAGAAAATATCAGTATCATGGCATCTGCTTCTGCAAATTAAGAGAGGCGAAAAGAGCTACTATTGGGGTCTCCTAGGAATCTACTCACGGGCAAAGGACCTAGACGAGGCTGGGTGGCTTGCATTCTCAGTGGGCGAGTAGGGAACATCGTGATGAATATAGAGCAGTCAAGAGAAGATAGCCAATTGCTGCAGCAAGTAACTAGGACTGTGTATGAAATATCCAGACCGTCAGCGTAGAAGATGAGTGAGGTGTGTTCCAAGGTTGGTTTGTGGATCAGTGAGGAGTGAGCAGTGGATATTCGCTAGTTGGGGTGGTTCGAATGATGGATGTTTGGTCCGACAAAATCCTTGCCACCCAATCAGGGCTTTCCTTGGTTCGGCACATCACGGGACTTTAGACCTTCATCTCAGCAACCAGTTATTATCTTGAATGAACATCCAACATCGAACTCTTTTAACATCCCAACTACACAGATACAGGTAGAGACACGCTCTATCAAGACCCTAATTGGAATCCATCTCCACATACACCATGACACATATCCCGGACGCTGATCCCGATGAACCCGTCGAAACCAAGCCCTTCAAGTTCGTCACTGGTAAGTAATACCCGTCCTCTCCACACAAATACATACATCCATTGGAGGGGATCGCAATTACATCTGACTGACTGACTGACTAACCCTGCAACAGCTGGTATGTACATATGAACCAAAGAGGCAACCCAATCACATCGTTGCATTTCTTCCTGTCCCCATTGCATTGATGCATGACATGACCAGAGCCACTCTCCATCCCCATCCCTCAAAACACCACTCTAAACCCGACCTCGGTATTCCCTCACTCACTAACATATACAACAGGCTTCGATGCCCGTTTCCCCAATCAAAACCAGTAAGAATCCCCTTATCTCTCTTTTCATTGTTTCTTCAATTAACTCCCGCATTCAACGTCATCCCCAACGTCTTGTCGAAGTACTAACGACAACCACCCTGACTCGTAGAACGAAGCACTGCTGGCAAAACTACGTCGACTACCATAAGTGCATTATAGCCAAGGGCGAGGACTTCCGCCCATGCAGACAGGTATTTGCCCTTCCATTGGTCCACTACATTTTGACGGGTGAATGCGCACGTCTCTCCCGTGACCAGGCAAAATGTGATATATTTCTACGGACACCTCATGATATTGGAACAGTTCTACCTCGCCTACAGATCTCTCTGCCCCAAGTCCTGGACTGATAGATGGGATGGCCAACGCGGTAGGTTCAATATCTATATGAGAAAATTATCCAGTCATATTATATCGATGTATATGGAGCTAATATATGAATCCCGCTATAGAAGCCGGTAACTTCCCCGCCCGACTCGATCGGTAAATGGTTGCCGAGAGTTATGCTGTACAATGTAAATGTTGCGCGAAATATTTTGTTCAAGTTGAGAGGGGTCTTCTTGCGGCCGGACAAGAAAGGGGAAGGGAGGGATGAATCCCACGGGTCAAGTCCCTTATTGAAGTAGTATACGGTATCTACCCCACTGCACAAATACACTTCAATATTCCATACGTACGAGGTTGTGAATGAGTTATTGATTTGCTCTGTATGGTCCCGTGGTTTTCATCTTTCTTTTCTCTTTTGGGAGTGGAAGTGGGAGGTGCTATCACTGTATATATACGTCTTAAGAATTGAAAGAGTATATTAAAAAGAGAAATACTGCATCGAAGTCGTGTAACCGCATGTATATGAAGCTAGTTCTGTTGACTAAGTTATACCTTGCATGCCCAGCCGTCTCTTTCTTGGCCATTTTTAGGAGTTTGGAAAAAGTCCTCCTATGACGACCTGTTTCGTCCCCTTTGTTTAGCAAAAATCCACATGGATTTGAAATTTCTTTCAAATTACCTTTTTACATCTGCATTCCTTGAGTACGTATTGCACTCTATGCCCATTAGCTGATATGTGATATGATATGTATCATGCACCGTTTTCTCTATCGTAACCACGGTATTTATGTTCAGGAAACAATAGGGGAAATCCCAACCGTCCAGACGTTATATATCCCCTATCCACGATCCAAAGGCTATTAAGAAAACAGCCTAGTACATCCAGAAAAAAAAAGAAAAAGAAAAAGAAAAAATCCAAGAGGGCATGGCTGTAGACGCTCATGCATATACACCTGTATATGAAAATAACATTGAAAAAACAAAAACAAACTGAAATAGGAGGGAAATGGCAAAGAACAACAGGTCTAACTCTAGAGCTTCTGGTATGCTTTTTCCAATTAGTTTTCTGTCCAACGCCAAAAGGGGTGGTATATGAACCCAGAGTTCTATAATCTTCAGGTAAGAAAAAGGTATGGATGTGGGTTTGAATCGTTTGTCGTTGGTGTTGAGGTTAAAGGAAGGAATGATATGTGTGGGAATAGAGATTCACGGATGGGGTGTCTAATGGTAGCAATTGATATCGCTTGTTGGGTATCCGAATCAAGATCACAGAGGAAATCGCACACGGGATGGGTGGTTAGGTGGAGGGATGAAGGAGAGGCATAAATATAAAGCGTCAACATGTGAAGACGACAAGGTGTATCCGAACGGCCCTGAACATCAAAATCCCAGCCAATTATTTGGGTTATTCCGCATAACAGGGGACACGCGAGGGGGAAAAATCCCTTCCATTACGGGATTATTTATATCGCAACCCCTGGCGCCGCGGCTGGTGGATTCAAAGCCCGATAAATCTTCTTATGCTCTTCTAAAAACAGAAACGTCGCAATCGTCTGCGGCGCAAGGCGCACAAAACTAGGCGTCCACCCCCTAAACATCCACGAGAACCCTTCCTTCCTGACCACCTCTTTCAACAGCCCAATGATACCCTGTCCCTTCGACTCCGCGGGACTAGCAGTCATGATCCGCGTCTTGATCACATCGACCGGACTGCATATGGACGTCGCCATGAACCCTGCCATTAGCGATGCGGTAAAGTGTGCGTTGATGTTATCCGACATGCCAAAGTGTCGCATACATATGCTCTTGAAAAAATCGTATGTGGCTAACTGTGATGCGTTCATGAGTATTGCCCGCGCGGAGTTGGGCCACAGGCCGCGGAACAGACTTGAAGCGCCCTCCAAGCGAACCATCTGAATCAGGCCGTGGAAGGCGTGTTTGTAATTACGTCTTTGCGCGGGGGGAAGCGCGGCGTCGGATTGCATGCGGACGTTTAGGACGTCGGCGGGGTTTCCGACCAGGCCACCTGCAAATCCTGCTATGGAGGCCATTGTGACGAGGGTGGGGAGTGACGGGGATGACTCTACGGTGGTGAATCGGGATTTCAGCTCTTCGTAGACACCGAAGCGGGTGGTGGAATATGTGATGCCGCGGAGGAGGGAGGCGGAAAGCTGCGATATGCCCGGACGAGTTAGTTCCACCGGTTTTCATTTCGATATACACCTTTCGAGCTACCACAACAAGTTTGAGATAAAATTTATAAAACATACCCCATTATATAGCCCAAGAACTCCATTATTCTTGATGATATAAACCATCGTTCTAAACATGCCAGCTGGGTCGCCCGGTTTGCGGGTTTGGAGGCGGACCTATGCGCGGGAATATTAGCCCTTGTTAGGATGGGAAAGAAACGCCGCAGAATTACCTTTACTGTAAGCAAGAATGAGTTAGCTAACCACGTCTAATAGGCCCAAAAAAGAGGATAAAAATGGAGGATCAAAACATACAGAGATCCAAAGGATGCGTTACTCCCGTGGCCATGCAAGAGGCAGAGCCACCGAACCAGAAGGGATAATGGAGTTTGGGTGATGACTGCTGAGCAGAACGGGGCTTGAAGCCTTTCATCTTGTCACTATCTGCCATCTTGACAATTCAGACGTATATACATCATGCCTGAGCAAAGCGTTGAAGGAGGGGGGAGAAGAGGAAGAGTGCTTTGTCTGTGGATATTTTAAACCAAACGGTGAGGGTTTACATATTTAAATCCGATGTCGCTGATGAAAAAGGATTTCCCGAACTTTGTAAAAAATTAATGAGGATATCAGGCTTTCTATTGGCTGGATAGTGCCAAGTCTCTTAAGTACGGCTCCGGGATAACAACAGAGCTTGCATAATTTTTACAATTAGCTCGGCGAAGAAATTGACGATGACCAGCGACACAGCGATTGAAATATATATGTATATATGAGAGTAGTGGAACAGCTGCTCATCAACAGGACGGCGCAAGGACAAAAACCCACACCGGAAGAAGCTCCGAGTAGGTGAGCCAGAGACATGCGACTGCTCCCGATTGGCAGGGCGCTATGGTTGGCCTCCAATTCGCGGGCAATCGCAGCCAGGTTCACGAGGAGTCCTGAGTGGAGGAGTCAATTAAGTCCGCTCGTGAGTTCAAGATATAACAACTCAACAGCTACAGGAAGAGCAGCAGCAGATCCAGTTTTAGAGGATGCTTTGAGAATATCAAAGGACCAGTCCGACCACCAAACTCCATCAGCTCAGATAACGCGGGAGGGAATTAGGGACGGCGACAAAACCCATCCAGTCGACGAGTGGACGAATACCCCCAACAATATTCTTTCGCATATTGGGCGTCGATTATATCTGGATAAAAACCACCCCCTTGCAATCACACGCGAGCTGATAGAAAGCCAATTTACAGGCCCAGAGTATGGCAATTATGCAGAACAGAACCCCATCGTCCCGACGACGCAGAACTTCGACGTCCTCGGGTTCCCCGCGGATCACCCTGGACGAAGTCGGACGGATACATACTACGTGAATAAAAAAACTGTTTTGAGAACGCACACGAGCGCGCACCAGCACTCTTATTTTCAACGGATGAATATGAACGAGAAAACTCGCCCGGAGGAGAAGGGATATACAGTCATTGCAGACGTCTATAGGCGCGATGCCATTGACCGGAGTCACTATCCGGTCTTCCACCAGATGGAAGGTGCGAGGTTATGGAAGCGCCCACGAGAAGATCCCTTAAAATATTCACAGCAGACTGCAGAGGCAATCATGAAAGACGCCAACAGCATCCCCTCTCATAATGTTAAAGTCGAGGACCCAAACCCAACAATACACCCGCAAAGAAACCCTCTGCAAGCAGACCACCTCAGCGTCGAGGAAACAGAAGCCATTGCAACCCACCTCAAACGCTCTCTCGAACGTCTCGTCATTAAAATCTTCACAGCTGCTCGAGAAGGAATCCCGGAACTAGCCCGCAAGAACCAGGAACCCCTCAAGGTCCGCTGGGTCGAGGCCTATTTCCCCTTCACCAGTCCCTCGTGGGAACTCGAAGTATTCTGGCAAGGCGACTGGCTCGAAGTCCTCGGTTGCGGCGTCGTCAAACAAGAACTGCTCATAGCCTCTGACGTCCCACACCGCATTGGCTGGGCTTTCGGCCTGGGCATAGAGCGTATCGCCATGCTCCTCTTCAACATCCCAGATATACGCCTCTTCTGGTCGCAGGATCCGCGCTTCCTCTCCCAATTTCAGGCTGGCAAGATCACCCGCTTCATCCCCTTTTCGAAACACCCGTCATGCTACAAGGATGTTGCATTCTGGTTGCCCCCCGGCGCCACCAGCGGCGCGGGCGTCGCTGCTGCAGGGGGTCGTATGCCGTTCCATGAAAATGATATGATGGAGATTGTGCGTGATGTTGCGGGGGATTTGGTGGAGGATGTGCAGCTTGTAGATGAGTTTACGCATCCGAAGACGAAGAGGAAGAGTTTTTGTTACAGGGTTAATTACAGGAGTTTGGAGCGGACGCTGACCAATGACGAAACGAATAAGTTGCACGATATGGTTAGGAAGGGGTTGGTTGAGAGGGCTGGGGTGGAGATAAGGTGATGGTGATACGATGTGGGCAGCTTTTGAACATTTTGATGGGTGAGGCTGTATCTTCGACAGATCTTTTCTGTCATGTAATTTTAGACATGTGTTTCTGGCCTCATTGCTTGCTATCTGAAGTGTCGTAGTCTCCCTGTGACAAAGCTGCTGTATTTATATGAAACAATCCAATATACTTGGAACCTGCTGCATTTCGCTATAGTTACCACTTCTTGATCCCATTCTCAAGACCTACAATGGCTTCTGTAACTTTTAAGTGGCCTGAAACATTACGAACCTTGTAATTAACCAAAAAGAAGGCAGGAGGAGTATCATGCATGTGCTTTTCCGTTCGATTGAAACAGATATCTTTTTTTCAGAATGAATCTTTGTGCGAGGTACATAATTTCCCAAGAGCCATCCATTATAATCTATAATAGAGATTTAAGTGCAACAGTGAAGTCAGAAAGACGACTGAAGACACAAATAGAAAATCCGCCATATCATGACATGCTAAAACAGCCCCAAACCAACCAGAGAGCACAAACATATCAAGAGAGGAGAGAACAATAATCAATCGGCAGTGTATGAAAGAAGACAAGTCAATAAACAAACTTAGAAAAGGCAGTGCCGTCAACAAGGAGGACATGAGCTTATTTATCAACAAATAGTACCGTGTGTTCTTAGAAAAAGGAAGATCAATGATCAAGATAGGAAAAACGCCGTTCCCATGTTTTTCTGCCCGTTCTCATACATTGATTTTTCCTTGGCCGTGTGGAATCCATGCTGGGGAATATCATACAGATAAATAAGGTAAAGTAAAGGTCAGATGGAACTCGATCATCCGCAACTGTACAGGGGAGGTGTGGAGAGGGAAGAGATTGGCGCTCGAGACGTCTATGTTGTTGTTATTGTGATTGCAGGGGATGGAGAGTTGAGGAATATAGCGCAGATGGTAATACCTTGTGCGTGGCATTTTTTGATTCTCGTATGGAATACGGATGCCTATGAGTTTTTCACAACTCCAACTTTTGCAGCCTGTATTTTAACAGAGAAGGACCGTGTCAGTTTAACTCCATATCTGGGTAAAACGCAGGAGAACTCGTAGACATGCGAAAGAAAGGGGCAAAAAGAACTTACCCTTAGTGTACGGCCATTAAGAGTAAATCCTTTGGATTGAGCGTGAAGCACGTCACCGTCCTCCTTCCCCTCCGCCGCCACCATGAACGTCGCTTCGTGTAGTTTCGGATCAAACTTTTGGGGTTTGCCCTCAACCAGCTCGGAAGGATCGAATCTCTCCAATCCATGCTTATTCAAGGTGCTGAATAATACACGCTCTGTCATTCTAAGACCAGACACTAAATCGGCCAAGTCCTTGTTCTCCTTCAATGCCTCGCCAGTGATTTTCTCAGCGGGGACGGCAGAAAGGGCACGGTCAAGGTTGTCAATGGAATCGAGGAGGTCCGTTGCGAATCGCTGAATGGCAAAATTCCGGGCAGACTCTACTTCTCTCCGTGTGCGTTCTTGGAGATTGCGGAAATCGGCCACGGATCGGAGATATTTATCCTATAGGTGTAGATTTCAACGGGTTAGGCTTGTAGATTGAATAAAAACAACTTCTACGAGAGAAGTTTTGAGAATACATGAACAATATCAGGAAAGAAAATACAGAATATGTACAAGGAAACCCAGAGCCATACCTTGAGATCAATAATTTCTTTTTTCATAACTTCAAGCTCTTTCTGAACAGGGTCTTCCGATTCCTCGGGCTTTTCTTCTTTCCCATTCTCCTCAGGAGTAGCAGCTTCTTTCTTGGAGCTGTCCTCTTGGGTATGGGTAGATGAATGTCTCTGGCATAATCGGGGAGGAAATGGCTTTATTGATCGAGAAAAGGGTTGTAAGTGTGAAGATCTTCTTGCAGGCAGAGTAGCGCTTGACATAGAGCGAATTGAAAGGGCAGACCTCGCCACCTGGTGTTGTCGTAGCACAGCTCTTGAAATCATACTGGAGAAATATGGAATGTGCTCCTTGAAAAGAAGAATGGGGAATAATAATGTCAAACTATATGGAGAGATTTAGGTCAAATATTTAATAACTGGAGAAATCTGAAGTTTGCGATGGAATTCTAAATTTCATGACCTGCGGGTTAACGTTTTTCCGAAAAGAGCTAATTCCAACCCACTTCAAACCAACAAGAGAGATTTTAGAATCTGTAGTCCATATCCAAACTCTTCATCACTGGTTATATACGTTACAATTAGGGATCAGACGTGTTATGGGGAAAAGCCAATTCATTTAATTTCGTTGATATCGCATCATCCTCCCATTAGCTATTCATCACATCATAAATCTGCTTCGACTTATGTACGGAATCGACAGATATATACAACAATAACCAACAAAACATATGAAACAGTGAAAAAACGAAAGGATGAGCAAATGCCAAAAAGTTCGAAGCTAATTATTCTTGTCTCCTTTTCTAGCACCTGCGCTACGGCCGAAACCGTGTTAGGTGCGTGTTATGAGCGAAGGAAAAGTCCTTTCAAGTTCACCAAGCTACTTTAAAAGAATGGGAAAAGAGAAGTTGTAAAAAGGAATGTTCAAAGATGGGGAAGACCATCAAAAGTCGGAAGACTGTTAGAAAAAGCGTTGAAGACCATGAAGTTGATAAATGTTTTATCGGAAGGGCGAGCTACTTAAGCACCCACTTCGGTCGTGAGTGAAGTCGACGTATCGGAGTTTGCCATCCTCTCCATCTCCTTTTCAATGTTGGCAAACAAGGTACGCAACTCGGCATCTGCGTATACCTTGATCGACTCTACGTCCCTGCGTCTACTGCTTGGCGGAGAATCCATCTTGCTGGGACTTCGAGGTGGTGTCTGATCGTCGCCCAAAATATCGTCTTCCGAATATGAGTTTCGGAGTAACAGCGCACCAGCTATATGCTCAAGCAACTTCTGGCGAACACGGTTCCTTCTATTTTCAGCTTGATCCAACTTAAAGACCCATTCGTCGATGGATTGATCAAGTTCGGAGAGGGCCTCTTCTTGCTTTAAGATTCCTTCCCTTGTAAATTTGGATACTCGGGGTGACTTTAGGTATGAGATCATGCGTGTGTGTAGGCTGTGTCGCCCTGATCGCAAAGATATATGAGTTTCCCGTAGATAATTGCATCTTTTATCGAGCGCACGCAATTCCTTTGGCAATTTTAGTGGCTTTACAATTAGACAGGGACAGCGCGCAGAAATTTATGAACGTACCCTGGAAAGCGATCTGACTTCTGAGTACTTCAGTACCTCAAATCGTGTCGCTTGTTCCCGTGCTTGGATTCTCAATCTTTCAATTTCGTATTGGGAAAGCAATTTCGGCGCAGTGTGTGCGGGGATACCTGCTGGAAGGATGAGAAATCCATCTTCTATTGGTTCCTTCTTGGCGTGTTGAGCCTGTGGACTGTCGATTGGTGACTCATTCCTTGGGGTTTGGCCCCAACTCATTGAGTCTGGAGAGAAATTTTGTTGCTGTTTCAATGGCATCGAATATTTCCTATGCAGCGTCGGTGCGGGCATGTTCGTGTTCTGATATGTTTGGCATACCCCAGCACTCCTGTTCCTCGTATGAAGCGATGACTGTCTGCCCGTTCCTGGTAAAATCCGTGTGGTGGAAGGGTGTGCCGATTCAAGTGAAGCCAGGTTCGTTCCGGATTTCTTGGTTTGTAATGGAGATATGAAGCCACTTGCATATGAATTATCGGCTGGAGCACAATTTGTCGCCATTGCCAATGTGGTATCAAAAGAGCTTGGGCTGGAATTGGAATAATTGGTCATTGGCTGCGTTGGTGGGATCCGAAGACCAAGTCGAGGAGATTTCGGGGGCACTGCAGGTGGCTCTTCCTCTTTAGATGTGTTTTGTTCTAAACTTTTCATAGGCGAGCTGGCCTTTGATGTTTTTGTCACATCTACTGCCAAAGGATATGCATCTAGTGCATTGGGGAGCAAGAGCGAGGAAACCCTTTTACCTGACTTATGTCCGCAATCATCTAAAGCAGATTGGCCAACCACTTTTCCAAACGATTCTTTAGAGGCACTTGGTGGCTCTCCGACAGGATCTAGAGCAGAATTTCCAAAAGTGCCCCGACCCCAAGATGTTCCCGGAGCACTATTTGACCGCTCATGGCTAGGAAATTTACCAGGTATCGTGGCTATTCGATACTTAGTGACAGCAAACATGATTGAAGTACCATCCCAGACTTACGTGAATCTACGAACGTTTCCTGAACGGTTGTCATGAGCCCAAGCTCTGGGACACTGATCTTACGGCGCCGGTGGAGTGTTCCACCCTCCTTGAATGGGTTCTTTTTCAAGTCACTCAGATCTGGTGTGTGTCGTCCCTCCGCTGCTGCTGCTGTCTTTTTCAGACTAGGCCACAGCTGGTATCTGAAGCGCTCGGTAGATGTTTGCATTCCCGATACGCCGATGTTCAAGCTACATGGAGCTTTTACGTTTGGCAGCTGCTTGAGTCAGAACCTCTTTCGGCAGAGATTTCGGAATTGTATGCTTTGGCAACTCACTGTGGGGGTAGCGTTTCTCGGAATATTCAAGCCAACATGTGCAGCAATTTCATGGACTTTCTGTTCAACTGCATGCATCATTCTTTACTTTGCTCAGCTTGAGTAATAGCAGGTCGCTTGCTTGGATTTGTGAATGTCAAGGTTTGATCAAGAATAGGTGTTGCTCCTCTATTTTTGGAAGCCTCGGTGTCCAGTCCTACAGAGGGTAAATGCCAACTCCCAAGGTCAGCTATTCCTTTTCACGAGGGACTGTGCTGGTCTTATCGAAACCTCAAACCTTAAACCCTAGTCTCGTCACTGGGAGGAGTCTCTGGAAGTAGCCTTTTGGGGTCATCTCAGTCTCCTATCATCATTATTGGCAACCTTGGAGAAATCGACGCTGGGGAACTCGAGACAACATACTAGTAGGGATCTGAGGCTTTGACGTGAATATACCGCAGCCCTTGAAACGACGTCCATGTCCACCACAAATTAGGGTGGACTTCAAATTGTGGGGTCGAAGTCTAGCTTTCAGCCACAAATAATTGAAGCAAGTCAGCAACCCCTTGTTCTTTTTTTAATTTTGGCTTCGGAAAAACGACCGAAAAATCGCGAATAATTGCAAGGCGGAAAGCAGAGTGCTATACTCCAAGTGCATATCCAAAACACCAATCCTATTTTGAACTTGGTCTCCCCGCAACTAAAACCAACCAAGGCGAGTTATCTTGGAATACATGGCAAAGCATCGACTGATAAGTTTCATCAATTAATAATAGCTATCAAACTAAACACAGGTTGCAGTTTGCTCGGGTTCAAACTTCGATTCTGACTTCAATGATTCCTCAAAATCCTTCTCCCCAAATGGGCCCTTTCCCTCTTTTGGGATTCTAAACAAGTCTCCATCTCCATTGGATTTGGCATTGATGTCCTGAGTTGAAGGAGGTCAACTTTTTTTGTATGCCACTAACAAAACTGTTTTTTACCGTCCTCCCTCCTTGACCTCAGTTGTTTTTGGGCAGCGAACATGTTGTATCATTTTCAGTTCAATACAAACCTACAGCACTTCTTAGCATTGTTGAGAAACGACAATTATAGCGTTTCGTAGTGGATCGTGTCCATTGAGCAGTTTGAGAACGTACACTGGCGCTCTCCACGTTTGATCGACTGGAAAGCTTGTTCAGTTACTCATAGCAACATATCCGCTCCGTGAGGTTTGGAAATACTGTCTTTCCGGTCGGTGAGGCGCTAGTTGGTCTGTAACTTACGTTAGTCGCCGAATCCAATGCTCTCAAGGTCCTCAACCCCTAGACAGGTAGCGCGGCAAAGATCGCTGAGCAGGTATATTCCTGACGGTGGAGAATTACTAGGATGACCAGAGCCTGACGACAAAACTACAATTGAAGTGCCCTCGATTGTTTGAAGGAGGAGTTCATTCACTAGAGATCTTCGAGAATTCAGCCATGGGTTCTTGTTACCAGGACGAAGCTGAGTCTGATCGCTGGCACAACTCTAGTTCTTCTTCTGACGGGTTCTCAACACAATTCATGAAAAACAACATCGTCGAAAGACGCAAAGCAGAGCTTGCTTTAAGCATTCTTCAGCTGGTATCGTTAAGGTAATTCGAATCATTTGAAGTAAATACCTGTACACATATGATCACCTCGTATCGTCAATGTTGCGAGAAGTGTCGCAGAGTCAGGTCAGGGTGTTATCGAAACTTCCCTGGCATAAATTCGGTGCTTGTGTACACGGCATTGCAGTAGTGGGATCTTTTTATGGAATTTTAGGGCGAACTTTCCTTCGGCATTATTCAGAGATGACGCTAAACCCTTCGAACTGGTGTCGGACACTGACAAGTCCATGTTTGCGATAGGAATCCATTTCTATGGCTGACTTCATCTCACTCACGGCCTCTCGTTTATTCTCCAGCCATCAGCTTACTCACAAGTTAACAGACCAAGGGAGCTGCACGAGATGGGCTCTACCCTCTCAATTCCCAATTATTGAAGGTTTGGACTAATTTTTGGAAGCTCTGTTGTTTTCAATAGGTCTAGTGGCGTCGAGTTTGCACTGCAATGGGGGATAACTGCTCTTCCTATGATTTCCATCATCCGTAGCCGCTGCTTTTTGCTCGATGGATTATTCCACCAGGCAGGAAATCAACATTCTATCGATAGCCTTGCAAATTCTCTTTCAAGTCTGATACGCCTCGACATTCCAAGGACTCCAGCTGCGGGCAACGTAATTAATAGACATCAAATCTCCATGATGTGCCATATCTCTATGATCTAGATGCGACTCAACTAGATGTCGACGATCGGCGGGTGCTTTTTAGCCTATCAATTCGACATCAGCCTAATACCCAGATCAACTCCCCATTCCGATGATTCAGATGAACACCAGGGATGGAGTGAGATGGGATCGGTCCTATCATAATGCTGTGCGATGGGGTAACGAGGCCCGCTTTCAAGGAGACCGATAATCGGAACCACATCTTTTCCCTTCACCGCAAATAACGACCAACATACTCCGTACGAGTACTTCTAAATAATCCCATTCTTCCTGTTATGTCGGATAAACCACCCAAGCTGAGACGAGAAAGACCGCATCCCACAAGGCCAAAAATACCTAGCTGGAGAAGTCGTCGAATCCGTGTCTAGCTGCTGCCTGGTCTATGGAGGGTTCGGCCTAGGGGGCTTTTCTTACTCTTTCGGACTCTTATCTCAGGTACTCCCCCGCTCCGCACAGCCCATTTCGGAGATTTTGCCACAAGGAAAGCGACATTTGCAGCAAAACTTGCTGTCAGTAAGGTAGTCCAAACGACGAAAAGCGGGGAAGAAGGGAGAAAATGCGGTTGCGAAACGCTTATTATTAGGAGCAGCTTTCTTCTAAAATGGTTCCGTGGAGCTAAGCCGCTAGTTAATCGGTCGCCCCCGGACTAGAACCTTTCAATCCTTGATCGGTGCAGCTCACCTCATTGGACAGAGGAGAGAGGTAAACCCAAAAGCTGACAAGAAGATGTTGCGACGAATACATGCTGCTTGTAACATTGGATCCGGCAATTTTTTGTTCTTATCTTTTACATTTTTCCCTTCTTATTCCGTGCTGTCGACGGTCATCGCTGTGGACGTCTACGAACCGGCATCAACGCCTTCTCTGCCCTGTATTAGCTTCTCCTACACAGATAAAGGAGACGCCGAATCGACAGCCTATTGAAGCATTCGGTTGGTGGTAATTTGCTATTTCAACCTCTCTTTCTGCCCATGGGAGATGGCATGGTGATAATCATGGCGGAAATACGTTAGCAACTGGCGACCTATAGTGAAAACGGTCCTACAACGTCAAGAATTCACTAATTCACTCGCTTGCATCTTAGGTGAGCACGTTCAGATTTACTGCTCAAAAATTTCCCCGTGAACTTCAGACATCGAAACTTTGCTATGACTGCCATTTTCCCTTATTGTTACACTTTCAGTGTCCCTAATGCGCAACATGTTTCCTTACCTACAGCGCTTGGCCTGGCAGACACACACACACACACACACACACAGAGCTTTTGAGATGTTGAGCATAACATCCGGGGAGATTGCTGCAGTCTTCTTAATAGATAACTCCTATGGTTCCTTCTTAATATTTGGTTAAATACAATTTCCTCCTGGATGAACTGAGTTCTCCATTTAGTGATCTTTATCGGACCAGGGAATATGAATTCGGACAATGAAAACTTCTTGCCAGATGTTAAGAAAAATTCCTGGCTTTGTGCTGCTATTATGATTTCAAATAGCCTTGCATAGTACTGCTGTTTGAGATACTCAACTCTTCGCTACTGAATATGATAATCTTGTTACAGGGCTAACTCGGCGGTTGAGGCATCATAATAACTCCAATTTCTAACACAACGATGAGGGTCTTCCAAAGCCCGACCAAGTACATACACCACAGGTTTATATTTGCTCATCCAAACTCAACCTAGCCTGACTAAACTGGATTTCACTCTAGGTTAGACTCAGACAGCACAGCTCCAAAAGCCAAATAGGCAATGCAGGTCGCATCCGTTTGGCATTGGCTGTGGTTCTTTGCTGTTGACAATACCTGCTTCTTTAGCAAAGAAATGGATCATGCCAGTTATCCTGAAATTAATTCTACTTTGAAGCTTCCTAATGGCCTCCAGGGAGTCGGAAAGATCGTTTTGACATGCTGAGGAATTGCCTGTGGTATCACTCTTCAAAGTTCAAGACAAAATATATTCAATAATTGCATCAGGCTCTTGACTTACCAAGTCCTTCCAATTTCATAACATCTGTGCTGGCCTTCTAGTGTGGAGATGGATCGCGGATGCGTCTGGCAGGGATAGGCTAACAATGATAACCTTGAACAGAGGCTCTCGAGATGCTACGCCATTGCATCTCATTCATGAATGTCAATTGACAGCATTAAGTTCTGTGCGGAGATCTTGCAGCAGCATTTGCACGCGGATACGATGTGGATATGGGACAGGTGGCCACTAAGCTCGGAGTCTTTCCAGCAAGAACTCCCTAGCTAAATTTTGCCTTTATCTTCGGCTCTTGTCCCCTCTTTATTACTATTTTAATACTAGTTGTTGTATTTTCTTTGTTGGTAAGTGGCCTTTCTCGACACCGTCTTGATCTTTCTCCCATCCATGCATGGATGGATGAACCCAGTCCCCACGTGGTCCTAACAGCAGAGTTACTAGCCGTGGGCATATCCCGGCTACCATGCAAACGACAGCTGTATTCGGGATGAAGGAGATAGATACCCCCTCCGTATGTCGGTAGGGATATATGGACCTAATACACCAATTAATCAGGTTTTATTCTCCACCGTATTTGCAGAAGCCAAAGCAAATTTTATAAAACTGGAAGGATCTTGGTCTCCGAATCCGTGATTCCATCCAACTGAGAATGAGGAATTATCCGAGAACCCTTGCAAGGGCTCCTAAACTTGTTGCAACAGAACCCCTGAACACCCCCGGACTCGGCGGCGCAATACCTCTGGTTCCTCCTTGTTTTCCGATGACGTCATCATGTTATCCAATGAACTCCACAATTTTACTGGACGAGCCAGCGTTTGTTATCCTTTTTCAACTGTTGGATTGTGCTGTTGTGGGACTTTTATTGAATGATCCCACGTCTGAACGAGTCTCTTGTGGGTGTAGGGGCATCCCCATGGTACTGTGATGCTTGATTACCAGTATATTGATACTTGTCATTTCTGAACGAAAGACTGTGCGATACATGCATGTATGTGATTATGCCAGCATAAGTGAGTCCCGGCTACTGCGGATTTAAAAGGCGCCGGGGAATTTCATTAAGCTTTCGAGCGAGATTCCCGAGTCTCGCACAGCGCCACTCAGGTCGGGCGCGGCCTTCGAGAAGTGCTGATTGGCTATTTTAAGAACTCCCTCTAACTAATAATCGAGACCGAAAAACCCAACCCCGGCAGCTGTAGGATGATCGGCCCTGCGTGGGACATTGGCGACGCTCAGATGCACATGTATTTGCAGTTTGGTGCCACGCCAGTTATGTTAGTTGGCTGGTTCTTTGGAGGATTGATATGTCACTTACATTTTGACACCTTTTATCCGGCTGACAACGCTTCAAAATAATTCAGCTAGTCGAAGTAAAGTATGGCGTTTCCACTGTCTTACATCCCTAGTAGTATCCAGTAAGCAGCAGGTTACCTTTTGTATCTAAGACCGAGTAGACTCTGTGCACCATCTGGATAATTGAACTTTTAGTAGATGTCATTAGCTGGCTAAAGAGTGTTATTATCTTCGGCAGCTGATTGGCGAATTGGATTCCTTCTTAACCTTGATAACCCAACATGTCCACGACTTGCTATTGCCATTACTATAATTATTTGTTCATGGCTAGCAGAAAATGAGTAATGGATGCTCTCGATCAGCACGCCTTAAATTCTCATCCACCGTCGCGGAGCACAGAGTGAGACACACATATCTCTAAAACGGCATGTATCTGTATGAAAGTATAGCACTTTCTCTCCCTTTTCCTGCTAACCTGACTAGCTGCAGCTCAGCAGCAGAGGGCGCCGAAGCCTGAAAGTGGGATTCTTACGGCTGCCTCTTCCTATTTGCGCTGCCGCTCCCGGTGATATTCTCTTTCCTGCAATAATACGTTTCTTGCTTCCTAGACCGGATGTTTCCGCCGCCGCCTGCGCCATCTTTCCTCCTTGTTTAGCAATTTTTCTCCTTTAAACCGGCAACTTGATGGCTTGGTGTGGAGCTGGAGCTGGAGCTCTTTTCGTTAGGTGCTGCACGCTCGTCACAATTGTCTGATTGTTGATATTTCTGTGGCTTGTTCCAGTCGGCCTGATTTGTGCTAAATTTAAACGATGGGGGTCAGCTTCCCGGAGAATAAAATGTTACAATACGACTTTTCCACCTCGTCATTGGCTACCTTGATAACCATGAATATCACCATGTAATCCGCGGAAGGTGAAGGACCGACATTGTTGTTTGCAAACAGTTACGTACTCTGCCTGACAGCGGGATTTCGCAAAAATTTGTGTATATCCGTAGAAAGCTGGGACATAGATCATATGCATTGAAAATGCTCCGTAATGTGGACATGCACCACAGATGATCTCGCAAGGAGAGCGCAGTGTTTAACTCCGCAGTTTGAAGAAATGGCCCCTAGCCTTCGCTTAAGACTCACCTGGTTGAAATAACTAGTTATCGCTTTCTGGAACACGATCTCATCATGAAAGAAGATCCGTTGATGACAAACTCATACATTTCTCTGGACACCAGCCAAAGATCCAAATTGACGAATTACTTGGAAGCGTTTTGCTGTCCAACTCTGACGTAGAACACTACATATAAACCCCAGAGTTTCAAAAAGACAGCTACAAATAAGTTCTCTCAAGTGATGCGGACTTGCAATGATCACGAAGGCGGTTCTGTTCGGGCTCAGCGATAAGTTATCAGAATTTCTGTTTTCTCGAAGGAGGAATTGAAGTCGAGTATAAAGCAGCAATTAGCAGTAACTAATCTGCTGCATCATGGAATTTCAGGGCCGTCAACCAGAACAACAGCCTGATCCCTAAGAACAAAAACCGCCAAGGGGAACGAACTTCTGGAAGGGTGTTTACTGTATTTCGTAGCTGCAGAGAATGTGATGATGAGGGCAACTCTGCGCATTTGATTTTTGACTATTAGTTCGGGATTTCAAGCCTTCAACATCCCACTTTTCGGCATTTGTTAGGGCCACCTATGGGAGCTTTGATTCTGCTTGTAGTATTTGCAGATAGGAGGGAATGATTGAAGTTGAGACTTTGGTGCATCTGGCAAAGTTGTAGCACAGATGCAAGCTGTTGTCCACAACCTGGATTCCGCTATCGATGTTCATTATTTAAAGCGTTGAAAGTTGCTTATACAGCCATTTTCCAGTCGCTCGATTAGCACACTTGCTCCAGGATATCCCATGGATGTGTTGATCCTGAAACACTCCTGGAACAGAACCCGGGTAAAGCTGATTACAGTCTCGGGTCTTATTACATGCAAGCCTCGTGGTCAAGCAAACAGCCTGCTGGTGATCCAAAGCCATGACGTAGCCAAATACTCCCTCGATTTCGACTCTTCTCGGTCCCTTTTCTGACTTCGATGTCAAGAGTTTTGCAAGTAACTTGCAAGTAACTAACTAGTTAGTTAAGCGCACTGGCTGCCAGGATATGGGCTGCTTGGCAATGCATGTCTGCCAATGAACATCTTCAAGTATCCAAGTCCATCCCATGCAAACCAGGATGACACGCGTACCTTTGACCCTGCTGCATCAGGGATAAGCTGACGGCTAATTCAGGGGTAGCATCTGTGAGGATACATCCAATTTTTCTCGGATCGCAAAGCTGTGAACAATGCCCGGTTCCGGCTGCGTTCAAACGCTCGCACGGAAGAAAGAGAATAAAAGGCGACAGGATCATGAGAAAAGGCCACGTCCAAAATGATCCTATCGTTGTTCCTATGCATCTGTTCCATGTGGCTGCCATCATCCTTGGAGGCTGGCAGGTTCAAGAGTCAAGTTGATTAGGAGGAGTTAGGCTGAGAAGCCTCTGGGGTGCAAGCGGCTCTTAAGACAACACTTCGGAGCTGCCAGCAGCGTTCAACTTGCCTGGGCACTTCTGGTTAAAGAACTTAGTTGAAGTTAGTTAAAACCAAAGTGCTGAAGCTACATGTTTCAAAAACAGACTTTAGTTGCCTAATAAAAGTGCCTACCACCACAATCCAACCAACCGACTGCTAGTTTCTTTGCAGCTTGGCGAAGGCGAGGGGGCCATAGCCACCAGCGCAAATGTAAAGTCCCAGGAATTTGAACATATTTGATAAACTTAGCTCTTTACCTGGCCTAAAGCGGGGTCACAGTTAGCCCTGAGTTCCCCCGCATTCGTTCTCCCCTCACCCAGTTACCGGCGAACTGTAACTAATTGACTGACTTGGTAAATAATGAATCACGATAGGGTCCGGATCCTTCGGAGTCATTACGTGGAACGTACTGAGTCCTCATGTGTTTCATTATAGTACCGAAAATTCTAGACAAACTCTTTTTCAAAGCTAAGCAGGGGAAATATTCAACGTTGAGCCGTTGTCGATTGCCGCGCATGATATGTGCTATTGGCAGCCGTCACATATTACCCCTCAGCTTCTCAAAAACAAATGAAGAAGAATAAAAGGGGCAAAATGCACTGATCTACCTATTTTACTTTTTTCCTTCTCTCAAGGAAAGTTTTTCTCTTCAGTCTGCTGCGGAATACTGAAACCCTTCAAATATCAACCCTTTTCATCATGGCATGGCCTTTTTCCTAACCTTTCCTCTCTGTGAGATGCAACCTTCACCGCGACGAGATACATACATGCATAGTCTCACACATACACACACACACACACACACACACACACATATATATATATATATATGCCACAAATATAAATCCAGAGCCTGACAGTACAGGTACAATATTTCCAATTGAATGTATCCAAATGTATAAAATTTAATCCAATGCATCGCCATTGTTCTACCGGTAGTCGCTACAGATATATCTAGCTCTTGTGCCTGAAACTAGATTGAAACACGAGGAGAAGAGCATGGGAAATTCTTGGAATTGTGACCTCTCCTATCTCCAATGCTTCTTTTGAATCGCTGACTGCCCGGCGTCACAGAAAAGGGTAACCGGGAGTAATATTTCGGTGGTTTGTTTCTTACAGATGGTATGGAGATTCAGTGCCGTCTAGCTGAACGTCCATTGATATGAAATATGGCCCTTGATCAATAACTATCGGCTGGCCTTCATAGGTTGATAGGCAATGCACAATGTGCAATTGACACAATGCAATACCATTTTTTCAGAGAAGCTTGTCCCAGAAACAGATCATTCCCAGCCTTAAACCCCTAGGGCTCCCTAATAAAATCCATAATCATCTTTTTCTTCTTCATGTGCTCTTTATTCAAGCTCACAGCCTCCTCTTCTGTTACCATGCTAAATGAATACTTGATTATTTGATCTCTACTAAGGTGTTCGTTCACCTGCCACGGGGCAATTGCTATTGTTTTACCTGCATCTAAACTCTTCCCTGTGTCGCAGAACTTCGTATTGCAGTTCACCGTCACATAGATAGATAAACTAGTTGGTTAGAGAAGTTTCACATCAGTGTGCCTTTTTTTTTTTTTTTTTTTTTTTTTTTTGCACCACACGGCCCGTCAAGGTATGGCTTTAGCTCCTTATTGAAACCAATGAAAGATATTGATAGAGGGGATGGAAATCAGAGCCCTTAACAGCTCATCCCTAGATGATCGAAGTATCGGTCTTATTTAACATCATTCTAGGAAAGCGTTGCTATTATTTCAGGGGACATATTTGTTTCTAGCTTTCAAAGATGAAACGTGGACAGTGAGCAGAACACAGTCATCACTGAAAATTTGCTGATGTTTGAATGAAGACTTGATATTGAAGATTAATACAGATAGATAGCAGCGCTACAGAAATACACCCCCATAAGTGAAAGTTTTATATGTGAAGTTTGATCTGAAATTATTTCAGAATCTGAGCAGAAACGCTAATGAAATTTTGTATATCTCTTCTGAATGGGCAAATAAAGAGCGTAAATAACTAGGAGTGTAACTGGCCTTACTATATTATAACAGCGGAAAAGCACAAACGTCACAAAAGAAAAAGCAATTTAAAACAATGTAAAAGAATACATGATATGGGGTAGGAGCTTTCTCATATATGTGATTCTTCTACCGAAGGGAGAGTATCCGCGAGCCACACCGAGGGCAGCACATGTTCTTGAGTTAGAGACGTGGAAAATCTCAATATGAAAGCTAAAGAGAGAAAAAAAAAAAAAGAGAGAGAGAGAGAGAATGGAACGGGGAAACCACAGACAAACCTCGCCAAAAACAGAAACGCTCATTCACAATCGGCAATGAAGTCAATCAATCGCTAGGCCACGCACCTCTTTCGTCCAAACGAGAGTAGACCCACGACACCCGCCCCTTTACCCAAAGGCAAGAAAACACAGAGGCGAAAAAATAAGAAACAATCCCCATGTCCTCACAATCACCGTTGTGTCACAGGACGTCACACTGCAGTCGAAAATATCCCAATCCTTGCCCTTTCATCCTCTCCTCCTCCTTTCCTCCACCCCCCCCCCCCCCCCCCCCCCCCCAAAATCAATAGCCACAAGTAAACAACTTCCCAGACACTTCCCCAGCACAATCCGGGATCAATCCTGCAACTTGACTATCGACGACACGATCATAAACATCGACGGCATCAACCTGTCTTGTTGGCAGGCGCAGAAGAAGGTGCAGCAGCACCAGAAGTGGAAGACGAAGCATTGCGGCGGCGAGGCCGACAGAAGCGGCAGGGGTTGTCGACTTCAATGGGATAGTAGAGGGTGTTTTCAGGGGGGCAGACGTATCTGTTTCCACAGCGCTGGAGGGGGCCCCAGCTTCTGTGACCGCAGTTGTGCACGAAGTAGGCTTTGTTGCACATGGTGGGTTTCCCCTTTTCTTCTTTCCCTTTCTCCTTCTCTTTCTCCTTCCTGAGGGAGTTCGGGGTTAGGTGGTGTGGAGTTAAGTAAGATACTGATCGATTCGGATTTTCTTTGGTCCTGATTTGGTAGGTGATGCAGGCAGATAAGGATATATACTTGTTGGGTGTATCTATTGCACGGGGTTCTTCTTTTATTTTCTTGGAGAGTTCATTTATATAGCTTCATTTGGTTCACTGTTCCAAACGTAGGTGAGATATAACTAGATGATATCCGTGAGTGACTGATAGATGGGAGAAGTAGGTAAATGATGGATATGTTTATCTTCATGTCCGGGGATGTCTCGAACAGGAATTTATGGACCGATATATTCTATTTAAGACGCTATACGGGCCCTGGAAATAGCAAACCAAAAGCAGGAGAATGACCGGGGCGGTGATGGTCCGTTTTGTACGGCCAGACAACTTTTTATTCCTCGCGCCCGGAAAGTATATACCTAGGGGATATTATTTGCCGTAAGAACGAGGATGGAGTGGACAGATTGCACCATTGATAGGGAGCCGAAGCCTAATTTTGAAGACATTCTCCATTGGTATAACAGGGTTGGGAGTTCAAAGGGAAAACAAATAAAAGCTGGAAAATTTTTCAAGTAGCGGTGGTAGGACTCGAGAAGAAATAGAAGTAGAGTAGCGAACTGGGAGAACTATAGCTCTTCTCACCTATGGGAAACCACGGAGGTTGGCGTCGAAACGGCAATGAGTGTGGGAAGAAAAAGGTGATCTCTGTGTAGCCAAATCAAGCTTTAACGACAAGGGCTGCATCTTGCATTGTCCAACTACATTGGCCTTCCCCCCTCTTGCATTTTGCGGGAATTCGCATTTCGCAGGCCATTAGTGACAATATATCTGGCCGTGCTATACATTCAGACATGCTGGCGTTGCACACATTGTTAAACCTAGCCATACACGAAGAGGAAAAATATCCATGGATGTGACAGTTTATCTCCCAAAGGGATTAGGGAGAGTTGAAACAGGGCCATTTTTTGTAGGTATCCTCTAAGCGGGAACATCTTGGGGGGCGGGGGGGGGGAGATTTAAACCCTCCCCCTTGATCATTGTATAGATGAAAAGGTGCAGAAACCGATATTGAGGTTTCCGGGAAGAGATAATTTCCAGATAAGAAAATGAGCTTCAGGACATATTTCAATTTGTCCGGAAGCTTCAATGGGGAACGAGTAAGGTGCATAAGAGAAACAGCTTGACCAAGGCGGATTCTGTTGGTCTTTTTGTAGCGAAGCCTTTGTGCGACTCTCTTTGGAACCGTGTAACCATTTCCGCAAAGGAGCTTTGGGAAACACAAATACAAGCCAGGGTTCTCAGGAGATTCTCAATAGAGAATGTGCGATGCCGTACAACGACAGGGAAACCGTTGTCAAAACCGGGAGAAACGGAGTTGGCCGGCCGATATAAAACAGGGACGTAGATACTCTGAGGGAGATATGCCTCTTGCGCCTCAAAAAGGCAATTGGATGACAAGCAACGCGGAAATACCATTCGATCATTGCCTGAGACGAGATGTTGTGAAAATGCAATCCGCAATCTCGTTCAAGCTCCTCTATTCGCTTCGACTTTAGAATAATTTGATGGGGTTAGGCAGTCTAGTCCTCATCTTTGTCAAGAGACAAAAGCACGGACATTTCCCATGAATTTGTTCTACGCAGCAAAGCAGCCAACCCAGAAAGAGCTTAGGATTCTCCACCACAGAAAAAAAAATAAAATAAAATAAAACAAAAATAAAAATAAAAACCTTCTGCCAAAGTGTGGATGGAGCTTGGGTGGGGCGGATCAACATGAAACAACCCTCTTTCTGCCATATACTTTGCTGGTCCCCTCCAAGAAGAATAATAAAACGTCCTTAAATCATAACGGTAAGTTAGCTATAACCGATGAAATAAGCAAGGAGGGAGTTTAAGACGTTATAGGCTTTTCGGAAGGCCTAATTCAATTCATGCTCACCGAGAGAACTGCTGCAGTCTAAATGGATCCAACCTTGGCAGAAGCAAAGTGGAGATGAAAGTATAATGTACTTACTGTATGGGTGGCGAATAAATTAATTTTGCTATTGTGTTACTCCATCTCTGGGGCGGAGTTTGCACCGAGGACCCAGACACGCACATGGTCAAAAGATATCGACATGAAGTTAGTTGCTGAGATGAGAGTAAACTGATAACACCCATTAGGCCAAAAGAGGTCTCAGACCAGTGCTGCGCCAAACCAACAATGATTACGCAGTCGTGAGAAGGACAAGATTTCGACGCGGAGTGAATACCTCGCAAAACCTACCACAAGGCTGGATGCGTTTCAGGGGCGATGTGCTGCGGCGGTAGCTCCCAATAGTACCCCGTCAAGGTCAGCGGCAGTGGGGCCGGGAAGCGGTCAAAACATCCGCGAAAAGGTGAGCATTATCTTGTTAATAAGCCCTCGCCTCTTTGGGGCTCAGCAATGGGTTTCCTGGAGCCGTTTCCAATGTTATTGTTGGTGGTAGGTTTTGGCGATAGGTTTTTGGCGGTTCCATGAGTCGTCGTAAATTCCACTGCTGCGCCCTGAGGCTGCTTTTGGGAGTCCCTGATTGGGTAAGCGGAGGCTCTGCCGACTGGATATATTTATCAGACAACTACAGCTACTGCTACAACTACAACGACATCCACAATCCGCAACATTCACTACAGCCTCCGAAGTTGTCCTCTGGACTGGAGTAGATAGTCATCGAGGACTGCCTCTTGCGTTTCCCAAGTCTTGTACGTGGTCCCGTCTCTGGACCGTATTGTCAAATCAACTTACGGCGCTTCTCAGCCTTATCCTACCCTCTGTTATCAGGATTAAAATACCCGCAGCGGGACTCTCGATATTTACTTATTAAACAATTCCTTCTCTCCTGCGAAAGCTGCTCTATCTTTCTAACCCGGAACTGGCGCGTTGTGTCGATAAAGTAACGATGTTGCCGCTGTCCTCAACGACAACCGCTTCCTCTCCCCCGTCCTCGGCCGCAAACAACCCCTCCCGCCACGGACGAAAACCCCTCTATCTTGACCTCTCGAACATCCCTCCCCCCCCCCAACCATCACCACCCTCAAATACCCTCCTAATAACCGACCTTCATGACCTCTCCCTCTTTCAACCCTCCTCCCTCGACGCCATAAAGGCCCAAATATCCCGGATAACCCCACTAAACTCTTTCTCCCCACTCCCCTCCCTCCGTCGAATAGTCTGCTCTTTTACCTCCATCGATGCGGCCGTAAGAATCCGCCAGGTACTAGATGGCGAAGCCATCCTAGGCAAAAGTGTACGTGCCAGAGTCTACTTTGGCGAAAATACCCCAGTTGAAGACGCAGAGTCAGGCCGGAAACGAAACCTCCTCGAAGCGCCCAAGTTCCAAAAACAATTCTTCATCAGCCCGCCACCAAGCCCGCCTCATGGCTGGATGATGCGAAACGAAGAACCCCCCAATAAAGAAGTGCATGCTGCTGATCTGGCAGAGGCACTGGGCAGGTTGGGTTCGATCCGGGCGGACCGGTCTTGCAGCAGTATGACTGAGGCCGTTGCATGTCAGGATCCCGATACACCTATGTCGCTATCGTCGGACGTGAATATTTTCGGAACTGAACAAGAAACGCCGCGTTCGAGTACGTGGCAAATGTCTGCGGGTAGAGAGGGGAGGCAGCGCAGCGGTAGTACAGTTATATACGATCCGGAGTACCATGGTGGAAGCCCGCATCTGCCTGCGGTTATGGTGGAGGATACGTCGGTTGGGACCGAGGTCTCTGATTTTGAAATGGATGCCAGTCCTACTACCGAGGTGAGGCGCGCGAATCGCGTTATAGTGCACACTGCTCGTCCGCCCGTTGAGCTTATGGAGTGATGTCATTTTTTTACGTTGTCTTTTTTTTTTTTTTTTTTTTTTTCTTGGTTTGTACGAGGGCATATTTTTGTCCTCATATTTTCTCTCAGGGAGCAGAAGATTGTTTAGGAGATATCATAATTCCCCCACTTCTTTTGGCCGCCGGTGTTAGTGGCTTTGCATATGATGAGCGTTCGAGTTTTTATCCTTATTATTCATCATACTCACCCTCTGCCTTTGGTTCTGATATTTTCTTTTCCTCTTTGTAAATATTTCTTTATCAAAGCGATTGTCGAGTTATGTCTCTGTATATGTAGTGCCATTCGTTGGGATACCGACGTTATAAAGAGCGGTGGCTGTTGTAGAGTTGGATCATCCCTCCCTACCTCCCGCTACAGACGATAATCTCTCAAGCCCTTGTCTATTTTATTCATTATATGCAGTTTTTTGGAAGGGAACTCTTTAGCTTGTTATCCTCAACAGGATCTTGTTGATGAAATACAAAACTGTACAGCTCACTCTTCACATGTTGCCCATTCTCCAGCCATTCTTAAATCGTATCCCACGTTCAATTAGCTAGATGAGGAGGATCAAGATAGATGCTACAATAATGTTACCATTGTCTGTCCCTTATTTTCACTTAAACTTAATTGATAAGTAATATTCTCGTTTATATTGATATCTGAGATCTCCAGTTTCGTTCCTTCAGCTTCATCCTCGTCCCTACCACACTCCTTCTTTTGCGCCTACGATTCCTCCACTAGTTTTGGAGGGCTGAGTTATCAAAATTCAGTATCAAGAATAATCTGTTGACAGTCATATGTTAATTTCTATGATACACATCAAACCCAATCTGATCAAATCTATACCCGGCTGCCTGCTACATATATCCCAGTCTTCAACCCGCCCCGTCTCACGGCCCAAATGGCAAAAAAAGGCGAAGAGAGCTGCAACGTCTGAAAAGCAAAAAAAAGCCAAAAGAAAAAGGACAGGAGTCGAGAAAACAGAGTTCACCATTCATGGAAAAGAGGGTACAAGATAAAATTTTAGAAAACAAACCAACAGAGCACCGATGCCCATTACCAATCCATCCCATTTTAGTTCAACGCAGTCCAAGTACTCATAATAAAAGAAGAAAGATAGAAATGAAATGAAACACTTCCATTTAGGAAATGCCAACACGATAAAATAAACACTCAGCCAAGAAGAAGAAAGGGGAAAAGAGAAGAAAAATTCATAGCCGGAAAAGAAACTTAGGTCTGCGGGCTCGTGAAATGAAGATGACGTCAGAGAGGGCTTTTCGGTTTGGAGTGTTTGTTGGCCGAATTGGCTGCACTGATAGTCGGCAGGGTATTGTAATAATCATGCGAGAAGCAGAGGAAGGCGGAGGGGGTAGATCGGTTCAAAGCTATGAATGGTGCTGTTTCTCAAGAGTATCTCGATCAAGCAAGTAATCCCCTAAGGCATGCCTGCGATAGATGTGTATGTAAAAGGATGCCATTTTGGGTTCCTGAAAAGGCCTTTCTGAATCTTAAATCCTTCTCCAGCTTCGTATTCCCTGTCGTTAATGTTTTCACGTAAACTTGCTCACGTGTGTGAGAGGGTGGGGCTGTAATAGACAAACGTTGGTGGACGCAAAGGTTTCGTATCTTCCCTTTTTCCTTTCAGCCTCCGTTTATGGTTCTCATACCTTCGTTCATAAATCATTCCTCTTACTCCTATAGAGTGCCAACGTCATGGCACTGTGTCCAGGATAGCGAGACCAGGATACCCATACCATGTTGGAAGGAAGATAAGTCGAAAATAGTCCAGAATCTGACGCAATTGAGGAATACCACCCCAACTACGCAATAGGTCGTGTACACGTACTTACATATACATGTACATACCTTGCATTATTCCCTTCACCCATCCACCCCAACATCCATCAACCACAGACCTATAAATCCCCAGACACCCGACAGGAAGCTTTTTCCGGGAAAGAACAAACCACCATCTTCTAAAACCCTCCAAACCCTTGCCCATACGGCGTAGCCCCATAAGGTGTCGTACCCCCAGCACCACCCCATACACTACCTCCTCCACCTACTGTACCAGCGCCACCAACACCATTAGCCGCATAGGCCGTGTAGCCACCATCCATCCCTTCAGGTGGCTCATACGCATCAGGACTGCGCGCGCCATCCTCATCGACGCCGTTCATGTTCATATTTGTGCCATTACGATCCGTATCGCCCGCTCCTGTCAGGGCGGAGATGATCTCTGCCAGCTTGCGTTGGAGGACCGTAATACCTTGCTGGACGATGGCATCGGGTTCGAGATTGCCGATGCTTTCAACATCGATGTAGAAAGTTGAGGGTTGCACGTCGTAGTCGAAGGGCATGTCAGGTTGGGCTGCCGTTTCCCATTCTGCGTTTGGGGATATGGGCCTGCATATGTAGATGTTAAGCTATGGATTCTGGAAAATAAGAAACTGAATGAAAAAATGGAAATAAACCATACCACTCCTTAGCCGGATCCTCCTCATACCAATAATCAACATGCTTCAAATTATTATGCGGATCATACTCAAATCCCACCGCCGCCGTCGGCGCCCACTTCGAATGCTCCTTCGCAATCCCCTTCTTTGCAATGCACGTCATCTTAAGCTCCTGGCCCCTGCTCAACTTACAAATAACCGGCCCCTTCCCCTCCGCATCCGTAATAACCGGACTTCCCACCCACTCGTTCGCCCTATCACCTACAATAATCAAATCACGTGCATACACTTTCATAACGTCCTCCCCAGTGCAGCGCACGTTCAGCGATAGCATGACGATGCACCGCGCACACCCTCCCTCGCAATCACAGTCGCGCGAGTAATCCATGTCCGCGTCGCAGTTTTTGGAATTCAGGGGTATTAGGCCCAGACGGTGCGCGACGAATTCGTCGGGGAGGACGGAGGTGTTGGATTCGATTTCGACGACGTCGATGGCGACGGTGGGGATTTCGGCGAGCATGGTGCGGCGGAGGGAGTTGGCGAAGGCGAGGTCAACGGAGCTGAGGCGGAAATCGACGCGGTTGGGTTCTGCCTGTTTGTGTGTTTTTGAGAGTTAGCACTGGGATTCTGTTATTTAGTTATATTTTTCTGAAGAGCGGGATATATACCTCTCTAACTGTGACTTGAGGCCCTTGGGGCTCAATGTCCATTTCATCATGGTAGTCCATGGTGTTGGGAGGCCGCACGAAGGCTGGCTTTTCTCCCTAGTTTGCGGTCCTTGAGATCTTCCTATTCCCTTGTCATAGAATAGGATTCACTGGTAGAAGTACCTGGACAGTTGATTCTGGTGGTGAGAAGCCGTAGAGTGGTAGTGGAGAGCTCTGATGCTGTTTGTACAAATGTATAGACATTTTAAGTTGATCATCGAGAATTCCTGACTGGGACTAGTGCATTGTGACTCCGGTGAATTATTTCTCCGGATGCCGAGCCATTCTTTTCAAACTCAAGAAATGCCGTAACTATTAACTAAGGAGTATCAACGAGTTTATCATTAACTAGTTATTCTGTTCCGTTCCTCTAATAACTAATATTCCAACTATATGACCCCCAAATCCCAAAATAGCAAGAAAATTATGAATATGCAGGCTGGCCCTTCCAAGCCCCCTCCGTTTAATTAGACGTTTTGCCTCTCCGGAGAATGCAACCAACAATCACAGAAAAATTGAATAATCAATAATTCCCGCATATGCCACCAGTTGACTTTCTGTTTTTACTTTATTAAAATAGCAAGGGGAATAAAAATGCAGTTTCCGTCCTCTTCTAGATCCAGCAGTTCTCGAATGAATACGTATCCCTAGATACAAAAAACGCATGCAAGCTCCAAGCACAATAAAAGCAGAAGCATCTCCTTTTCTCCTTGTACCGCTGTTCATAAAACACATCTCCGCCCACGGTCTACCATAAGCCAAAACGCAGCCAGAAAGTAAGGAGCAGTAGAGAAGATTATATGAAAGGAAGGGAATGGGGTTAAGTAAACTGGGAGATTGACACAAGGAAAAGAGGCACCCAAGTCCGTCATATGATCCCAAAAAAAAGGGTCAATATAAAGAAAATGTCTAGAGGGATGTTAAATGGGAGATTAAAAAGTGGCACCAATCCAATTCTAGCTCCAAACAAGTAAGACCAAATCGAAGTTTCCGAGACCTCCGGTGGGATGATTAGCTAGCCAAAAAGTGAATGTGAAAGGAGGAGGGCAGGGAAAAGGAAGGATAGACAGGTAAGGAGAAAATGTGAAGGCCATTTGATCTGCAACAAGAATGATTGCAAGGCGAAGCATATCAAATTTTCCTGTAACGTCTTCTGTGTCATCAGGCCATGAGCCTAAGGGAACTTTCCACGATTAACGGATGTGTTTCTAGCGTTATAGCCCCCGAAATATCTATATGAGCCACCCACCGACCGAAAATAATATTCCTGGATGCTCGCAAGCGGAGAAGGAAAGAGAAGAGAGAGGAAAGAAATGATGGACTGTAGATAGTGGTGAAAGGAAAACAAAGGGAAAGTAGGTGACTTTTTGTAGGATGGAGACGATAGATTCAAAATATGTCTTGTGTGTGTTCCAAAATGTTATCACGGGTAAGGGTTGCTGGAGGTTAAGAATATTCCCTCATGTTCCAGGAACACATTTGCGGCAAGCTGTCTTCCTCGAAAATGTGGAGAGGTCAGAGGGATGGGAAAGGGAAAGAATAGGGATTAGATTCATCGAGGTATCATCATCAGTACTGCCCACGGCCATGGGTTCCTTCAATTAAATAGAGTCTTTCCATTAAGTGAGTCTGTTAGTGCGTGCCGTTCGCCAAGACGTGTGATTGTGAGAGCGATAAGCGGGGGACGTTAATATTATCGACCTAGTTTCCTCAAGATCGAACCAGAGATGCAGAGCGTGCTGGAAAGGATAATCGGGAGAATAGCCAAGACCCAAAAAAAAAAAAATTCCCAAAATTGATCATAAATAGAGATATATATTAGAGACGATTCCCAAGGTCAATGCCGGGGAAGCCTTGAAAAAGAGGCTGTTAAGTAAGGGGCTCGACTCGAACTATCTCTTGACAGAGCTGCGATTCAACGCATCGAGCAACTCAGGTCGAGACGCCAACGCCGCCGCAGCTTGCGCGTATGTAACCCACTGGCGTTTCCGCTTGTGCATTTCAGGCCACTGCGCCTCCTCGCGATCGACGCGGACCTCGAAGAACTGATACAGGATCCTGGGAGCCTTCTGCGAGACTTGAGCCGGGGTGCGCATGTCTGCAATCTTGCCCAGGTCACGGAGGACGGCGCAGACGACGCCTGCTTCCTCCCAGGCTTCACGGCAGGCGGCTTGCTGGGCGGACACTTCGTCCAGTTCCCAGCCGCCCTTGGGCAGGACCCAGCCACCGTGCCGGGCGGATTGGATTAGTAACACTCTGGATTTGTCCGGGGACATGGGCACAACGCCGGCGACGAGTCGTTCGCCGTTTGGGCTGTAACCTGGAGGTGGGAAGGGGAGGGGGATGTCAGCGGGATGTACGTGGTGGCCAATGGAAGGGGATATTGATAGAAAGAGGGGGAGGGGGAGGGGGAAAGGGAAGGGAAAGATCCAGGTCACTAAGGGGTGGCCAGCAGGAAGGGAGGAGGAGGGCAGTGGGGGGTATGGGATGTATGACTGGTGAGTGGAGTGCAGTGGGAGTTACGGTTGAGGGTAGGGTGGTGATGTGAGCAGGAGAGGTGTAGTGGCTGATGTAGCTGCTGTATGTAGGTGATTGTGGGTGAGGTTTTGGGGGACGAGCAGGGGGATGTCACAGTCAGCAGCGACCAGCGAGGGGAAGGCGAGCATCGGAACACGTGCATCAACCAAGGGCCAGCATCAAATATTCAACTTTCAACTTACGCTGGTTCGTCCTTCCCGTGCGGGACTCCATCGTATGCGACTGCGCCATCACTCGACTCGGCCTTTGGAGAGCTTCCTGTCTTTCTCTCCGTTATGCAGTCGAGGGCTTTTGCGAAGGCGGAATGCCCGGATCTTAAATTATGTCCTCGCCTGCTGCTCCAAGACCCCTAATCTCCGGTCTGCCTGCCTGCCTGCCTGCCTGCCTGCCTGCCTGTCTGTCTGTCTGCCGTGTTTTCTGTGTGTTCGCAGACCACACCGCACAACCACCGATCGATGCAACAAAAATCAACGTAACAAATTGCCGCCTTTCGCTTTTCCGCAGGACACAACTCTCTCGCTGCCCCAAACCCAGATAAGTGGGCAGCAGCCAAAGAGTTTGGTGGGTAAGGATATAGAGAGATACGAGAGAATGAGAGAGGATTCGCAAACTACTTCTGGATAAGCCCGTTTGTGAGACGTCCTTCAGATATTCATCCAAAACTTCGACCCGTAGCAAAAACGCTATGTGTATAATTCCGATCTCGATCTCGAACAGACAACTCGGAACCCAATTTGTGGGGCGTCACGCTGTTTTAACGAAACTTTGATTTCGGTTGGATATTTTTGGCTTTCTCGCAAAACGGGAATTGGGTGGCTGAGAGCTTCAAGCCTCTCACCGCTATCTCGAGCCAACGGATGAAGAGAGGGTTTTTGAACGGTTAGGGTTGTATAGGAATGGGCGAACAAAGGAAAGATTTGCGACGGGAGGGGTGCGGAAAAAGGAACAGGACAGCGGGAGACAGAAGGTGGTGTGCAAGAAAGTCAAATAAATAATAGAGAATCTTTTGGAGATGTGAACAGCCTTTAAAAGAGCGGAACGACAAAATGGCTCCCTTGTTCAGTCCCGCGGAGGCCGGGGCTGAGGATGAAGAGTTTGATTCCTGATAGGAGCTGAGGGGATATAACTAGACATTGTAGATGGGGGAGCAGAATAAAATAAGGGTTAAATAAAAAGGACGGGGAGTAGGACAGGTGAGGGAGGATTGGAGGAGTGGATGGGTCGGTCGGAGGGGAGTATAGCAAAAAATTAAATCAAAGCTAAGGCCGGAGCATTATTTTATCTTTTTCCTTTATCCCCCCTCTGTTGGTTTCCATGATCGGAGAGGGAACAGGTTCGAACAACAAACCACCCCAACAACAACCCCCTACCAATTACCAAGGAGCATAGATATGAGTGCGCTGTCCAAGGTACATCCAAAATCTAATGGTATTGTGGGAAGACGATAACCGGAAGACTTTGGATCTACTTGTCAGCCTGAGAAAGGTACAGGCCCGTGCGCAGAAAAATTGATGGGTAACATGTACCATTTGCCAAGCCAGATGTAACTCCCTCCTAAATACCATGCATCCATTGGATTGGTTGGCCTCTTCATCCCATGCATGGCTCAATATCATCGCCATTATAAGATGTCGAGGATTATTCAGAAACCAAAAATGCCATCATTCAACTCCCCCATGCCCTCATCTCTAACTGCGAAGTACATAGGTATCCATCCTTCCAATAGCATTAAAATCAAAGATAGTAATAGTAAAGCAAATAACAAAATTAATGAATATAAACCAACATTTCAAACAGGCCTTTAGAAAATTAAATATTTCATTCCCGTCCGTCTATCCGTAAGCTCAAGCCCTCTGGGGGTTGGTGACAGCTAATGCTCGCTTCCTCCTTTCTCGCACCTCAAACCCCATTCTCCCGGGCAAAGAGCAAGCAAGCCAAATTGGCTGGCCGAGAAAGACTCGCGTTTTGGATGATGCATTTTTAAACGAGGTAGTAATTCTGGGGGTTAAATTCCTCTATTTCCCAAACGTCTCGTGAGTTCATTTAAGCCTCGATGCCGATACTTGTCGAGCCGTATCTTGATCCAATCCCGCATGCCGCCTTTTATATACGGCAAGGGGGAATGTGCATCAATCACGGATTCCATTCCACAGAAGGAAGTATTGAAATATGACAAAAAATAAATTAGATAAAAGAATAAGGGAAAATAAATAAAGCAGCATCTGCCCTTCCAGCCAATCGGAGGGTTTATTATTTTATTTCGTTTGACAAAACCGGCCAGCTAGCTAATGCATGCAATGCAGCATACAGTGCATCCGCAAATGTCAAGCTTACCCTCTCGCACGCATTTAATAATTACAACATCTCATTAATTCTCACGTCCCTCATAAGATATTCGTAATTATACATCATGGCCATCAGCAAAATGGATGATGATCATAAATAAGCAACCCTCACCCCCCCCCTTCATTATTATCAAGCAAGGGGTCAGTTTAAAACCCACGTCATGCGTTGAAGTACTTACAAAGCTCCATGGTATGCATCCAACATATAACCTACGAGGAGAGGACCCACTGCATCCCAAGCTCGTGCTCAGCATTGCCCCTGCGACTCGTCGAGATCATCATGAGTATTTAGGTACCCTGGATAGCTATTTCTTGACCGCATCAAGGTCCGCTCGTTCAACAACCCGTCAAAAGCAACGGGCGTCAAATAAAACGCCTGTCCACTCTGCGTCAGCCGGCTAGAAATATCCAAATGAAAAGGCGGATCGAGGCTGAAAAGAAAGTAAATCTATATAACTGCGGAGGAATTTACCCATGTTAACTAATCATATGGAGTTTGAGGACTGGGGCCCGGGGACAGAAAAAGAAATTTGATTTGACAGATGGCAGCTTTTGCTGTCATGCTTGCAGGGAGCAGTTGAGGTAACTCATTATTGGATTGCAAGGGTAAGTTAATTGATGGGATTTCGTGCAATCCATTCAAAAACCGAAAAAAAAAAAAAAAAAAAAAAACCAAAAAGAGGAATGTGTTATTTTAATTTACTTGCACCCGCAAAAAGGAGGAAAGAAAAGGCAACCAACCACTGGCGGCGCATGCTCAGAGGGCTTGACGGGGATGGAGGAAGCTTTCTAGAAAAAAATGCATGGAATTCGGGAGTTTCTTATCGCCTTTCTCTTTCATTTTCTTGTTGGAGGCGTCCATGGCTTTGCAAATCAAATCACTTCGTTTTCCCTTTTCCTTTCCTTTCCTTTTATTTTTTTCCTCCCTCTTTTCTCCGCCTTCGACAGTTGTAGCTTTGTCACGCAAAGAGCCCCACCTTTTTATCTTTTTCTGTTGCATCGTTGCCATTTGCATTTTCAAAGACCCTTTTATTTTGACACTCTACTTCCGCTGTACTCTCTTCTCTCTTTCTGCTTCCATCTCTCCTTCACCTTCACATACAAATGAAATAGCCTCACAGTGTGGTTTGCTCCCAATGTTGAATCCTTTCTACCTCTCTACCACATTCTGCGGAGATAACACATCCAGGGAAGCGGATGGAGAAGCTTAAACTGACTGGTTGAACAGTTTCATCAAAGACAGATCTTCACTTGCATGGCCATTCAGCTATCTTTACATATAAATAAAATAGTCTTATAGTATAATTTGCTCTTAATATTGAATTTTTTTCATCTTTTTATCATATTCTATGAAGATAATATATTCAAAAAGTAGATAAAGAAGTTTAAACTGATTGATTAAATTTATAATTTTATCAAAGAGAAATATTTATTTATATAATTACTTAATTTTATATTTTTTATTATTATTTTATTTAATTTATAAGAATGATCAAAATGAACTGATATTTTATATTATTAGCTATAGTAGAAAAAAAGTAAAAATAACTCTGAGCTACATTGAAGCTTTATTATCAAGTTATATATTATCAATTTTTTTTATCTGGTAAATATATAAACTAATAATAATTGCTTCTTCATCTCAAATTACTCTATAGTTACTTGAATTTCAATTCTATATGAAATTTATTTTTTTTTTTAAGTTATCATTAGAAGTGGAATAAGATAGGTTAATCATTTCTGTTTTCTCTGATTATTTTTCTGACATTCTATCTTTTGGCATGACAAAGAGGTTGATAAAGTGATGTCATAGTCATCACCGCCAATTTTGGCTTCTATTAGCCTCCTCCCTTCTTTCATATTTGACGGACAATCATACCATATTCTCTACTTGTCATCTACTCTTGGTATCTGATGACAACCTGGAAAATGAATATTTCATTCTGCTGTAGAGAATACACCTCTGGATACCCAACTTCCTTCACTAAAGGAACAGATTCCCGCTCATTTTTGGAGGGGCAGTTTCCAACGTTGTCCCCTCATGTCTTTCTCTGACCATGTCATATCCACTATGTTCTCCTTTACACAGGCCCTATCATGTATCAGAAAATGCCACTACATCTCCAACTCACTCAATATCCACCCAGCAACGACAGATGAAAAACAGAACCCCTTCCCTGGTATTATTGCCAGAAGAAACAAGGCCCAAAATCCCTGCTTCCGCTATCATGTGCGGCCATGGAAGGGTGGCTCGAGCTATGGGCATCACTAATAGCTTTTGGGGATCCTTCAGAATCGTTGCATGGGCGCCTGAATCCCTGGTATCTGATTTCCATATACTTTAATGGAACGTCTCTCATACCCTGATATCAGCCTAGTCTCGGCTGCAGAAA